TTCTGGTATTTCATTGTCAGTGTTGTACTGAGTGAGCATGATCAAATTTTCAAATCATGAATCAGTATCATGTGATGTTACAGACACGTGGTACAAATGTAGTCACTCAAGAAAAGCATGAGGTCATGATATATTAAGCTAAAGTGGTACTTGTATGCATAAGCCAATAACACATGCTGTCTTTAATGTATATGTATTCATCTCAGTGGTGTGAGATCACTTAGAAAATGTGAGATCTTAACACAGACATCCTGCACATATATTATGATTTATTATCATTATAGTTTATATTGTAGTGTTTTTCTTTCTTCACAACATTTCTGTATTTTTTCTAAAAAATAGTTCAGGATATCTGAACATTGTCTGGTTGTTTGAAAATCACAGCCCTAACTTAGCTGTACCTTCTTTCCTTCGCCTCATAGCTTCTGTACATCACCAATAAGTATTGTGTATTAAAATAACATCTGGGCTTTTTGTAGACATCTAATTTTGTCCTGTGTATCACCTACTCAAATAATATACGCAGATGTCGATGGAAATGAAAGAGCTGCTGACAGGTTGGCTGGATCAGCTATCACTACCGACGGTCAGCCTATGGATCATGCTGATATTGTTCCTGCCCTCAGAGAAATGGGAAGGATAGAGGACTTTGGTGGCAGTGAATCCACATCACTCGCCAGAATGGCAGACTTGGGAATTAAGATCGGCACAGCAAAAAACGAGACGCACACCTGACACGCCAGAAGACTTGTTAATCAACATAGAACTGGTACTATTAGCCATCGGACGTTGGGGTTCATACTGAGGGGAGGATCTGAGCACCTATGGACATGTCCGGAGTGCAATGATGATAACCCAACTAACTAACTAACTAACTAACTAACTAACTAACTAACTAACTAACTAACTAACTAACTAACTAACTAACTAACTAACTAACTAACTAACTAACTAACTAACTAACCTACTCAAATAATGTCATGAACATCTCTGCTCTTCCTGCCTGGTTGCCTGTCTGTTTGTCTTGTCTTGTCTTGTCTCTTCTGTCTCTGTCTGTCTGCCTGCCTGCCTGCCTGTCTGCCTGCCTGCCTGCCTGACTGCCTGTCTGTCTGTCTGTCTGTCTGTCTCCTGTATCTAGAAATGTTGTGTATCACATAATATATGAAAGAAATTGAATTTATAATACTGTTCAGACAGATACAACATATTGTTTAAATCCAATTTTCAGTATTATGTTATACACTGTTTCATAATGTATCGATTGTGTTTTCCTGCTGTGTAAGCAGCATGTTTGCACTTTCCTGTTAAACTGGACTTTATATATATACATATATACACACACATACTCATACACGTGTGTGTTTGTGTGAGTGTATGTGTGTATTTATTTATTTGCATTTGACTTTGCAATAGCTGAGAACATCTAATTATAAAAGGTAGTGATTCTGGATTAAATAGGAGTTTGAGAGATGATATTTTTGTCATGTAGGGCAATAAACTGCAGAATACCTCACAGCATTGTCAAGTTATCATCATGGGCAAATGGTAAATAAACCTTTCTTTCTGTCCCCTCTTCACACCTTTCTAGCCACTATTGCCTGCAGTTTGTTTTAACAAAACCTAGCATGGATGATCCATTGACAAACCTATGGATGGTAAACTGTGCTGTAAATACTAAGTGCAGTATGAGAAAAATGTGAGCAGCAATAATTTGTGTGTGTGGGAGATTAACGAACGTATTCTGAACCTCTCCATGACCAGTATTGGTAAATGTGTATATTGATGTGGTGTGTTTGGTCATGGAAGAGAGTGAAATCTCACCATGTTATATTTATACAGACAGCCTTTTACAGCATGCTTCTTAAAAGGCAGTGCCCCCCCCCCCCCCCCATGGGGCTCTGCAACCCAATATCCTATTTAACCCTTCTGTTATATTTAGGATATACTAGCTGTACCCGGCCACGCGTTGCTGTGGTATAGTTTGGCTAAATGGAAATGAAAGAAAATAGAAAACGCACGTGTCTAATACAATCATTGTCTGCTCAGATATAGAGATAGTCTTTGATCCCCGCCCACCACCACAACTAAATCCACCTACTACTATCTCCCTCATCAAAGGTTTTTGGAAAAGAAAGACAATGGAAATCGCACGTGTCTAATACAGTTAATGTCGCAAACATTCGCTGCACGGATATAGCGATAGTCTGGTTTTCCAACTTTAGAACACGCACCTTATAATTGTGTTTTTATATTAGTGGTCGTTTAAATGGTGTTATTAGCACAGTAACACCGACTATTGCTCTCTCCCTCTTCGAAGGATTTGAAAATCGCTAACTGGCGATATTTTGTTGTTGCTGTAACTGACATTGACATCCCTGTCCATCTGGACTAAAATAGGGAGCAGGAATTGTAAAAGGTAGTGAATAGGGCTAGTGTAATATTTACCACATCATCCTTCAAGTACCAGTACAACTACTAAAATAATGTCACTGCTATCTGTGTTACCATCGGAGTAGACAGAGAGTCGTGAGCCAGAAGATTTGGTTCCGCATGGCTAGTGCTGTCGCCACAGACTGGTCAGGTTAGAATGTATAATTTTACTTGCCGACAGAAGAACGCCATAACCTTACCGGCGGTCTTCACATAAGAGCACTATGGTGTAACAGCCCTGGTGTAAAAACTATTACTGCTGCTGCTACTTTAAGTGGGTAAAGCAGTTAATGTGACTTAAAGCTCTCTCAGTTAATAGTTTGCGCCCCCCCCCCCAATTCACCGACAACTCTTTCCCTCATTGAAGTAGTTGGGAGAAAAAAAAACACACACTTAAAAAGCAAACGAACACAGGAAAAAACCACCATAATTAGGAAATGAACGCCATTGTAAACAGCACAGCTTAAAATTCCAACACAGATGAAATAACTAAATCTAAATGAAAATAAATGAAAATCTATAAAATTTCAGCGTAACCATGCAATCGGAAAGTTTAACAATGCAATCATAAGTATGCGAAATGGTCAAATTTAATTATCAAATGGTTTACCCATTTACTGTTTTTTTTTTTTTTTTTTTAAATATTAAGGCAACATGGCTAGTGCTGTCACCACGGCAGAGCAGATGAGGATATTATTTTAGTCCGGGGCAAAAAAAAAATTTAACGACTGCGGATTCGAACCCAGGTCTACCGCACATGAACCCAGTGTTCTAACCATTCGACCAAGCAGCCACTTAGTCGAAACGAAAAGAGAACTCAACTATTAGACATGTGAGTCCATACTACTGTGTCGCGATTAAAACACAATTCAAAACCGCAGGCAATTGTTTTCTCGTAGACAGATACTCCAGATATATTAATGAAATAGAAATCGCACGTGTCTAACACGGTTAATGAAGTAAATGTCGCAGTCACTGTCTGCGCCGACGTCGAGATAGTCCTTGATTGCCCCCACCCCCCCACCCCCCACCCCCATCGAAGGTTGTTTGAAAAAAAAAAAAGAAAATAGAAATCGTGTTTAATATGGTTATTGTGGCAAATATAGAGATAGTCTTGTTTGCTGTACCACGACCTACTCTATGTATTAGTATTAGAGAAGGCGTTGGCTGCACGTAACTCGCCGGCGAATGGTAAATATGGCGCATGCGCAATTACTAACGTGGCTATAATTAGAAATCACTAAAGTTATAAATATTAGTATATTTTGGCATAAATTGTGGTCACCTATCTCTAACAGTGACAGGTTGAATTTCAAACCACGACAGTTCAAAATCCGGTATCACAACAAACATATCCTGAAAATTTCAGCTAAATCGGTTCAGTAGTTTCCGAGTCTATAGGGGTGAAACAAACACACAAACATTGATTTTTATATATATAGATATTGTCTGTGGTTTTCTTTTCCTTCTTCCTCTTTGCGTTCGGTTTCGTATGCTCAGATGAGACCATCAGGTGAGTTGCTTCTATGAACTGGCATGTCAGTAGCAGGTCCTTCATGGTTCCTCATAGCTTGCTCTGCACACTTTGCTCTTGAGGCCAGGTGTCTTTCTGAAGTTGTATGTAGAGTGGGCAGGTCTGCAGAATGTGCTCAGGCTTTTATGGTCCTGTTTGACAGGCATACTGTGGGAACTGTAAAAATCTTTATTTTATGAATGTGGTAGTTGAGCCTGCAGTGTCCTGTTCGTAATCGGAATATTATTGTATGATGCTTTCTGTTGAGTCTGCTAATGGGGTCTTGTGGATTTTTAGTGTTAATTTGCTCTCCGCAATTCATTGTATTTTCCCTCGATAAGTATTCTCATTTCTGGTAATGACAGTGAATGGGTGTGTTGTTTCTCCTTTGTTCTATTTTTTGCAAGTCTGTCTATTAACTCATTTCCTGGTATGCCACAGTGAGCAAGGATCCACTGGAGAACGATTTCATTATTTTCTGCTAGTCTGTTTAGCTGGTTGGTCAGTTCTCTCTCCATGTTGTCTCGTGAATCCTCTGAGTCGCCTGGAGGACTGACATGCAGTCACAAAGGAAAACAATGTTTTTTTTTTTACATTTTTTCTTTCTTTAAGCACTTTGGCTGAAGCAATAATTGCTTGCTGTTCTGCTCTAAAGTTTTTTAAGAGCCTTCTGGAGGTGCATGATGTTTCTACTGTGGTCACATCTTGCAGTATGATGGCCGATCCAGCTCCTCCATTTTTTTCTGCTTCCTCCAGTGATCCATTTGTGTATACGTGTGTCCAGTCGGGTTGTGGATAAGAGTTGTAGACATGTTCAAGGGTCTTTGCATGCAGTACTAGTATTTTTTTCAAATATTAGATTTGGATAATTTTCTGATAGTTTTAGTTATTTAATATTACAGGAGGTAATAAAGATAATGTGCATTGTTGTTGCCTTGTGCATGCATGTTTACAGTTTGTCAATAAACCACTTCAGTTACCAGTATTTGATTGTGCACTACTGATACCTGATATTGACTGTCCCATTGGTTGAAGTTGATGTTTTATGTTCCTATAGTCCTGCAATCTTTCGTTGGTGGCAGCCCGGAGGTGTGCATCACAGTTTCAGCATTGATAATGTCTACATGGGCCCTGCTTGTCCTGACAACTGTCACCGTCAGGGAGTCTGTAAGTCTGGCAAGTGTCAGTGCTATGTCACAGTTGACGGTGTCTTAGGTAAGCAAAGTATAACTTTTTTTTTTTGTATGGAGAAAAATTACATCTGTCACCATTTTGTGTGTCCGTGTGCATGCGGGGGGGGGGGGGGGGGGGGGGGGGGGGGGTTAGAGAGAGAGAGAGATCACGTGTCTGTATAGTTGTGTGTGAGTTCTTTTCTATTTTTCAGGTCAACAAAATTATAATTCTAAATATATGCATCTGTAAAAATATGCTGAAAATATAAAAAATATAAATAAATGTATGCTAAAGTCAATCTCATGAAAAACGGCTGCTGGGAGACTCTTCCAGGCCATAAACCGACGGTTTCTAGCAAAAGAGAAATAGGCAAGAGGACAAAAATGGCTGTTTTACCGCTCTACATATGTACCAGTGCTGACCTACAGGTGGGAGTCATGGGCAATGACAATAGCTCACAGAAGCCAGCTTCAGGCCTCAGAAATGAGATATCTGAGAAAGGTGGTCCAAATAACAAGACGGGACAAAGTCCACAATCAGACGATACGTCAAAATCTTGATACGCAGCTCTTACAATCCCAAGTGGATCAGTCACAGTTACGATGGTTTGGTCATGAATGCAGAATGGGAGAAAATCAGCCACCATGGCAGGCATGGGAGGCTAAGAACCAAGAAACCAGACCTCCAGGGCTGGGAAGACAACATTTGACCGTCCCTAACTGACAGAGGACTGGAATGGAACAAAGCCGGAAAGAAAACTGATAGAGACGTCTAGCGATCTCTCTGGCAAACCTCTACACCCCAAGGTAGAAGAGGAGCGACTAAGTAAGTAAAGACAGTCTCTATCATGCAACACCAAGATCAAAATATATAAAACGTTTTTAAGACCAGTTGTTTTAAATAGCTGTTAAACTTGGAGCACAACTAAAAGAGGTGAAGCTTTATTACAAATTTTTGAAAACAGTCTTACGATGAATCTTTAGACCCATCAAAAATGCAAACAGCGGGAAATGGAGAGTGAGAAGCAACAACGAAATTCATTAATCAGCTTAACTCACCACTAATGACTGGCATCATGGGAGCTAATAGACATAAATGGTTAGGGCATATTGAGAGAATATCAGATAACAGAGAGGTAAAAACTGTATACACAAGGGAGATAAATGGTCGTAGAGTAGGAGACAGACCAAGAAGACAATGGAGAGATAATGCCCAAACAGACCTGCAAACACTTGGTGTCACCAATTGGAAAGAGAGGGCCAACCAGACAGATGAGTGAAGGTGGGTGATATCTGCAGCAATGACCCTCAAAGGCTAGGAATGCTGAAGAAGAAGAAATAAATACATCTGTTTTACCTGACTAACACTGGTAAGCAGTGTCTGTTGTCAAAGAAATTTATTGAATTTGTTACAATATTCAGAACAGTTTCTGATGTGTAAAATGGGATATTCAGAAGAGTTTCTGATGTGTAAAATGGTATATTCAGAAGAGTTTCTGATGTGTAAAATGGGATATTCAGAAGAGTTTCTGATGTGTAAACTACACTGGTAATAGAGACATGTAACTAGAAGAAATATTGTAAACATTTACTAAATAAAGATACAGTCGAGCATTTAAGATATCTTCTAGAAAATTGAAAGTAACATTACTGCTACAACATATCTGAACAACAAAAAACAAAATATTGAAAGTAACAAAATAACACTGTGCAACATTTTATGACAACCCATTTAAGGGGCAGTGTATACATTTTTCATTGACACACCTACAAGTCAAAAACAATAATAAAATGAACACAAAATGTAGCAATAAATACTGTTGGCAAAATACTGGGTTATCATTGTTGAAAAATGTAATATCACTTATGTGAGACAAGATTGGATACAGTGGGTGTTATGGGTAAAGACAAATCTTGAAGTAACTTGCTAGCTGATGTAGGCGTTCATGCATCTCAACCACAGATCTCGGTCTTTAGTGATCTAGATCAATTCCACTGATGATATTTCTCCATGCCACTGTCTTCAGCCATTCACCATCAGTTCTCTTGGTCTGCCTCTGCTTCTTCTACCAGTGATCTTTTTTTTTTTTACTCGTCATGATATTTGACAGTGCTCCTTTTCTCATCACACGATTAAAGAACTTTGTCCCTTTCTCATTGTTTTATATAATGCTGTACTTTCATTAGCCATTTCCAGACAATCATTGTTGGTTATTCTGGTAGTCCTAGGTATTCGCAACCTTCTTCTCAAGAACCACATCTCAGTTGATTCCAAACTTTTCTTACTTTGTTTGCTCAGATTCCAAAGTAGACTAAATTCATTAAAAGTGAATGAAACAATATTCAGTTTTCCTCAGTCAATTAAGTACTTTTATAGGTGACTTTGGGAAATGCAAATAAATTATTTTTTAATGTTTTAGTACTAAATTGTACGCCTTAATACATCATCAAGTACCTTGTTGTCCAGCATGGGCAGTCATGATATAGCCCATTCTGTGATCTCCAACAATGTGTAATCAGTTCATGTGTCGACATTCTTCTTTGCCATGACAATAGGCTGTAAGAAACTTATCTTGCTATCTTCCTCTTTCTTTCTTTCTATAAATGTTTCCATCTTTCTTGTGTCTCAGCTTTTATAATGTGGCCCAGAATGAACCAGCATTCTTTTGATGTTTGTGATAAATTGTCTTCAGATCTTGGCATCTAGACAACTAATGTTGGCTGTCCGCAGAATGTTAACCATTGTTCCATAAAAACACATCAGTGCGGCCTCAAGAAATTTTCTAGCCTGTTTACTAATAATCCATAATTTAAAGTATGAAAAACTTCACATTATGCATATTTCAGTTCTGTACTCTTATTATTACAGGTGATAACTGCAGCCCCTTGAAAACAGCTCCTGCAGGAATGTTGGACAGATTTGATAACAAAAATATGCCCTCAATGATATACTGGGACAGAATTCTTGGAGGCCACCTCGGACGAGCGTGCGGTACCGTGGATTATGATAATGCACTATACTTTGGTGGTGATGGCACCAGGGAAGCTGTAACAGTTGCATTGAATACAACACACAAAAAGTAAAGAACGTTTATCTTCTAACATCATGATGCTTCCCCTAGTTTATTGTCCTAGAAACCAGATTATGTGTTTATATGTACATAACACTTGAATTTGAAGACCACAATTATAGCATGTCAAAGTGGGTTCAGTTGTTTCCCCAGCACAATAAAAAACATGGGTTTAGTTCTTAAACTCTGTTGTTTCCCCACATGGATTCTTGGGTCCCATTGTGGGGAAACAATAAGAGACCCACTGATTACTCAAAGGCATGTTATAAGAGTTGACTGATGGGGAGCTTCCTTCAAAGTCAAAATGTATGCATGTGCCTGAGATGCAAGGAACCAGCAGTCTGCACGCAAATGAGACAGATCTGTATGCAAAACTCAGGTTCTGGAACAAGAAGTGCCCAGAAGTGGATGAACAACCAGGACTTTCTGCCGTAGAGGTCCCTGATGTTTGCTGCTAGAGCTGCAAAGTTGCATGCTTTATTTGGTGCTCTCTGCAGGCAATCAGCCACCCTGCAAGTGAAACTGAGCCATGCGGAATTGAAAATCAGTGCATTGAAATCAGTCCCCTCACTTTTTTCTGTAAAGTCAGGTTTTGTTATTGATTTAACCCTTTTGCTGCTATAGACATATTTCGTTGTTTGCCCATTGACTGCTACGCATGTCTTTAGACGTAACCCAGTTTCTTAGCCCTCAGTGCTCAGGCCGTAAAAACGGGTTTTCAACTTTCATTACAGTCTTCTAAGGACCATTATTCTTGAGGGTCAAACGGAAATACACATTCAGATCAGAGTGACCCATCTTCATAGAATTAAACACCCGGTTCGGTACGTTTAGGTTAAAAGGACAGCATTCCGCATTATCCTGTTCCCCTATTTTGTTCCCTAAAATACATTTGTGGTTGTGTATTAGTCTGCATTTTGTGTATACAAAAATGGGAAGAAAACTGGTTAAAGCTGATGAAGAAATAATTAAAGTTTTCTTTCATGGAGTAATAGTGAAGATGACTTTGAAATGCGTGACTTATGAGTTGGGTTGTCTTCACGGTATGAATACTTCTGGCAGTGAGCAAAATGATCTGACAGCCCACACCAACGAAGAGGATCAATAAAAGGAAGCACATATTGTATATGTCCACACATTGATATAATGATTCAAATTAAGTATCTTCTATCCTGTACAGCAGAATATACATGTTCTCTGATACATTGTACAATACTGGTCTTATTTTCAATTAATATTACGGTAAGATTTTCTAGTGTGGCGGTTATCACGTGTGCCTTTCATACTGAAGATCCTGTGTTCAAGTCCCAGCAGATACTTAAAAAAATGTGTTGTATAGTTTTGGTTCCTAGCACTTTAGGAAAATATGACCTTTTTATTTAAAAAGATAAAAAAAATAATAACAGGATGAGTATAAATAATTGTGACTAAATTATTCATTGATAAAATTGGAGGGTGGGGGCATGTGAGGAGTCAGTAGCTTTGTCTGCCATGTTTGGGGGGCCTGTAGAACAGTCAGAGCCCCAGGCACACTTGGGGGCAGTGGCTTTGTCTGCCATGTTTAGGGGCCTGTAGAACAGTAAGAGCCCCAGGCACACTTGGGGGCAGTAGCTTTGTCTGCCATGTTTATGGGCCTGTAGAAGTCAGAGCCCCAGGCACACTTGGGGGCAGTAGCTTTGTCTGCCATGTTTATGGGCCTGTAGAACAGTAAGAGCCCCAGGCACACTTGGGGGGCAGTAGCTTTGTCTGCCATGTTTATGGGGCCTGTAGAACAGTCAGAGCCCCAGGCACACTTGGGGGCAGTAGCTTTGTCTGCCATGTTTATGGGCCTGTAGAACAGTCAGAGCCCCAGGCACACTTGGGGGCAGTAGCTTTGTCTGCCATGTTTATGGGCCTGTAGAACAGTCAGAGCCCCAGGCACACTTGGGGGCAGTAGCTTTGTCTGCCATGTTTATGGGCCTATAGAACAGTCAGAAATAACGACTCGAATCGCGTTAGCATCAAGTGCCTTTAACAAACTGTCAAACATTTGGAAGTCAAGATCACTCAGCAACAACACGAAACTTAAGGTCTTCAATTCCTGTGTGATCCCAGTGCTAACTTATGGTTGTGAGAGTTGGAAATCATCAGTATCAATCGATAAGAAACTAGTCGCTTTCGAGAATAGATGCCTCCGAAAGCTACTGAATGTTCACTGGTCGGATTTTATGTCCAATACATCTATAAGACAGGAAACAAAACAAAAATATGTGTCTGATTTTATTAGAATGCGTCGCTGGAATTACATCGGTCACGTACTCAGAATGGACATACAGAGACTTCCCCACCAAGCCTTCATATGGTCACCAGAGGGTAAAAGAAAACAGGGAAGACCAAAAGAAACTCTCCGTAGAACCATCACAAGGGAGAGCTCAACGATAGGTCTCAGTCGCACTCAAGACCTACATCAAGTGGCAAAGAACCGACAGACGTGGAAAGCTATGACCTCTGCCCTATGCGCCATCTTTGGCACAAGAGGAATAACTAACTAACTAACTAACTAAGAACAGTCAGAGCCCCAGGCACACTTGGGGGCAGTAGCTTTGTCTGCCATGTTTATGGGCCTGTAGAACAGTCAGAGCCCCAGGCACACTTGGGGGCAGTAGCTTTGTCTGCAATGTTTATGGGGCCTGTAGAACAGTCAGAGCCCCAGGCACACTTGGGGGCAGTAGCTTTGTCTGCCATGTTTATGGGGCCTGTAGAACAGTCAGAGCCCCAGGCACACTTGGGGGCAGTAGCTTTGTCTGCCATGTTTATGGGCCTGTAAAACAGTCAGAGCCCCAGGCACACTTGGGGGCAGTGACTAAATGTACAACAGCAATCGACACAAAGATAAAGTAGAGAATGAAAGAATATACATTTTCTTGAACAATGCTCCAAAAAGGAAGGTAAAGAGGCTGAATCGTTCAAAGAAAGTTCCTTCTGATGATCGGAAGGTTGTGCTTGCTGCTCCTTGGAGTTTCTACTACGTATACTGCTGTGGTGGAGACAGATGTATACTCAAGTGGTGGAGACAAAGATGTATACTGCTGTGGTGGAGACAAAGATGTATACTCAAGTGGTGGAGACAAAGATGTATATTGCTGTGGTGGAGACAAAGATGTATACTCAAGTGGTGGAGACAAAGATGTATACTGCTGTGGTGGAGACAAAGATGTATACTGCTGTGGTGGAGACAAAGATGTATACTGCTGTGGTGGAGACAAAGATGTATACTGCTGTGGAGGAGACAAAGATGTATACTCAAGTGGTGGAGACAAAGATGTATACTGCTGTGGTGGAGACAAAGATGTATACTCAAGTGGTGGAGACAAAGATGTATACTGCTGTGGTGGAGACAAAGATGTATACTCAAGTGGTGGAGACAAAGATCTATACTGCTGTGGAGGAGACAAAGATGTATACTGCTGTGGTGGAGACAAAGATGTATACTCAAGTGGTGGAGACAAAGATGTATACTGCTGTGGTGGGGACAAAGATGTATACTCAAGTGGTGGAGACAAAGATGTATACTCAAGTGGTGGAGACAAAGATGTATACTCAAGTGGTGGAGACAAAGATGTATACTCAAGTGGTGGAGACAAAGATGTATACTGCTGTGGTGGAGACAAAGATGTATACTCAAGTGGTGGAGACAAAGATGTATACTGCTGTGGTGGAGACAAAGATGTATACTGCTGTGGTGGAGACAAAGATGTATACTGCTGTGGAGGAGACAAAGATGTATACTCAAGTGGTGGAGACAAAGATGTATACTACTGTGGAGGAGACAAAGATGTATACTGCTGTGGAGGAGACAAAGATGTATACTGCTGTGGAGGAGACAAAGATGTATACTGCTGTGGTGGAGACAAAGATGTATACTGCTGTGGAGGAGACAAAGATGTATACTGCTGTGGAGGAGACAAAGATGTATACTCAAGTGGTGGAGACAAAGATGTATACTCAAGTGGTGGAGACAAAGATGTATACTGCTGTGGAGGAGACAAAGATGTATACTCAAGTGGTGGAGACAAAGATGTATACTGCTGTGGAGGAGACAAAGATGTATACTCAAGTGGTGGAGACAAAGATGTATACTGCTGTGGTGGAGACAAAGATGTATACTGCTGTGGTGGAGACAAAGATGTATACTCAAGTGGTGGAGACAAAGATGTATACTGCTGTGGAGGAGACAAAGATGTATACTCAAGTGGTGGAGACAAAGATGTATACTGCTGTGGTGGAGACAAAGATGTATACTGCTGTGGAGGAGACAAAGATGTATACTGCTGTGGTGGAGACAAAGATGTATACTCAAGTGGTGGAGACAAAGATGTATACTGCTGTGGTGGAGACAAAGATGTATACTGCTGTGGTGGAGACAAAGATGTATACTGCTGTGGAGGAGACAAAGATGTATACTGCTGTGGAGGAGACAAAGATGTATACTGCTGTGGAGGAGACAAAGATGTATACTGCTGTGGTGGAGACAAAGATGTATACTCAAGTGGTGGAGACAAAGATGTATACTGCTGTGGTGGAGACAAAGATGTATACTCAAGTGGTGGAGACAAAGATGTATACTGCTGTGGTGGAGACAAAGATGTATACTGCTGTGGAGGAGACAAAGATGTATACTGCTGTGGAGGAGACAAAGATGTATACTGCTGTGGTGGAGACAAAGATGTATACTGCTGTGGTGGAGACAAAGATGTATACTCAAGTGGTGGAGACAAAGATGTATACTCAAGTGGTGGAGACAAAGATGTATACTCAAGTGGTGGAGACAAAGATGTATACTGCTGTGGTGGAGACAAAGATGTATACTCAAGTGGTGGAGACAAAGATGTATACTGCTGTGGTGGAGACAAAGATGTATACTCAAAGTGGTGGAGACAAAGATGTATACTGCTGTGGTGGAGACAAAGATGTATACTGCTGTGGTGGAGACAAAGATGTATACTCAAGTGGTGGAGACAAAGATGTATACTCAAGTGGTGGAGACAAAGATGTATACTCAAGTGGTGGAGACAAAGATGTATACTCAAGTGGTGGAGACAAAGATGTATACTCAAGTGGTGGAGACAAAGATGTATACTCAAGTGGTGGAGACAAAGATGTATACTGCTGTGGTGGAGACAAAGATGTATACTGGCTGTGGTGGACAAAGATGTATACTCACGCTGTGGTGGAGACAAAGATGTATACTCAAGTGGTGGAGAGACAAGATGTATACTCAAGTGGTGGAGACAAAGATGTATACCTCAAGTGGTGGAGGACAAAGATGTATACTGCTTGTGGTGGAGACAAAGATGTATACTCAAGTGGTGGAGACAAAGATGTATACTCAAGTGGTGGAGACAAAGATGTATACTGCTGTGGTGGAGACAAAGATGTATACTCAAGTGGTGGAGACAAAGATGTATACTGGCTGTGGTGAGACAAAGATGTATACTGCTTGTGGTGGAGACAAAGATGTATACTCAAAGATGGTGGAGAGACAAAGATGTATACTCAAGTGGTGGAGACAAAGATGTATACTCAAGTGGTGATGTATAACTGGGGTGTTGGAGACAAAGATGTATACTGCTGGTTGAGACAAAGATGTATACTCAAGTGGTGGAGACAAAGATGTATACTGCTGTGGTGGAGACAAAGATGTATACTGCTGTGGTGGAGACAAAGATGTATACTGCTGTGGTGGAGACAAAGATGTTATACTCAAGTGGTGGAGAGACAAAAGATGTATACTCAAGTGGTGGAGACAAAGATGTATACTCAAGTGGTGGAGACAAAGATGTATACTCAAGTGGTGGTGATGTATACTCAAGTGGTGAGACAAAAGATGAATACTGCTGTTGGTGAGACAAAGATGTACTCTGTGGTGGAGACAACGATGGTGGGGAGGACAAAGATGTATACTAAAGTGGTGGAGACAAAGATGTATACTCAAGTGGTGGAGAGACAAAAGATGTATACTACTCAAGTGGTGGAGACAAAGATGTATACTCAGGTGAAGACAAAGATGTATACTCAATTGGTGGAGACAAGATGTATACTGGTGTGGTGGAGACAAAGATGTATACTCAAGTGGTGGAGACAAAGATGTATACTGCTGTGGTGGAGACAAAGATGTAGTACAGGATACAATTTTCTTTCATTGTCCCTGATAATTTAATCTAGTTTCTAGTGTTTCCTTCCTGTAACGGCCAGTTTTCTTGGCATTGCCATAAGTACGTCTGACTTGTTAGCTCAACGTGCCAACACGTCATCTCTCTAGGATGAATATTTGTAGGTGTGTGTAATATTGTCAGCATATCTGACATATCTTTTGCATTTGGATGATAGAAAAGTATTCGGCACTAGAGAAAGAGTCAGCGTTGACCTGGCTTAGCACAGTGGTAATGATGGCTGTGGGGCATTGAGCAGCAAAATGAATTAATATCCGCATATTCATTTAATTATTGTTAACGTGGTTTGAATTTTTATTTTATTGAATGTTTTTAGCAAATAATTTTCTTTCATGAATCACAATTTTTTTTTTTTTAATAACTATTGTTGTGTATAGTTTTTTAAAAAATGAAGTCAGTATAACATGCTTATATTCTCATTTAAAAAAAAAAAAATCAGCCACTGTATTTATTAATTTATTAATTACACCTGTTATTAACGATTCCGATTTTATTATATACATTTGCGTTTCTATCTACTTTACAGAATCATGGAATTTTCTGTAAAAATAGGAGACAATAGAAACTCTGAGAGCTGCCGTGTGCCAAGAGACAGAAATGAGGGTGTTGTTGTTGATTTCTCCACTGATAATGGGATCACCTGGCAAGTTTTGAAAGTTGTTGAGCCAAGTTTTGAGGACATCACACCCAGCACTGTGCTTATTGAGCTGCCTTCAAGTGCTAAACAGGAGAGAACCATTTTTAGATTCTGGCAGCCACTGGGTCTGGGAGGTGAGTCCCACCCCCCCCCCCCCCTCTTCTTAAAATTGTTATCTGTCAAAATATGTCAGATATGTCTGAAATTGTGGACAGGTCTGAACTTAAACTTTTCAAATAATTCTAACTGATGGATCAATTTAACCATATATAATAAAGCAAACAAGGGAATTGAGACCACACACACATATATACACACACTGTGTAAAAAAGGAGCATATAAGTAAAAACAGAAATGACTTTTCCTAGTCTGTCACATATTTCCATCTGGTCAGCAGTTAGAGTTACTTTAATAATTTAGTCCCATTCTCCCCACAGTTCTAGACACATCTGGAGAATTTGTTTTATTTGTAAAAATGCAAGCCAAAGGTAAAGAAGACAGAAGGAAGTATGTAAAAAGCTGAAACGCCTGGGCAACAGTAATAATGTAAGCAACATAATATAATCACAATGTTAGATAAAACAGAAGGTGCGAGAGTTCAGTACCAGACAGTGCCCCTCCAGACAAGGCAATTGAATTAGAAATCAAATGTGTAGAATTCCTTTATTATAACTACTTGGATGCCCCAGTCTTTTGATTCTGCACCTCAATGAATGCCAAATGATATAGATAATTCAAATAATAACCGCAATTAGCTTCCATTACAAAATTGATTTACTCCTACTGTCAGATTGTATGCATTGCTGAATCCTCAAATACTTATTCGTTGCTGACAGACATTCATTTTGTTATTCATTTATGCAGTTTTTGGCTTGAATATATTACTTGTGCCACAATATGTTGTGTTATTCCCTGAATTGATCATCACAATAACACAACTGTGAAACTGAGACCAATACTTCTGATGGTGCAATGTTTCACAGATATGCCAAGAGCAGAGTGGGCGGTGGACAGTGTTATGGTGGGTGTCAATGAGACCAGTGACTATGGTTTTGAGGATACTTTTGATGGTGAGTACATTACTATACTGTCTGTCACTTTTGTGCTTGTGATGGTATACAATCATAGTTACTATATGGCACAGAAGCCATCAGTAATATTTTCAGAGATGCAAGTAAAGTGTATAATATGGACATACAGAGGAACAGGACATGTTTCATGGACACAAAACTTGGGAATGAAAAATGTGCTGGCGCAGAAAATAAAAATGAGATTAAAAGACATTACTATTAGCAAAATCATATAGGAGGACATAGTGAAGAGGATATGGACATTTATATAGATGGGAAGATAATCCTAAGAGATGGACCAGCAGTTGTTTGTCTGAGTTCACCGCCAAAGCAGAAATAGAAAATGTTAGAAATCAATTGCTGCAAAACTTTGTTGATGTGATTACACTTGATACACAACTATTTTCCACTATTAAAGTTCTTAGCTTCTTAGAATATGCATAGTTAATTTTGATAACAACTGCAGTGTCATTACAAATAAATCACATTAATTCTTTTCATTTAAATTCACAGCCACAAAATCATCTTCATATTTGGAGTCTCAGTGCTTATAAATAATTCAGAAAGACTTGAAATATGTCTCCACAAATTGTTGGCAGTTTTCCAGCTTATTATCATTGTACTTTGTATTCCCATCCAGGAAGAAACCCTGATCCACATAACTGGTTCCTTGCTGATTCTGCAGTTCAGAGAGAGACATGCAACTCAAATGATAATGCGCTGGAGTTCAGCAACAAGAATGGTTTGTCAGTTCTTATTTTCTATGAGACCTGTACAGACAACATACTGAATAATTAACAGTTACACTCTTGTTCTGATTAGATTTACATGCCTCTGGTAACAGGAGAATCACTTGAGACACCTGTTGTTATTGTTTGTTTGCATTCATCAGCTGTCAACTCTGGCAGAAAGTCCTGGTTGTACATCTATTTATGATTGGCTTTGTTCCAGGACTTGAGTTTTGCATGCATATCTGTTTTTACAGATCTGGCTTATTTGTGTATAGCCTGTTGTTTCCTTGTTTCCTTGCCTATCAGGCAGATGTACTGTACAGTTATATGCTGCTTCATGGTGAGCTTAAATTGAATCTTCATCAGTGGCAAAATCTGAATTGTTTTCATCAGTATTTATATGACGTTCTGAAAATGTCTCCATGCAACCTGTGAGCAGTGGTTTCATTATTAACCGCTGGATCCTGATGTTTAAGCTCAAAGTTAAAGATAAGAAGATCAACTTCGTTGCACTGAGTTTTATCCCATATGACTCAATCTCTCTCCAGACAATGGCTAGCTGCCCGCCGAGAGCGATACCCAAAGCACAAACTCTGTAGCTTTGGTGACAATCCTGGGGGATCTTGGGGGGGGGGGGGGGGAATAGCACTCCAAAATTGAATAACACAACCTTGAATTGAACTCATGACCTTCAGAGAACGAGGCATTTGGCTTGAACACCCGGCCATGGAGATTGCTTGAACACCTGGCCATGGAGATGGCTTGAACACCTGGCCATGGAGATGACTTGAACATCTAGCCATGGAGATGACTTGAACATCTGGCCATGGAGATGGCTTGAACATCTGGCCATGGAGATGGCTTGAACATCTGGCCATGGAGATGGCTTGAACACCTGGCCATGGAGATGACTTGAACACCTGGCCATGGAGATGGCTTGAACACCTGGCCATGGAGATGGCTTGAACACTCGGCCATGGAGATTACTTGAACACTCGGCCATGGAGATGTCTTGAACATCTGGCCATGGAGATGACTTGAACACCTGGCCATGGAGATGACTTGAACACCTGGCCATGGAGATGGCTTGAACACCTGGCCATGGAGATGACTTGAACACCTGGCCATGGAGATGACTTGAACATCTGGCCATGGAGATGACTTGAACATCTGGCCATGGAGATGACTTGAACATCTGGCCATGGAGATGGCTAGAACATCTGGCCATGGAGATGGCTTAAACACCTGGCCATGGAGATGGCTTGAACATCTGGCCATGGAGATGGCTAGAACATCTGGCCATGGAGATGGCTTGAACACCTGGCCATGGAGATGGCTTGAACATCTGGCCATGGAGATGGCTTGAACATCTGGCCATGGCTTGAACACCTGGCCATGGAGATGGCTTGAACACCTGGCCATGGAGATGGCTTGAACACCTGGCCATGGAGATGGCTTGAACACCTGGCCATGAAGATGGCTTGAACACCTGGCCACGGAGATGGCTTGAACATCTGGCCATGGAGATGGCTTGAACACCTGGCCATGGAGATGGCTTGAACATCTGGCCATGGAGATGGCTTGAACACCTGGCCATGGAGATGACTTGAACACCTGGCCATGGAGATGGCTTGAACACCTGGCCATAGAGATGGCTTGAACATCTGGCCATGGAGATGGCTAGAACACCTGGCCATGGAGATGGCTTGAACATCTGGCCATGGCTTGAACACCTGGCCATAGAGATGGCTTGAACACCTGGCCATAGAGATGGCTTGAACACCTGGCCATGGAGATGGCTTGAACACCTAGCCATGGAGATGGCTAGAACACCTGGCCATGGAGATGGCTAGAACATCTGGCCATGGAGATGGCTTGAACACCTGGCCATGGAGATGGCTAGAACATCTGGCCATGGAGATGGCTAGAACATCTGGCCATGGAGATGGCTTGAACACCTGGCCATGGAGATGGCTAGAACATCTGACCATGGAGATGGCTTGAACACCTGGCCATGGAGATGGCTTGAACATCTGGCCATGGAGATGGCTTGAACATCTGGCCATGGCTTGAACACCTGGCCATGGAGATGGCTTGAACACCTGGCCATGGAGATGACTTGAACACCTGGCCATGGAGATGGCTTGAACACTTACCAAAGCATTTGCTTGACTTCTAACTGTAATATCTCTCATTGAAATGAAATATTTGGACAGGTCTTCAACAGGCAGAAACCTGGGACTATCAGGTGACCCCATCAACATTCCTTCAGTTTGACCTGGCCATGAACTGTGGTTCATTGCCTAGTGACCTCTACAGCATCCGGGTGGACTACTCTACCGACCATGGGCAGACTTGGATCCCAGTGATCAACGAATGCAAGCCACCAAACTTTGAGTGTTCTGGGTATCATTTGAGCTCATCCTACATGTCAGATCAGTTTCCAGACTGGAGACGAGTCACTGTGGCACTGCCAGAGGGAGCTGTGTAAGACACATTCTTTGTAAATGTTGTATTTTTATACTTTTGTCTGATGTAAATATATTCAGTTGACAAAGTTTGTTAATTCATCTACTAGAACAAACAGCCACACACACACACAAAAGTAATTATACAAACATGTTGATGTTCTCAAACTTGTTTCTGTTCCAGATTGTGTGTCATTGATAGTCTAAGAGAGGTAGTATGAACCAAAAATCTTAATTATGTTTACATTTGCAAGGGCCAACTACACATTCCTTGTAGGAGACAGATGTGCAATTGGAGTGCATGAATATCTTCTTTTTCTTAAGCACTGAGGCTCTTTGTTGCAGATAGCACCACCTGTATTCATCTCCGGGGTTGGCCTTCTCCTTTCAAGTGTTTGTAAGCTTGTCTGTTTAATATCTCCACCATCTTCTTGTAGTCTTCTTGGTCAGGTTTGTGGCCTAGTTTCATTTCCCTTTCTATATCACAACCATTCAAATCTATGAAGGCTATTCCAAAATCAATCTCCGATTTGCTGGTTTAAAAAACAAAAATTTCCGTAGTGACACCATTTATTGCTTGCATCATTCATTTATCTTTTATCCCACTAAACAACAACCTACACATTTGTTCAGTGGTTCACGAATCATAGCAAATCAAAATGAACCATTTTACTGCCTATCCAGCCAGCGGTGCTATTCATGGCGTGATTCATTTTCTTCAAGCAGAAGGTCAAAATGCTGCTGAGATTCATTGTCGATTGTGTCGTGTGTATGGTAGTAATGTTAGGAGTGACAGTTCTGTGATGGTTTGGTGCAGGAAATTTGAAATGGCCATAAAGATGTATATGATGAGAGTGGACAAGGATGACTTTGATGTGTGACATATGAGCTCATTCAAAATGTTAAACCATGTTTTAGTGGAAGAGCACCGTTTCAGAGTTTCATATCTTTCTACAGAATGTCCACAAATTTCTGGGACTAGCTTGTTTTGCATTGTCACAGAGAGGTAAGGCTCATTGTGGGTACCACAGCAACTGACTGATGTTCACAGCATTCAAAGAGATGAAGGAATAGTCACAACAGTGAATGTCTACTCATTCTCCAAACAATTTTACCAAATTCAGGCACACATTTTCACAATGAAAAATGATGGTTACAGTGTTCTGGGACTGCAACAGCATTTTGTTGACACTAGTGACCACAGTAACATTACAAGTTTATTGTGAAACACTAAACAGGCAGATTGATCAATCCAAAACAAGGCAAGGTGAAGGTCTGGTCCGCTACCCATCTCCTTGACACTGACGAGGAGCTCAAGAATGGAGCCAGTAACTGGCTCAGTACCCTACCATGCATTCCTTGACAAGGGGTTACAAAACCTAATGCCTGAATTTTAGTTCTGACTTTGTGAAAAAGTGATGCAGGAATGTATGATACTTTTGTATGTATTTAAGTGTTATCAATTTTTATGAATTTGTACCAGCCAATCAGATGTTGATTTTGGAGTAGCCCTCGTATTATCCCTCTGGATGTCAATAATTAGTGGGGTTTTTTAAACAGATTATAAATTTCGGTGTTGCTTCTCACTCTCCATTCTCTGCTGTTTGCATAATTCAAGTGCTCAAGTATGTCCTGACTAAATGTAAGATGTACAAACTATACGATATGTTGACTGGTAAACATGAGAAATATCCAGCCACATACGGGGCTCTGTTTGGTATTTCAAGAGTAAACTATACGATATGTTGACTGGTAAACATGAGAAATATCCAGCCACATACGGGGCTCTGTTTGGTATTTCAAGAGTAAACTATACGATATGTTGACTGGTAAACATGAGAAATATCCAGCCACATACGGGGCTCTGTTTGGTATTTCAAGAGTAAACTATACGATATGTTGACAGGTACACGTTGCCTGTTGTCTTTTATCAATGATGTTTATATGCTGAAGCTCAGGCCTCTGGCCCTTGATGCTCCCCATTTTCAGAATTGTTGCCCTTGAGTACACTTAATTGTATAGCCATGGACTCGAGGTTTCCCATTTTCAGAATTATTGCCCTTTAGTACACTTAGTTGTATAGCCATGGACTCGAGGTTTCCCATTTTCAGAATTGTTGCCCTTGAGTACACTTAGTTGTATAGCCCTGGACTCGAGGCTCCCTTGAGTACACTTAGTTGTATAGCCCTGAACTAGAGGTTCCCTTGAGTACACTTAGTTGTATAGCCCTGGACTAGAGGTTCCCCATTTCCAGAATTGTTGCCCTTGAGTACACTTAGTTGTATAGCCCTGGACTAGAGGTTCCCCATTTCCAGAATTGTTGCCCTTGAGTACACTTAGTTGTATAACCCTGGACTAGAGGTTCCCCATTTTCAGAATTGTTGCCCTTGAGTACACTTAGTTGAATAGCCCTGGACTAGAGATTCCATTGCAAAGAGAATCTAATTATTTTGTTATCACATTTTCTTAGCATGTTGTATAAACCTAAAGACTCATGAATTGATCACAGTGGCCAATTGTCTGAACGCGGTTTCTGGGACATCTCCACGGTGATCCTCATCCGCTAGAGGTGGCCCATTTTGTCATCGGGTTGTTTGAGTACTTGTGTTGTGTCCTGGTGGGGTAGAAAGTCAGTCAGTCATCACAGTGATAGTGGTGTTCTTTTAATGCCTCAAGTAATTATGATGTCTTGGAAGTATTTTTTAAATCTCAAAATGAAATACCCAGATGTCATGTTGTTGTTGGATTTAGGTCTCCTGCAACACGAATTCGCTGGTTGGGCCCAAAACCTGAACTAGGAAGTAATATTTGGGCCCTGGACAATGTCTACTTGGGGGATGAGTGCCCGTGGCTCTGCTCTGGTCATGGGTTTTGCCATCAAGGAAAATGTCAGTAAGTAAAATCCTGTCCTACAACAGAATCTCAGTCATTGACAGTTTAGTCAGTTTTATTCTTCTGCATTGGCTGCTATAAGGGTGGTTGGCGTACTGTCTTGTGGTTTACAGCTAAACTGCAAGATCTGTGCTGCTATAAGGGTGGTTGGCGTATTGTCTTGTGGTTTACAGCTAAACTGCGAGATCTGTGCTTTTGGCCCAACACATTTGATTTCTGCAAATTCTTGAATTGGTTGACAGCTTGTGTTCCACAGGGACATAAAAGACAGATTTAGATAAGATCTCAAAGTCATAAAAGATTAATTTCATTCAAACATATTCAGATTTCAAGTATACAAATAAATCTACACAGAGCTATAGTATGCACAGATGCTTACCTTTGTGGTTAAAAAGGTCATGTCAGTGCACTTGGAACATGCTCAGAAAGGCTCCATTTCTCTGCAGGTTTAACAAGAATAAAGTGTCAATGCTGGCATCCTCTGTTACATTCTGGCTGGAAGAAGATAATAAATGCAGCAGTCGTCCAAACAACAGTTGAAAACCTTAGGCTCATTCAAGAATTTAGAAGAGGTCAACAATTCAAGAACATATAAGGAGAAACAACATTTTAAACAGGTGACTGCTGGGAATATTTGATGAGAAAAGAGCAAGAAGTCAAAGACATTAATAGCCTAATGGCTCAGCCTTTCTGCATGGAGATAATAAGAACATAGACCTAATCTGTGATTGTGTGAGATGACAAACTCACTGACTTTGCTAGTCAGCAGAGCACATGATGGTTGCATGACTGACTCCCAGCTGGTGTCAACATGTATCACGTTTTCGTTACATCAGCAGATTGTTGTCTCATTGAATGTTGCATTGTTAGCAAGGAGTTTTTCCTTGAGTTGAGTTGAGTCAACAATTGACATCCCTGCACTGGGGGCATTCCCATGTATGCTCCGTCCTCATCTTCAGCAGCCAGCCAGCCAGTTCCAATACTGATGGTAACGATACAATCTGCTTATATGTCTTCTTCTTCTTGTTCACCGGCTGTGAATTCCGGCGGTAAGTCACGGTTGTTCGTCCAAAATGGACTTTTGGCTTTTACCTTGACCTGAGTTTTTGCGTGTACATCCGTTTTACTGGCACTTATTTGTTTGCAGTACTCGTTTCCCCGCCTCTCCGGCAGATTGTTGCCGACTTCGGAGGAAGACGTCAAGCCTATTTCTAGGTTGACTGTGGCCATTGTTTTGTGTGGGTCGAGATGTTGCCTTATTTGTGTGGTTGTCCTCTTGAGACTTTTTGAATAGGTGTGGCCCCCGGCATGTCGTCCTTAAGGCAGCTCTATGTAGAGTTTTCAGCCCATCAAAGGAAGGCAGCAGGGGCAGATCATGGGCATTCCCCGCCATCCAAGGAGGCTTCCATAAATGCAGAGCCGACACATGATGCTCTGGTTCTGGGCTCACCCAAAATGGAATCGTCACGTCCTGCCTATGACTGCTTAACCTCACAACCGTGTATTGAGCTTCCCGCGCTACAAGGGCTGCGCTCTCCGGGAGATCAGCGGGGAGCAGCTCTGCTCTGTCTAGGACGTTTGTCATCAAGGCCAAACAAATAGTAAATTCTGTTTCATCTTACAGAATTCAGTCACCAGTTTAGTCACGTTGTTTCAGCTGCATTGCCTGCTTTAAGCACGACAGAATTGTCCTATGGTTTAAGCAAAATGCGAGATCAGGCGTTTGGCCCACAATCTGATTTCCCAAATCCTTGAATTGGTTGACAGTTGGACCATGGGGATAAAAGACAGATTCAGACTTTTCAAAGTCCTAAAAGGTACGAGTTTCATGATCGTATTCACTTTTCAAGTATACATGTGTGCCGCAGAGCTGTAACTTATGTCAGACATGCTTTTTCAAGCCAAATATATGAATGTCAGTTGCTGCCATGGTTTTAACAAGAATAAAGTGTCAATGCTGGCACCTCGACATTCTGAGGAAGACAGAGGATAAATGCACGTAGTCCAAACATCTTGCTGCGAGAGGCTCATTCGAGAAATTAGATGTCAACAATTCTTGACATGCGGGTAAATCTCTCGGTGAGGGCTGAGAATATCAGCAGCACAGTTTTCCATTCGCTCCCAAATAGCTTAACCAAGGCTCAGCATTCTGATGGAGATACATTTAGCAATAGCACCTTGAATCTTTGTTGTGTTTTGACCCATGCTTTGGGGCGGGCTGGTGAGAGCACAGAAAGGATACACCTCTTGGGGCCGTTCTGACTCACAGATCCCCTGCCAACATGTTAATTGCTCATTTACAGACATTATCCGTGGCGCATTGACGGGGTACGTGCAAGCAGGAGTCTTGCATGAGGTGAGTCAACCAAACAGTGACACTGGCGCCCGAGTGGGGGCATTCGGATGTATGCTCCTTATACATCTTCACATCAGCACTTAGAGTTCCAATCATGCCTGTGACCGAAATCACAATCTGCTTATATGTGAGTCTTTCCTTGATTGTTTACTCAATTGAAGATTTGTCTATTTTAAATTTTATTACCAGTGTGCATACCATAAATTTTTTCAGCTGTGATCAAGGTTTCGGTGGGGATTTCTGTGTTCCCTTTGTTCCACTACCTATGGCCATTCGTGATGACTTTAACTCAGAGAAATCTGACAACACTGTGTGGAAAGAGATCTATGGTGGAAGCAATAGTCACATGTGTGGGCCAGTTGTCACTGGGAGATCTCTCACATTCAACAAGGTATGGTTTCATTGTTGTCTACTTCTTGCCTTTTTTGCCATTGAGTTTGCCACTTTGGCACTTTGTTTTCAAGTTTATTTCTTCTCACATACTCAAAAACATCTTTGCTGTCCACATGTAATTTCAGTAATCATTTATGATTGTTATCTGTGGTATTCAGACATTTCTGAGACACAAAATTTCTGCTTGTCTTAGGTGTTTGGATATTTCTAAGAAACTAAATTTCTGCTACTCTTAGGTCTTTCTCACCGTGGCTGCCTATTGTCCATACACAAATATAGTCTCTATGTGTCACTTCAACACCTCTATATGTCACTTTAACACTCCTATTGTAATTTGACATTTTATTGTATTTATATTTTCTCAGTGTCAATTATTGGCATTTCAAATATTACACTAGTCTTCTCTTTGAAAGGTCAATTATTTGCCCAACAGACTTTGTGTCCTTAATAAATAATTTAAGGAAGATTACGTAACTTTGGAGGGAAAAGGGGGGGGGGGGGGGGGGGGGGATTGAATAAGACATGTAATTTACATTTTCCCAGTGGGGATAGATTCACATCTGCATTGAGGTGGACTTTTAACTCTTTGAGTCCCAGCGGGTTTAGGATCACAGGCCCAAGGGGTAGTCAAGAAATACGTAAAATCGGCGCATCTTGCATTCATTGGGATTCCAGGTAGGAATTTATGAACGTATGACACGTTCCTTGGGACTCAAAGGGTTAAATTCACCTTGGCATCCATGTTGACCCAGCCTAAAAATGTACAGTGAAATATCCTTGGAAGCAAATGTGGATGATATGACATTGACCACCTACCAGCAGAGTGTCAGTTGGTCTATAAAAAGTCTGGAACTAGCACCATATGCCCAGTATACCATGACGTGCTCAGTTGAAAAGCACAGGGGACCATGTTTCACTATCTCATAGTGTCACTTAGTAACCAGTCTTCAAAACATGGCCGCAGTGGTGTGTCAACAGGCAATCATTGTCACAACCATTCATTATATTTTTAAAAAATTTGCATATCATGTACACTTTTTGGTACATTCCAGAAATGTCATTAGGGAAGTGAACATCTTTTCATGGCGGTTATGATTTAGTATTTACCTAACCTACCAAGCGTTTTGTCTTAGTAAAACTTCAGTTTTTATCCATCCTTCGCTTACTATTGTTAACACTTGCCCGTCTCTCTAGCGTAGTTGGCTAAACCAGATTGCGTGGTGAGCGGGTGACGAACTCCTTGTGGTCCGGGTTCACTCACGGGGGTAGGCAGAAAAGCCACATTTCTCCCAGATTTACGGTATTTAAAAAGGATTCAAGGCCGAAAGGTTGCGATATCCAAAATACCGAGCCTAAGGGTTAACAACTCATTGCTTCTGGATAGTAAAACAAACAAACTATTGTTAACAAACACCAAGGCCCACGTAAAAAATCCCTTAGCAGTTGGAAATCGAAAAGAGTAGCCTAACATTGCTGCTTGGGGAAAGATTTGGAGTTGAAAATCTAACCAAAGCATTTCAGGATCCTCGCATGTGCATTGGAGTTCCTGCACTGCGCTGAGATTCTTCTGACTCAGGTTAGAGTGAGAAGAAGAACGGAGCACTTATGGGTTACACCCGTGTGCCATGATGTTGATCTGTTCAATAAACATAAACATAGTATCACCAGAATCATTGCACGGATCCATATTGGCCAAGTCCTCCAGGTATTTTTCTCTTTGCCTTCTCCTTCCTGTTTTTCCATCAATATTGCCTGCCCATTGTAACCAAGTTCTTCAGTCCATTGCTTCTCACAAAATGTCTATAAAATATTGACTGTCTACTTGGTGTACATGTAATAACATTATTTATCTTCTTCGTTGCTTGTTAGGATGGCCTTCGCATGGCAGTTACACAGGACATGGACACCACCATGCTGGTCTCAGCTGAGTTTTATTTCAAGTACGGCTGTGGCTCAGAAGCACCTTTCTGGCCCCGAAACCAAAGCGTGCTGCTGCAGTATTCAGTGAACGGGGGAATTACATGGAAGCTTCTGAAGGAGATTCATTTCTCCAACACTTCGGCTCCAAAGTAGGTCATAGTTGGATTTGTAGAACATGTTATTTACTTGCCTTATCTTTGTTTAATTTCCAATATGTAAATTCTGTGTGCACTATTCTTTATTTTGACTTCACAAATCAGTGATTTTAGTGTGTGTATTACTGTATGTTTTTATATGTGCTGACAGTAAACAAAACATGAATTATCTGTGGGAATCTTTTATCGATTAGCCTTCCTGGACAGATTTAATTCTCTATAGAAGATTTCCTCCAGGATGCCAACTAAACCTTCAGAGATTGATCATTAAAAAATAAAACCCTGTTCACATGGTTATTTCCAACACAGCAATGTTGGGTTTTCCACCATACACTTGATGCGTAAACAGTTCCTTTCCAGTGGACACTCTGCTTCACACATGGTGTCCGTGTTTGGTGCTCAATTCAACATTCCTTTCTTCTGTATACATTTCAACAAAACCTGACATAATCAGCAACACAATACAGATAATGACTTCAGTCAATGGAATCACAGCTAGAGATGAGTCCAATGACCTTTGAAAACGATCCAGGAAAAGTATCCAAAACAGTTGTGGATACATGTTTACCCGGATCAACAAACAGTGTGATTAACAACAGGGGTGTTGGCATCTTTACATATCCAGACAACCAGTGACACAGCAGAGATCCTAGCAGTAGAGCAGGCTGCCAAAATTTTACACAACATCAGTTCTGACTGCCACCACATGGCCACCTTCAAGGAATCACTGTCAGTGCTACAAATAGGGAATCCTAGAGGATGAGGTCCCTCTACTTGCTTCACTGCTACTTATCTGCTGCCACTGTACACTGAGATTGCCTTGTAATAAGAAGAAACTCCACAGGGGAGCATGTACAGCAGGAGTCTACCAATCATCAGCACAGGGGAGCATGTACAGCAGGAGTCTACCAATCATCACCATAGGGGAGCATGTACAGCAGGAGTCTACCAATCATCACCATAGGGGAGCATGTACAGCAGGAGTCTACCAATCATCAGCATAGGGGAGCATGTACAGCAGGAGTCTACCAATCATCAGCACAGGGGAGCATGTACAGCAGGAGTCTACCAATCATCAGCACAGGGAAGCATGTACAGCAGGAGTCTACCAATCATCAGCACAGGGAAGCATGTACAGCAGGAGTCTACCAATCATCAGCATAGGGGAGCATGTACAGCAGGAGTCTGCTAATCATCAGCACAGGGGAGCATGTACAGCAGGAGTCTGCTAATCATCAGCACAGGGAAGCATGTACAGCAGGAGTCTACCAATCATCACCACAGTGGAGCATGTACAGCAGGAGTCTACCAATCATCAGCATAGGGGAGCATGTACAGCAGGAGTCTGCTAATCATCAGCACAGGGGAGCATGTACAGCAGGAGTCTGCTAATCATCAGCACAGGGGAGCATGTACAGCAGGAGTCTGCTAATCATCAGCACAGGGGAGCATGTACAGCAGGAGTCTACCAATCATCAGCACAGGGGAGCATGTACAGCAGGAGTCTGCTAATCATCAATAGAAGTCATCTCTCATCAACAAATGTTTCGGTCCACGAGCTCCTAGATATTTGTATAATATACACAGAACATAGCTTGTCCACAAGTCTACATGCAGATAACTTTAGGTGTTGAAATTTTATAACACTGACATGTCTGTGGTTTTACTTTATGCAATCAGTTAGTGATTCATGTAGACTGGTTACAAGAATCTTTCATTGATTATAAATGTATTTAATTGAGAAACTTAAATTACAAATGTATTTCACTAAAAAACTTAACTTCACATTATTCCATGTTTTTAGATTCTACACACTGCTGTTGCCATCATCAGCAAAACATAATGCTACCAGGTTGAGGTTTTGGCAGGCTGCTAATGGAGGGGAGATGAGATCTGTCTGGTCTGTGGACAATCTCTTCATTGGCACAATGGCTGTCAACCCTGGTTCAGTAGTGGATAACTTTGACACTGACCAACCCGATCCAATGTCATGGATTTTTGTGAATGATGGAACTGTGGATGAATATTGCTCTCGCAATTCTCGGTAAGCAGGAAATGATATGTGTTTTAAACTTTTCTGCTAATCTGTTTTGAAATTTTTAAAAATTCCGGGGGAGGGTGGGAGGGGGTTGCATTTAGCTAATAAAGACAGCCCCTGGAGAGCCAGATGGGAGACTGAGAGAAAAGATGCTAGATGGTTTGACATAATGGCTTGGAGGATCATCTTTGTCAGAGCTGATTGAAAGTACACGAGACAGAAGGTTGTGGATAAACATGACTACCCATGCCCAGCACGGCATGGAGGATCATCTTTGTCAGAGCTGATTGAAAGTACATGAGACAGAAGGTTGTGGATAAACATGACTATCCATGCCCAGCACGGCATGGAGGATCATCTTTGTCAGAGCTGATTGAAAGTACATGAGACAGAAGGTTGTGGATAAACATGACTATCCATGCCCAGCACGGCATGGAGGATCATCTGTGTCAGAGCTGATTGAAAGTACATGAGACAGAAGGTTGTGGATAAACATGACTATCCATGCCCAGCACGGCATGGAGGATCATCTTTGTCAGAGCTGATTGAAAGTACATGAGACAGAAGGTTGTGGATAAACATGACTATCCATGCCCAGCACGGCTTGGAGGATCATCTTTGTCAGAGCTGATTGAAAGTACATGAGACAGAAGGTTGTGGATAAACATGACTATCCATGCCCAGCACGGCATGGAGGATCATCTTTGTCAGAGCTGATTGAAAGTACATGAGACAGAAGGTTGTGGATAAACATGACTATCCATGCCCAGCACGGCATGGAGGATCATCTGTGTCAGAGCTGATTGAAAGTACATGAGACAGAAGGTTGTGGATAAACATGACTATCCATGCCCAGCACGGCATGGAGGATCATCTGTGTCAGAGCTGATTGAAAGTACATGAGACAGAAGGTTGTGGATAAACATGACTATCCATGCCCAGCACGGCATGGAGGATCATCTGTGTCAGAGCTGATTGAAAGTACATGAGACAGAAGGTTGTGGATAAACATGACTATCCCATGCCCAGCACGGCATGGAGGATCATCTGTGTCAGAGCTGATTGAAAGTACATGAGACAGACGGTTGTGGATAAACATGACTATCCATGCCCAGCACGGCATGGAGGATCATCTGTGTCAGAGCTGATTGAAAGTACGTGAGACAGAAGGTTGTGGATAAACATGACTATCCATGCCCAGCACGGCATGGAGGATCATCTTTGTCAGAGCTGATTGAAAGTACATGAGACAGAAGGTTGTGGATAAACATGACTATCCATGCCCAGCACGGCATGGAGGATCATCTGTGTCAGAGCTGATTGAAAGTACATGAGACAGAAGGTTGTGGATAAACATGACTACCCATGCCCAGCACGGCATGGAGGATCATCTGTGTCAGAGCTGATTTAAAGTACATGAGACAGAAGGTTGTGGATAAACATGACTACCCATGCCCAGCACGGCATGGAGGATCATCTGTGTCAGAGCTGATTGAAAGTACATGGGACAGAAGGTTGTGGATAAACATGACTACCCATGCCCAGCACGGCATGGAGGATCATCTGTGTCAGAGCTGATTGAAAGTACATGAGACAGAAGGTTGTGGATAAACATGACTACCCATGCCCAGCACGGCATGGAGGATCATCTGTGTCAGAGCTGATTGAAAGTACATGAGACAGAAGGTTGTGGATAAACATGACTATCCATGCCCAGCACGGCATAGACTTCAGGAAGAATACAGCACACATTTTAATTCCACTGGTGACATCCCCTTTTATTTTCCCCTCCCCCACATGCAGGCACATACACACCAGAGTATATATAAATTCTTTAAAGTACCAGAAATCTCACTATATGTTCAGCATTTTTGCCAAAGCATCCAACTTAACATCTGCATCATTCCATATTGTTACTTTGCAATTTCTATCCTGTAGCTGATTGATTTAAACTACATAAGACTCAGAAACGAATATTTTGAAGTATCAAAACACCATAATAGAAAAAGTTAAAGAAGCAGCTCTCTAGGACTGAAACAGTTAATGGGATTGTATCAAAATCATTAGTAATATCGCTGTTTAACAAACAGAACAGTCATTCGCCTCTTATGAAAAGAAGAATTTCATTATAAAACTGAATCGACAAGGAGACATCTACTGCACTACTACTTTGATGGAGCAAAACAAAATATAACATTGAATGGTCACCTTAGCTCAAGTTACTCCCTGTCAGCCTTATGCACAGGTGAACTGGCAGAACCGACAGCCATACATTTTCTTCAAGACTGCCAGGTTTTGTGTCAGTTGTTGACTGTAAATTGGCTCCCAGAGACAGCAGTTCACATTCTTGTTTTTCTTCACAATCACTGGCTGTAAACTGATGCAGAAAGCTCTAGTTGTTCATCCAGCTCTGGACTCAAGTCTTATTCCAGAATCTGAGTGTTGTGTGCACATTCATTTTACAGATCTGACTCTTTTGTGTACAAACTGTTTGGTTCCTTGCTTCCCAGGCAGATACACTCTGATTTCAAAGGAAGCCTCAAGTTAGTTGACTTTTACACATGCTTTTTTGGGGAAGCAGTGGGTGTATTCTGTTTTTCCCCACAATAGGGCTCTGGACTCACATGGATAAACTTTTGATTACGGCAGCATTCACACAGTAAACATATTTTTTTTTAATTGTGTAGAGATCATTGTAACAACAGAAAACAAAAAATAAACAAGAAGAAGGAGATTGCTTGATGCATTCTAGTCTTCACTGGGAAGCTAAATCAGATAATCTTTTGTTGACTGTGTTATAGAAACATAATACGATTGTACAGTTTACTGTGTATGTTGTCTATATTGTTTCACTGCAGCTCTTTGACTGACACGGGAGTCACATCCCTTGTGTTCCGGCGTGAAGAAGGGGGAGAACTATCTGCGATTTCCTCTGACCTTGAGATTGGACCAATGTCAATTTTGCAATTCGATGTGAGTCTTGAATCAACATTTGCTGGGGGGAGCAAGTATTGCCTGCCAAGAATGACTTTGTACCACTTGTTGCAAGACAGAGTAAAGGGTGGTGCATTTCTGTTGCCAATAGTAGCTTTGCAAGTTCCATTGCAAGTTCACATTTATGCTGCATAGATCAAAGTTGTGGCACCAGAGTTATCACCTGCCACCTTTAACCATAGAAATGCATCATCCTTCATTTTGCAATGCAAAGTTGATTCAGACAGTCTCCTTCTTTGCTGACTTTATCCACCAAGCGGCTTGATGTGTGTCTGAATGTCTGCAACCTTTTTTTCTAATCACATCAGATGTATGCTGGCTTCCTACAAATTCTTTGTTAAAGCGCATGCTAACATATCTTTCATGTGTGTACAATACATCCATTGAGGAAAATTTCTTGTGATCATACTTCACAAATTTTACAGGACATAAATACTGTGCTACCTGTTAAAATGTCGGCTCTGTGGCTAAGTCGATGCGAACGCTTCGCTTCGTAATGCCGGGTTCGATCCCGGCTGCGGGCAATGCGCCTTGCGTTGGTTTCGACAGTGGTATCAAGAATGCCGACCGTCCAGAAAGCAATGGCTAATTACTGGACGTAAATTGCCTAGAGAAACCACACAACAGCCAGGGGCTGTTAGGGTTGGCTCTGCAACGTCCTGTAAAGAATACACAACTAACATTAACATGTTAAAATACTTGGATCATCATCATGTAGCAGGTCCTTTGCAGAACGTCACTCTCATCACAGTCTGCCTGTAAGAAACTCGGTCTCTTGCCAGTTCTCCCGCCTCATGAACTTTCACACTCAAGGAGTCACTTATATTTTGTGCCCATCTTCGTGTCGGTCAGCCTCTGCCCCTCCTTCCTGGTACCATGCCTTCTGCTATAATTTTTTCCAATCCGTCGTGGCGCTTGATATGACCAAAATATTTCAGCTTTCGAGAAAGGATGCTGTTTATTAGCCAATCTTCCTTGATGTTCAGATCTTGTAAGATGTCAATATTTCTCATCTTCTTTGTCCAAGATATTCTGAGAATCTTTCTATAGCATTTCAGCTCAAAAGCCCCTATTCTCCTTCTTAAGGACTGAGAGATAGTCCACGACTCACATCCGTATGTAACCACAGGGAAGAGGCATGCTCTCAAAATTCTAATTTTTATCTCCTTGCTGGTGCTTAACCATAGACTTTTAAGGCTGTTCAATCTTTGCATTGCTATGGCCATCCTCCGTTTAATTTCTGTCGAACAGTCTCCATTGTTGTTTATTATAGAGCCTAGATATTCAAAGTTTGTGACATTTTCAATTTCTTCATCATTTATTGTTATTTTTGGGTGACAGTCAGTTTTATCTGTGGACATTATTTTCGTTTTCTTTAAATTCAAGAACAGATTTTGATCTTCACTGTGCTTTTGGACGGACAATATTAAATTTTCTATTCCCTTTACGCTGTTCGAAAGAAGGACTGTGTCATCTGCGTAGCGGAGTTCCGGAATAGGGTTGCCACCAATTTTGAGCGGATTGTAACTGTCACAAGTCTGGTCATTTTTGACATTTCTCATTATATTTTCTGCGTATATATTGAATAGGTATGGTGAGAGAATTCACCCCTGCCTTACCCCCTTTTGCACCTCGAACCAATCAGATGTTTCACCACCTGCTCTGATGGCTGCTTGTTGTTCATGATAAAGATTTTCAATTAAATGCACCAAATGCACTGGAAACCCCATACTTTTCATAATAGTCCACAGTTGGTGGTGCTGGACACAATCAAATGCCTTGCTTGGATAGATTACTTTTAATAGGCTCAGATAAAAGATAAAGAATTTAAAAACACTCCCTGTGTTGTGTTGGAACCAAGGTAGCATAGTGGTTAGACCCACACCTATCGGCACAAAGGTTTTGGTTCAGATCTGCATGGATGTGGATTTTTAAAAAAATATACTTGTTTCCGATGTTTACCCAGCCACAAATGGAAAGAAACGGATAAAAAAACAAGTAATACTTCAGGCAATGGAAACTGTTGAGTGAATAGAGGAAAGCAGCCTCAGGGAAAAGAAAAAGAATGTGTTTACTCTGACAGTTTTATGTAAAAATATTTTGAAACATTTCTTATTTTAAAAAAAATATGTATCTGAAGTTCAACAAAGTGAAAACAAGAATATAAATACTCATTTGTGGTGAGTCAGATATCTCCAGATCTAATCAAAGCTAATTGCTCATAATCAAGTAACAATATGGATCACAACAGTCTGGTAAGAGTGATGCAGTGGGGAGTCACGAGGGAATCGGACCGATACTCAACTCTCAGAGGGAAGGGCAAGATGGATGTCAAATTAGACTGTTACTGGCACCATTAGTATTTGAACTCTGCACTGGCTTCTGAAGATGGGGATGGAGCACTTATGGGAATGCCTTGAGTGCTGTGATGTTGGTTCTTGGATCAACCCCGTTCAGCTCAAGTAATAATATTTAATATATGCTGTTTGTATTTGAATGGCATCATTGATTATACTTTCACAGATAAATGTCGGCTGTGGAGCAGAGCCTACATCCAGATACCCAGTACGACTTGAATATTCCACTGATGGTGGCTCCACCTGGTCCCTGGTTGGCCCCAACTGTATGGACAAGACAACGGCATCATGCTTTGAAAGTACACTCCCCACAACCATATACTATGCTGGTGATAGCTTATACTGGCAGCGTAAAGTAGTGCCGCTGGATCATCTACATGTCTGCGGGTAACTAGCGTATTGTATTCATTATGTGTTCCTACCATTCCAACTTTATTTCCTAAATTAATAATAGTAGTCTTTTACTGAACCCACGAGTATGTGCTCTGTACTTGATCCCATCTTAACTTCTAAAAAAGATGCTACAGTTCAGAGACGTGCCCTAACGGCTGTGAGGCTGGCTCTTAACTCATTCTTAACTCAGTTCATCTCGTAATTAAACACTTTCTGGATTTTGTTTACATTGCTTTAAAATTTGCTGCAATTGATGTGCAAATACTCCTAAAAGTCATTTTAATCAAATACTTATTGCTCATTTATTATAGGAGTCCATAAGTGAATTACAGATTGGTGACATTGTAATCTACAATCCATCTTCAGTGGAACATTTCAGGAGGTTCGGTATCTTATTAACTTGGGCTTTTTAAGACAATATAGTTGATTCCATTCTAACGTTCTAATTTAGTTGTGACTTTTTTTTAAATGGCACATCAAAATCTATGAAAATGTTTTTTTAAAAACCCACATATTTTTAGTTAATTGTGGGCACGCCGTTTGTTCTGTTCTCAGAACACTTCGATTCCGCTGGTATCAAGGGAAAATTCCTGACACTGACTTTGGACCAGAATGGGCCTTGGACAATGTTTACATAGGAATGGCATGTCCTGACAACTGTAACGGCCATGGCTATTGCTTAGGTAAAATTTGTGCATTTTGTTTCTTTTTTTTTTTTTTTTTAGTGTTTGTTGAAAGTGCCATCTTTGCCATCTTTTACAGCTTGCCTAATTTGTTTTTACTTTATTCACCAAATCTCTTCTTTATGGGGGTTTTTGGTCTACCTTTATTTCTTTGACCCTGTGAGTTTCAGTACCAGGACATATTAGTCAAGTTCTTATTATTTCTTGATGTCTTGTCTGATTGTACGATGGAGGTTTCCTTATTGTACCTGGCTAGTCCACAAGACTGTCTGGATAATCAGGTGATGCACAGGAAAGACCTTTTGACGCCTTGAAAAGACTGGTGACCCTGCATCGCTGGGATGCAAAGTGGTTCTCTGGCAGCAGAGAATTGACTGCAGACCTGGCTTTCCCCCCCCCCCCCCCCCCCCCCTCCCATGCAGTATAATAAATGGATTTCAAAAGCTACAAACTATACTGAAATATGCCCCCAAGGTCCTCTGAAAGGGGGGAGTGCAGAATAAAATACCACTGTTGATACCATGTTAACGACCCCACTAGTTCCTGGATCGTAATTTTTGCACAGCAACTGGACTGTTTCTGTATGTGTGGGAGGAGTTTCAGGAGGGAGCATGGTCTGAAAACTCATGGCGGAAGAATGAGATGCTACGGTGCACCAAGTTGTGGTTGCCATCGTGCTGCTGCACCAGCGGTGGTTAAGTCATTAGGAAGCGACCACAGCTTCCTGTTGAGGATGTGAGGAATAATAATATTTTCCTACTGGCAAGTAACAGCGTGTTGTGGTGCAAGCCAGAAGGTACTTCATGTTAAATTAAGCACTTGAGACACTCCCATAGGTGCTCCATCCCCATCTTCAGCAGCAAGTGAAGAGTTCCAATTCTGATAGCACCAGTAACTATCCATCTCGTCTTTTCCCTGAGAGATGAGTGTTGGCCAATCCCCTGGTAACTCCTCGCAGCCCCATTCTCTTCAGATCATAATGATCTGTTTGTGCCTCCGCACTGTTCACTAGCTCCCAAAGTGCCCTCACAACATCTTGCTTGTCAAACATCAGCTCACAACGAAGTGGTGCAGAACTTGCCAGACATCTGCCTGCTCATTTCCTAAGACACAGGCATTACTTAGAGATACGATCCAAACGACACTAACTACCCGGGACCTCTGAACGGAGCATGCCTGTCTCCACCTTTCTCAACATGCTCTGTGAGAGTTACAATTACGACACGTGTGTACAGCTGATTCTCAAGCCAGCAGAATGCAGCAGTGGCTGCCTCCACCTCCATTTCCAAACTAGACGTTGTGATATCATATGCCTGGCTTTTCTGCACTAAGTGACGCCAGTTCACTTTTGCTTTAAACCTTGATGCACTTCATCTACCTCTCAACACAGAGCCATCTGTATAGATAATCACATCACCTGGGCGGGAATTGTCATGAACTATTTGTTGAACTTCTGATTCTGCCCCTCAACACAGAGCCATCTGTATAGATAATCACATCACCTGAGCGGGAATTGTCATGAATCATTTGTTGAACTTCTGATTCTGCCCCTCAACACAGAACCATCTGTGTAGATAATCACATCACCTGGGCGGGAATTGTCATGAATCATTTGTTGAACTTCTGATTCTGCCCCAGGACCCAACAGTGACTCGTGTGGTATACACATGTTGTCTGAAAGTCCTCATCTGGTAATCTGTTAATCTGGCAATCTTAGTTTTAGCTTCATAGCAAACGGGTCACCTCATAGTTGCTCCGCTTCTGTGCCAACGAAAAACACACACAATGTTTATTACAGTCCCTTGTGGAGAGACTGACAAACTGCTGTCTCAGCATATGCACTAGCATATACACGCATTAAAAGCATACGGTAGCCATCCAAAGTGCTAACACAAACAGCCCGACATTAGAAATGCAGTTCATCATGGATGGTAGGACATGAAAGTCCTCAAAAAGATTCACCTCTTGCTAAGGCTAGCATGAAGCCAAAAATGCATATGTCAGGAGTCTACATGACCTAGGAGCCAGACTTCTTTGATCTGTCCCAGTTTAGACCTATCTCACTGTTGAATTTTGAGAGCAATATATTCTTCTGGTTTGTGTCACACAGGCTCATAAATTACTTAATGCAGAACATGTATATCAACACATCAGTGCAGAAAGGTGGCATTCCGGGTGTCACTGGATGCTTTGAGCATGCGTCCGTGATTTGGGAGTGTATTCAAAGGGCAAAGGCAGAAAAGAAAGCTGCACATGATTTTGTTGGACTGCGCTAACGCCTATGGGTTTGTACTCCATAAGCTATTATGGCAGGCAGGCAGGCCCTTCACATGATTCAGTGAGTTTGCTAAAGTGTTTTATACTGTGCCTTTTTCCTGAATGCCTCAGTATTTCATTTCTTGCAGGGAAGGTAGCTTGTAATTCCTCAGGACTGAATTTTAACTGTGAAGCTACTTGAACTGCCACCCAGTCTAAAAGAATCACTTACTTACTTTTACTGTTGTGCTGATGAGTTCCGGTCAGCTGGCCACTGAAAAGGGCTTGCTTCTATAAGCATGTTGTTGGTATAGAGACTTCTCTCAATCCAGTACTAAAGAATTGTCTAAAAAAAGGAGTACTGTGTTTCCCCTCTACAAGCCCGAAGGTATGCACAGCTGGTATTGAAACAGTCTACCTAAATGCAAATTAGAACTGGTTGGCTTCCTAACAGACCTAATCATGAGTGACGAAAATGAATGTTGTGGCTAAAAATCTGTTGTCAGCAAACAGAAATATGGTCAAGGATTCAGCTACTTAAAGCCAACTTTGCAGTTTAAATGTGAAGTTCAAGCCTCAGTACACACGAGAACAATGAGTTTACTTCAACTCTAGGTATACTTACTGCATATTTAAATTATCTAAGTATACTTATGTTGCTGAAGTCGAGCAGTTTGATTTTGCTACATCAAATGATCCCAAACAGTTCTGTCTGTTTCTGCAGGACAGCAGGCTGCTTTCCCAGAGTTTCACACAAACTCTATAGCTCCAGTGACAATCCCCAGGGATCTCTACAAACAATGCACAGCTATAGACAGAACTGTTTGGGATCATTTGATGTAGCAAAATCAAACTGCTCGACTTCAGCAACATAAGCATACTTAGAGAATACTGCGCTGAGATTCTTCATACTCAGGCTTGAGTTAGGAGTAGAACCGAGCACTTGTGGGTTACTACCATTGTGTCATGATGTTGATCTGTTGTTCAGCTCTTTAGCATACCTTCTGTATTTTGTTACTCTGTGGATTGTCACAAATATGTTGACTCTTTTCAGGTGGTGTCTTGTGTCAGTGTGATCCAGGCTATACAGGAGCAACATGTGTAGCTGATGATGCCCGTCCATCATACCTCAAGGATGATTTTGACAGTGTTGATGTCATCATTAGACCAAAAGTTGATGTTCTGTTGCCCTCATCTGTTTCAGACAGTAGGTACAGCCATCTCTCTTAGACAGAACTGTCTTGGGCAGTTTACATAAGATGTTTACTACATGTATTGATTCTACTGTCATTCTTTAGTATCTGTCTATGGTGTGGGAAAGAAGGGAGAGTAAGAACATGCCACCTGACAACAGTTAATTCTCCTAACAAATGTACTTAGAGTTGTGTCCTGGGGAGTCATTCTCTTCAGGCAGAGGAAAATGGTAACAAAAACATTACCATCTATAGCCTTGACTAAAGTGTGTGTTCAAGCAAGAGATAACATTGCTGGGCATAGATAAAGCAATCAGAGAGGAACAGTTGTAGGAGTGGCACTGTATGGAATCATCTTGAACTCTGCAAGGAAACTTTTTTAAGCAAGCTGAGAAAGGCAGACATGTTGGAACGAATGGCATAGTCAGAGGTGATAAAGGAATGGCAGACTGTAATTGAAGTCACATAGTCAGAGGTGATAAAGGAATGGCAGACTGTGTAATTGAAGTCACGTAGTCAGAGGTGATTAAAGGAATGGCAGACTATGTAACTGGAGTCCCATAGTCAGAGGTGACTAAAGGAATGGCAGACTATGTAACTGGAGTCCCATAGTCAGAGTTAAGTAAAGGAATGACAGACTATAACTGGAGTCACATAGTCAGAAGTGACTAAAGGAATGGCAGACTAGGTAAATGGAGTCTTATAGTCAGAGGTGAGTAAAGAAATGACAGACTTTAACTTGAGTCCCATAGCCAAAGATGACTAAAGGAATGGCAAACTATAAATGGATTCCCATAGTCAGAAAGAAATAGTATTCACTAAACACAAGTAAAGAAATGACAGACTTTAACTAAAGGTGACTAGGAAGGCTCATCAAGGCAGAAAGAAACTAAGTGCACACAAACACAAATACAACCCAATGTTTTGATTTGTCTTTTTGAACAAGTAACACCACAACAAGAAGTATTTTAAATACCAGCCCACAAACAGGGAAATCACATGACTTCATATATGTATTGTGAACGTATGCTAGGTTTTTAGAATAATTTTTGCAACTATTAAAATGACATGTTCAAAGATGCTCAGTCTTAAGTATCAAAACTACCTAATTCAAACTTAACACTTGCCAGATAGACTGGATGTAAATGAGAAAAACTGGCAGTTGTGGTCAGGCGGTCATCCTGCTAATCATCACCAGTGTGGAAAAATCTTCACTGGAGCGAGCTTTGTCCATGACAGGGAGGGTCATAGGACACTTACCACTGTTCCATTGGACTTGTCAAGAGCCAAGTAATGTCTTCTTGTATAATGTTGTTTACTCAAACTTTGAAGCAGTATAATGTCCATTAATTAATAGCTTCTTCTCAGAGTCCATGCCGTGTGGAGTTGGTAGTCTATTCTCAACCTTTTGTCTCATATACTTTCATCAACTCTGACACAGATGATCCTCCATGCCAAACTGTATGTCAAACTGTACAGCATCTGTTCTCTCTGTCTCCCTCTGCCTCTCCTGCCCTCCAGCGTTCCTACTGTCATGATGTACTCCAGTTTGATCCTACTCATCACATGACCAAAGTCATTAAGAGGACTACCTAAAACCTCCACTTATGCTGTGAAACATTTTTTTGAGGAATGGTTGTTAATCCTTCACGCTGAATGGATGACACTGTTGTTGTTTTGTGTGAATGTACCTACATCTTTTATGAAGTTGTTTCAGTTTTGTACTTGGGCGTCATGGTGGTCTCATATTGTTGCATTCTAACAAGATACCTAAGCCATTTGATCTTCTGCTTCTCTGTGTATTAGATACAGTTGATTGTTCTCAGTGTATTAGATACAGTTGATTGTTCTCAGTGTATTAGATACAGTTGATTGTTCTCAGTGTATTAGATACAGTTGATTGTTCTCAGTGTATTAGATACAGTTGATTGTTCTCAGTGTATTAGATACAGTTGATTGTTCTCAGTGTATTAGATACAGTTGATTGTTCTCAGTGTATTAGATACAGTTGATTGTTCTCAGTGTATTAGATACAGTTGATTGTTCTCACAGTTTGTCTACAATTATCACTCTGTCTTGACTGGTTAAATTGTCAGATTTCCTCAGGCTTGTCATCTTATCTAACAAGTGTTATTCGTTAGTTAGTTAGTCTTTCCTCTTGCGCCTAGGACGGGGCATAGGGCAGAGGTCAAAGTTCTTTATGTCTGGCAGTTCGTTGCCACATACTTTAGGTCTTGGATGCTTGTTAGGCCCATGGTTTAGCGTTTCCTGATAATGGTTCTACATAGTCTTCCTTAGTCTTCCCCGTTTTCTGTTCCCTTCGAGTGTCCATATGAGGGCTTGATGGGGAAGTCTTGCCTTATCCATTCTGAGTGCATGGCAGATGTAGTTCCAGCGGCGCTTTCTTATAAAATTGGATACATTGTCTTGCTTGGTCTCTTATTTGAGTATTGCATCTCAAATCTGTCTGGTGGAGTTTTAATATTCTCATGAGACATTTGTTGTGAATATTGTCTAATTTTTGTCATTTAGAGCTACCGTTGCTTTCCAACTCTCATATGCGTAAGTTACAATGTTTTACATTGTATGAAAATTCTACTTAAAGACTTTCATATTGCAGACATGGTTTGTTTAGATGTCTTTACCACAGTGCCAGCTGGAATATAAATGCCCATGCTTTTTTACATTTGATGACCATTTCTGTGCATGTTATAACAGTTTGTCTGTATCACAGTTGCTAGGTATTTAAATTCTTTAATTTGCTTAAGACGTATATTATTCCGGTCTTAGTGTGATAGACAAGTAGCTCAGCTAACTCTCATCATGTCAGTTTCAGCATTTTCAATATCTTAAATGATGATGTGTAGTGAGTCTCATTTTCTCCCAGTTAATTTATGCCCGACAGATGACGTCAGTAATAAATGTGAGTGGAATATTTTGGCTCTAACTGGGACGACACAGGAATTGTTGAGTCTAAACTTCACGGGAATTATAGAGAAATGCTGATAGTCAAACATTGCGTGAAGTATAATTATTCACGTGTAGAGAAATGCTGACAGTCGAACTTCATGCGAAGTACGATGAATCACGGGCCACACACAACTGCCGGCCAAATGGAATTCGTGGGACTGAAGGGACACGGAGTATTCGGGAAATACGAAGTGGGCATTAGAAGGCTATATAATGCCGTAGAAAGGGCTCAGAGTGAGTCTCGTTTGGGTCCAGGAACAGAGTGCATGGACAACGGTGGATGATGTGTGGATTCAACATGTGTTTGAGTGTTTTTGTTCCTCCAACATCCAACTTGGCAAAACAAGCTGGCAGGCAATATGTCTGCAGGCCGAGTTAGTTTTTCTGTCAGGACAGCTGTTGTGTTTTCGTTCATGATGCTAGTGTAGGACGATTGTGATTTCGGATAGAAGAAGCAGTAGAAAGTTCAACTGACAAGCGTCATCTGAACAACTGTCAAGAAAGCAAGTCATTGCATCAGCAGCTTCGGGACAGGCAACTAGATCAGAACATCAAGATACAGCATCGATTATTAATTTTATTTTTGATTTAATTTTCTGGTAATTCAATTATAGATTATTATTATCAATATTATTTATTCATATTTTACATTAGTGCAGTCATTGACATTTAATTTAATTATTAATAATATTATTACATTGGTGTATTTGGGATTATTTTGCATTGTTCTACTATTGTTTATATTTTGTTTATATAAATAACTGCAAATTAATTGTTTTTCATTTCACAATAGTGCTCCAAAAAGAATAGGTGTTAACACAGTACACAAAATTTAAATACCATTATCATCAAGTGCCATAATTAGTCATACCTGAATAATAAACTAACAAAATATTATTTAAATTATTGTCATCTAGTGTTGAAATATCAATTATTAACTATTTTATTAATATAATATCATACACACATCATCATTATCGAGTGTCAAAAAGTTATTTTAATTTGAATTTAACATTTGGTTTATTTTATTCACATTTCATCATCATCAGGTGTAGCCACTATAACAAAGGTACAGTTGTGGGTAATAGGAATTTTGTTTTATACCAAGAAAATAATTTAATCACTGGTGATTTAATAATTGATTAGGGAAAGGTCATTGTAGTATTAGTTGTTGGTACATTCATTGATTGAACACCATATCTGTATTTAGTCTATATTGAATAGTATTATTGTTGATTGCTAATATTGACTAAATTTATTTGTGGAAAAGAATTATTTTGTCACCTGGTAATATTATTTATTATGTGAAATTATTTAATTGTTGCAAGTTATTTATTAGTAATTCTGTCATAGCCAATTATCAAGACTAAGTAAATCAAATATTTTTCCAAACAATTGAAATAATGTGAAAATTTATTTCATTTAGACTATTTAATTATACCCGGACTATACGCAGTCATTAAAAAATTTTTAATTGAAATTATTTTCGCAAGATGTAGTCAAGTCTTAAACTTTGTAACCAACTACTGTACTACACAGGTGGATTATTGTGAAACAATTAATCATTGTTAGACATTTACGTACATGTTCATTAATCATTTTGTTGAATACTTTTATAATCCACTGCATCAAATACTTTGATAATCCACTGCATCTAATACTTTAATAATCCACTGCATCTAATACTTTGATAATCCACTGCATCTAATACTTTGATAATCCACTGCATCTAATACTTTGATAATCCACTGCATCTATTCTATCTGCTACAACAGTCTATTACAACTTGATCAATAATCTTAATCAAATAATATATCCCTTTTCTAGCTGTCATATCTAATTTCTCAAGTGTGCTTAATCGATTTACTTTTCCATAAGCCAAAATTATACTAGTCAACTCTTCCTCTTAGACATCAACTGTATATATAATCATTTAGTTTGTAGTCTTGGTGGTTGAAAGAGTTACATCCACTATATATTAAGGTATACTATTGATACCCAGGAGACATTTCAGTTATTAATTCAACTTACTAGTTCATTATATTAAACTTATATTGCTTTTTTAGGGTGTGTAATTAGAAAGAAAGGAATTGTAACTTCACTGTTATTTACATTGTGAAGACATGAAAATGTCTAACTTGGCAGAGCTGATCAAACTGGGCAAAGAATTAAATTTAGAAGGGGAAGAACTTAGAAAATTTTGTGATGAGAAAGAAAAGAAAATGCAAGACGACGCAAGACAAGAACGGCATTTACTCCAAACACACGAGATGGAGATGAAAAGACAAGAGATGGAGATGAAAGATAAACAATTGGAACAAGAAAGGGAATTAAAAAGACAAGAAATGGAGATGAAAAGACAGGAAATGGAATTGAAAAATAAACAGCTTGAACAAGAGAAACATTTAAAAGAGATGGAAATACAAACAAATGCACAATTGGAACGTGAAAAGATAGCTGCTTCAATTCAGACTGAAAAAGAAAAGGCAGAGGCACAAATAAGAACTAAAAAAATGGAAAATGACTCCTGAAGAGAAGCTGCTATTCAAAAAGAGAGATTAAGAGAAGAGGAAAATAAATTCAAAAAGTATGCAGGTATAGTTAGGAATTTCTCTGAAAAGGATGACATTGGTAGTTATATATCTAGCTTTCTTTTGCAAATGCATTTTCATGATGTTCCAAAAGACCAGTGGGCAATTATATTTCAAAAACACTTAGCATTTGAACCATTAAAGATCTTAGAAACAGTCCCTGAACATCTAAGATTAGACTTTGACTATATTAAAGATCGCATCATGCGACACTATGACTTACATGAAGCAGGGTATAGAAAAAAGTTTCTTGATCTAAAGCCAAAGTCTGATCAGACGTTCACTGATTATCTTTCGGAAGTTCAGAATATTTTTGACAAATGGATTGATTCGGCCAATGTTAGGGATAACTATAAATTGTTAGTAGATTTATTATTAAGGAATAAAATGTTGGAATCTTTGCCTAAACCTATGTCAACATTCTTAAGAGAAAATAAACCAACCTCATTAAAGGAGTTAAAGAACTTAGGTGAGAAAAATTTTTCAGCCCATTGTGAAATTTTCATTTCTAACCCGGTACCAGACATTGAAACTGGAGCTAGTGCCAGTTATGACAGGGGCAGATACAACCAAGGAGCAACCCCACACAAAAACAAAACCATGTTCAACAAAAAGTGGCAAAGTATGTATTGCAAATATTGTCAAAAATCTCATCCAAATGACAAAATGTGTGACAGAAATCCGGGGTATGAAGACTATAGAAAAATTGTTTGATAGAAGAACACAGAAGTTAAGATTGTATAAAGATGCTATTAAATGTTTCAATTGTGGATGCTATAATCATTTTAAAAGAGACTGTTTATTTAGGAAAACATTTAAGGAAGCCAACATAGTACAAGCAATGTTCGATTCAGATTCAGATAGTGAACCATTTGATACCAACGCAGTAAAAGTTGAAAGTTGTGAAACATGTCATACTTGCCAGTTATTTCATGAGAAAGATAATCTACCTTGTGGGCATAAAATATTGGTACATGAAGCAAATTCTGTTATCACCTCTCAAGGAACAGTTAAGATGTATCATGGTATTGTTAATAACAAGACAATTTCTGTTTTAAGAGATTCTGGTTTGAACATTTCAGGTATCCACAAAGATCTTATCAAACCGACAGACATTATTAACAAATATATTAGTTGCCGAACGTTTGGAGGCACCATTGAGAAATATAAAGTAGCTTTTGTCAATGTTAACACTCCATTTTTACAAAGAAGAATAAGAGTTGCAGTATTGCCATCACCATGTGCAGAATTAATTTTGGGTAATGAAAACGGTCTGAAAGAAATGTCTGAGCAAGAAATTTTTCAGTGGGAAAGAGAATACATCAAAGAATTGAAAGAAAATAAGAACACAATTACCAGTGATCAAGAGTGTTGCCATAGTGTGAATGCAGCAGTAAGTGAGAACATGATTACCAGTGATCAAGAGTGTTGCCATAGTGTGAATGCAGCAGTAAGTGAGCACATGATTACCAGTGATCAAGAGTTTTGCCATAGTGTGAATGCAGCAGTAAATAAGCACATGATTACCAGTGATCAAGATCTTTGCCATAGTGTGAATGCAGCAGTAAGTGAGAACATGATTACCAGTGATCAAGAGTTTTGCCATAGTGTGAATGCAGCAGTAAGTGAGCACATGATTACCAGTGATCAAGATCTTTGCCATAGTGTGAATGCAGCAGTAAGTGAGAACATGATTACCAGTGATCAAGAGTTTTGCCATAGTGTGAATGATGCAGCAGTAAGTGAGCACATGATTATCAGTGATCAAGATCTTTGCCATAGTGTGAATGCAAGAATACAAGGAAATGAAAATGGTTCTTCCAAGAACTGGGAGCAGTCAATTAGTCATGCAAGAATGAGTGATAGTATCAGTACAAAAAAGAAGCAGTATGAAAGGAATGAGAACATAGAGTGTAAAGATAAATATATGAAAGAAGTACAATATGAGAACATTAAGTGTAAAGATAATGGTATGAAAGAAGTACTGAATGCAAAAAACATGAATGACAATGCATTGTGCGGTAAAAACACACCATCCATACTGAATGAAAGTGAGAAGTTGAGAAAGAGTGGTGAAAGAAAGAACACACCAACCATAACAGTTGTAGACAATGAAAAACTTGAAAAGTGTAATTTTTCAAAAGTTGACCACAACCCAAGAGAGAAACAACATAAAGAAAAATCATCATACTGTACAATTGATTGTATTTGGCTTATACAATACATCTTACTTAATTTGTGGCAAATTCTTTTGATAACGTGCCAAACATACAATTTAGACTCATTCTGTATTGTCCACAGCATCCAGATCCTACAATTTTTCTGACTATAAGTCCTATTTACAAAGATTGCTACAACTCTCAACTGTTTGTTACTACAAAAACTTGTCAAATTCTTAGAAGTGCTACACTACTAACACTGTTGTTGTTGAAACTATTACTTTTACAAATGATGTATTCTAAACACTTTCCTCATTCGGTGATTACAAATCTTTGTTACCACAATCAAACAAATAGTATATAAAAAAATGATTGGATTCATATAAAATTATAATAGAATTTGGGGTATGAAATCAAAATTGAATTATTTGTTGTTGTTGAATTTTTCAGTTATTTTTAATACTATTATGTTATCAAATGCAGATGTACTTATTGATACAAAGCCATGTAATATATGTGTCAAAAAACTGAACCAAGCGCAACAAAGATAGAACAGATTTGAACGGGAAGCATTAGCACTATTCATTAGTTTAAAAAAGTTTCAGAAGTTTCTATTGGGAAAAGCATTCTATTTTTAACAGATAAATTAGGATTAACAAAGTTATTAACAATTGATGCCAATAGTAATCCAAGGGTATATAGATGGGCATTGTTAATATCACAGTTCAAATTTAACATTGAGCACATCAAAGGAACAGACAATCACTTAACCAGATATCATGTCACGTTTATAGAATACGTTACAACTACTGATATAACTTGTGGTAAATGATATTTTTGTATGCAAGGGTATATAGTGTGTTATTGAATGAATGTATTATGTGAATTTACAACTTAGAAAAAAAAAATATTTTGGTTTAATCAGGTATAATAGAGTAAACAATTAGAATTAAAAGTAGACAATATTCGGGTTAAAAATACACCTCACCAGAAAGTATGTTAACATTTATTGGTTTACTAAATTGAATTGGTGTAACATTGAATTTAAATATGTGTGTTAATGAGACATGATGTAGTTTCTGAAGACAAGGTAATTAACTAAATCTTGTACCTTACATATTTGGGAACAAGACCATACATTGCTGATTTAGCCATTGTTGGGGGCTTTCATGAATGGGAATAGCGAGGGTGGGACTTCATGGGGTCACACTTGGGTTTTAGAGCCAAGATTATGGACTTCCGCACCAATCGGGGGTGCCTGGAGAGGGGTTCGGTTGTATACCGACTTTAGAACTGGGTGGGGATACCTATGGAGCCAGATTATTGGTCTTCCGCACTAAACGGGGAGTGCCTGGAGTGAGGATCCCATAAAGGTATTCACAATCGTGGAAAGACCCAACAGATGGCATTTTAGATTGTTTGAATTGTAAACCCAATAGGCTAAAGAGAACTTGGTTGGAAATGAACTTGTCGAAAATGATTCACTACAGAGGTCTAACATTATCATATTCAATGAAGACAAATAATGATCACACCTGATTTGATGGAAAATGTAAAACATTTTTTTGAGGTAGGGTCTCATTTTTCCCAGTTAATTTATGCCCGACAGATGACGTCAGTAATAAATGTGAGTGGAATATTTTGACTCTAACTGGGACGACACGGGAATTCTTGAGTCTAAACTTCACGGGAATTATAGAGAAATGCTGATAGACAAACATTGCGTGAAGTATAATTATTCACTTGTAGAGAAATGCTGACAGTCGAACTTCATGTGAAGTATGATGAATTACGGGCCACACACAACTGCCAGCTAAATGGAATTCGTGGGACTGAAGGGACACGGAGTATTCGGGAAATACGAAGTGGGGCATTAGAAGGCTATATAATGCCGTAGAAAGGGCTTAGAGTGAGTCTCGTTTGGGCCCAGGAACAGAGTGCATGGACAACGGTGGATGATGTGTGGATTCAACATGTGTTTGAGTGTTTTTGTTCCTCCAACATCCAACTTGGCAAAACAAGCTGGCAGGCAATATGTCTGCAGGCCGAGTTAGTTTTTCTGTCAGGACAGCTGTTGTGTTTTCGTTCATGATGCTAGTATAGGACGATTGTGATTTCGGATAGAAGGTAATACTGACACTTTTGATATTTGAGTTATAATGTGTGCCTGGACTGTAGTCTATTTTATGTGCCGGCTGAGGAAGCCGCGAGTGGAAGATTAAAGTGCTGAAACAGTATCGTTTGTTTTTCCAGTCATCCATTTTCTGCTCGTCGTGTGATGTCGGTGTGTGAGATAGCAAGCGTGCGATGATGCGAGCCAGATAGAAGATAAAAGAAAGTCATCGCAGATGACATGATAGTAATTTATCCAATATTATTAGAAAATTACATCTTTATTATGATGATAGTTTAGTTACATGTTTTTCAACTGACTACTACTAAATTGCATTTCCAATTGATAGAATCAGATGTCATACATGAAGTAAGCTGGTAAAGCTACAGAGGTAAATTTGTCACTTATATTTTAACAATTGATACGCAATATTGATTACATTTCTGGAACTATAATTAAATTGTGTATTCCTATGGCATTCATACTGATATTTGCATTTGTCACCAGTATTATTCAGTTCTATCTGAAACTTGGCTGCAACAACACAGTGACCAAGTTGTCACCACCAGTCTTCCTGCAGTACTCCACCAATGGAGGTATTACATGGACAACAATGGAGCAGTTTGACTTTAATCCAGACAGCAATAAACCAAAGTACATTGCAGCACATATTGCTCAGGGAGCACAGACAAATATCACACAGATACGCTGGTGGCAGCCTTCCACAACTGGAAGATATGATGACCACTGGGCTATTGATCAGGTAACTAAAAGTAAAGAACCCTTATAGAGACAGCTTTTGACTGACTTATTAATTTATTGAATATTCTAGGCTACAGTCATTGTATATTATATTAACTCTAGATAGAAATACTTGTAGTCCGTGAGTATGTCTTACATCTTACCAAGATTATAATGATCAAAAGTTTTGACCTGCCTTCAACATCTCAGTCCTTTTGATGTTCCTATGTTATGCCTGTTAATGTAAGAGCTTTTTTTTTTTTAAAATAGTGTATCATTTTTGTTATTGTTGTTATTGTTGTATGTCTGAAGATTTATATTGGAGGGAAATCTGATGGAGAAGATATACTTCAAGATGAACCCGGTCAGCCACTGAACACAACATGGCTGGAACACCCTGGAGCTAAGGTACAGCCTTTCTGCAAGTCTGATGGAGCCACTATTCATTTTAGAGGTATTATCACTTGACTGATTTCATGGGTGTTTGAATGTGTATGTGTATGCATGTATGTACATGCACATATGTGTCTGTCTGTGTGCACATATGTGTCTGTCTATGTGCACATGTGTGTCTGTCTATGTGCACATGTGGGTCTGTCTATGTGCACATGTGTGTCTGTCTATGTGCACATGTGTGTCTGTCTATGTGCACATGTGTGTCTGTCTATGTGCACATGTGTGTCTGTCTATGTGCACATGTGTGTCTGTCTATGTGCACATGTGTGTCTGTCTATGTGCACATGTGTGTCTGTCTATGTGCACATGTGTGTCTGTCTATGTGCACATGTGTGTCTGTCTATGTGCACATGTATTGGGCATCCAAACACCTGATATGCCACAGGCAGTAGTAACATATTTTATTTACTATTTTTTGACCATGTGGTTATCTAGAGAGAGGGCACCCACGCAAACAGTTGAGTCACTTATATGTAATGAACACAAATTGCTACTCTCCTACAGTTTATTCACCTAAAGGAAATAAATACAAGACAGTCAAGCTGAGATTATAAGATTAACAGACTTGAAACTAAAGAGAGAGAGAGAGAGAGAGAGAGAGCACAGCATATAAACCAAACAGTTCATTCAGTACCTTGAGTCAGCTGTACAAATAAAACACCTCATTCTGTATGTTTAACTGGGGCCATGAACTGCCAGTACCTAATTATAACATTAACTATACTTTTACTGTCCCATGAATTACCACATTCACTTCCTCTGCCCATTCAGCTACCACATAACTAACCTAGTCAAACTGTAAATCCTGCACCAACACATACCACGTAAGACACTTATTTTATACTGTAGCTTCATCTATCTCAGCATTTATCACAAAATTCACTCAGTCATACTGTAACTAATTTTGTTCCCCTCAGTTATCCCATAACCTACTAAGTTATACTGTAAATCTGTATGTTCCAAACAGTTGTTACTTTTCTAGTTATTTAAATATCCATGCAGTTATTATTTCAGGATTACCTCAGCTTGATATTTATTATTTTTGAGCTTCTTGTCAATATGGTTGATAGGCAGGTTTACTTTTTTCTAGTTGTGGCAAGTGTTTGCTTGTCAGCCATTATATTTTACCTCTATACATATACAGTGAGAGGATGTAGTCCCATCACTCAGCTACTGAGTTGAGTTCATGGTGTGACACAGGGAAGTGCAGATTTCATTTGGAATGTTTTTGATTTTGCCTAGAAACACAAAGAGAGATAGAAATTAGAGGAAATGATAATATTTTTTTTTCAGTATATCTCATGGTTTATGACAAGATTTTAAAACATCAGATATTCATTTCAGAAAAGGAATCAGAAAGATATGCAAGCACAGCAGATGTGATGGTGGGTGACGGCAGCATTCTGCAGTTTGAATTGGCTATGTCATGTGAAACAGTACTGGGAAAAGACCAGCAGTGTTATGGTAAAGTGTTGATTTCTGGAACATCAGAATTTTAGCATAGGTAGTCAGATAGCAAGTGTCAGGCAACATTTACAGATTCTGACCAATAAAATGTGAGATAGAGTGACCAGTTCCTTTTCTCATCTTTCTCAGACACTTCCCTAAAATTATGGAAATTGTTTGGTATCTATGTCTATGAGACTGGGTTGATCCCATAGCAGTAGTGGTAGGACAAAATCCAGTGACTTCTGGGGATTTAAACTGGGACCTGTATTTTTGGGTACTAACCACAGTCCAACCCCGGCTTTTTCAGTTTTAGTATAAAATTGCCAGTTTTGTTTGCTTCATTCTTCTTCTTCTTCTCTAGTCCTGTTCTGCCTTCCAGTGTCAGACACTGAAGAGGCAATGGGTGCTAGCCTTGTTATATGCTACGTAGATGGTGGTTTGAGGTTTAAAGTTTGAACAATGGATCAACATCATGGCACACGGGTAGTAACCCATAAGTGCTCCGTTCTTCTTTAACTCAAGCTTGAGTCTGAAGAAGCTCAGCACAGTGCACAGGCTCTGTAGCACAGGCGAGGATCCTGAAATACTTTGGGTAGATTTTTTACTCAAAATTTTGCCCGGGCAGCGCCTTTAGGCTACTCTTTTTGATTTACGAATGCCAAGGGATTTTTTACATGCGCAACAATGCACACAGGCATCCGATCTCACTACCCAGAGACCAGGGGGGATTACTAGAAGTCCAAGTCCAGCTGAAAAAATCCTAGCCCTTACCGAAAATTGAACCCAGAACCTCCAGCACTCGAGATGGACACCATGCCTCGAAACAAAGCAGCCGCCCTTTAGAAATTATTTGTGACCTTGGCTATTCTGTCCATCCATCCCATAATTCCAGTGTTCATTTACAACTGATACTATTTTTACAACTCTCTATGTTTAAAAATGTCTTTACCCATATCTGATTGTGAGACCCACATGTTCTGTGACCAAACAGTACATGTATGTAGGTGACATTTCCTACCTTTACATGTATGTAGGTGAAATATCCTGCCTTTACATGTATGTAGGTGACATTCCTGCCTTTACATGTATGTAGGTAACATTTCCTAACTTTACATGTATGTAGGTGAAATATCCTGCCTTTACATGTATGTAGGTGACATTCCTGCCTTTACATGTATGTAGGTGACATTCCTGCCTTTACATGTATGTAGGTGAAATGTCCTGCCTTTACATGTATGTAGGTGACATTCCTGCCTTTACATGTATGTAGGTAAAATGTCCTGCCTTTACATGTATGTAGGTAACCCGGAACCTCCAGCACTCGAGATGGAGGTGAATGTCCTCGCCTTTACAGCCCCCCTCTAGAAAGTATTTGTTACCTTGGCTATTTTGTCTATCCATCACATCCTGCCTTTACATGTATGTAGGTAAAAATTTCATGCCTTTACTGATACTATTTTTACAACTTGTTATGTTTAAAAATTTCTTTAACCAGATCTGATTGTGAGACCCGTTATTTTTGTGACCAAACAGTACATGTATGTAGGTGAAATGTCCTACCTTTACATGTATGTAGGTGAAATGTCCTGCCTTTACATGTATGTAGGTGAAATGTCCTGCCTTTACATGTATGTAGGTGAAATGTCCTACCTTTACATGTATGTAGGTGAAATTTCCTACCTTTACATGTATGTAGGTGACATTTCCTACCTTTACATGTATGTAGGTGACATTTCCTACCTTTACATGTATGTAGGTGACATTTCCTACCTTTACATGTATGTAGGTGACATTTCTTACCTTTACATGTATGTAGGTGAAATTTCCTACCTTTACATGTATGTAGGTGACATTTCCTACCTTTACATGTATGTAGGTGAAATGTCCTACCTTTACATGTATGTAGGTGAAATTTCCTGCCTTTACATGTATGTAGGTGAAATTTCCTACCTTTACACGTATGTAGGTGAAATGTCCTACCTTTACATGTATGTAGGTGAAATTTCCTACCTTTACATGTATGTAGGTGAAATGTCCTACCTTTACATGAATGTAGGTGAAATGTCCTACCTTTACATGTATGTAGGTGAAATGTCCTACCTTTACATGTATGTAGGTGAAATGCCCTACCTTTATATGTATGTAGGTGACATTTCCTGCCTTTACATGTATGTAGGTGACATTTCCTACCTTTACATGTATGTAGGTGAAATTTCCTGCCTTTACATGTATGTAGGTGAAATTTCCTGTCTTTACATGTATGTAGGTGAAATTTCCTTTAAGTGTGTGTATCTCTGTAGCTTTCATTCTACAGTGGCTTGTTTACATAATAAAGTAGTTTTTGTTTGTGTGCAGAAATACAAATATTGAATTGAACATACAGATGTGCAAATATTTCATCCAGAGAATCAGCTCACCATACAAATAATTGCTTTATGCACATGTTTCAGATGTAGTCCTGGAGTACAGTTTGGACATGGGGAAAACTTGGCGTTTGCTAAGACCGTCTTGTTTTCCCTCTATGAATGGATGTGGAAGTTATCATGCCAGTACAGCCTTCACGTCTGATATTTACACAGGCTGGCACAGAGTGACAATTCCCATTCCTAAAAATGCCTGGTAATATATGACATTCATGTGTACTTATTTATCTGTTTATGTGTATTATTGTTCCTCTTCTTTTCATGTACATCATCATCATCATGGAGTGAGTTACGTTGCCCTGTTTCGTGGTGAAGTGGTCAAGCCATTTGCCTCATACTCTGAAGGTTGTATGTTTGTTTCATGGTGTCGCTCGGGTCATGAATGCAAATGTTTACAGAGATCGCTTGGGGGGGGGGAAGCCTTGCTTTGTGTGAGGCAAAGTCATATCTCAGAGTAGCTGCAGACAAGAACATCTCCTGCATGAAACCCTGGGTAGAGCTTAAGGATCACAGACTGAAAAGAGGAAGGTCTTGGATAGTGCCAGCCGAAGACACAATTAGACATGTGTGCAGGCTTTATAAAATTATTCAAGGAGAGGAATGGGTCAAAGTGTCCGAGCAAGTTTCAGACTTGTGTAGGGTTCTTATCTCTTTGGGTCTTTAGTGCGCGGGACTGGCCATCTGGTGCTGCCGAATCAGAAGCAACAAAGCCTGGTATATGATATCACAACATCTATTTAAGGGAGGTGAGGGCAGTCACTGCTGCCTTCCGCTGGCTTGAGAATCAGCTAGACACACATGGCATGCATGTAAATGACTCACAGAGGATGTTGAGAAAGCTGGAGACAGGCATGATCCATGCAGAGTAGCAAGCATCATTTCAGAGGTCCTGGATAGTTAGCATCCTTTGGATATTTTCTCCCGGTTATGCCGATGTGTTGGGAAATAAACAGGCAGATAAACTGGTCGGTTCTGCAAAACTTGGTGGTGAATTGATATCACAAGCTAGATATTGTGAGAGCCCTTAGGGAGCCAGTGAACAGTGCAGAGGCACAGACAGATCGTTACGGTCTGAGGAGAATGGTGCTGCCAGGAGTTAACAGTGGATCTGGCCGACGCTCAGCACTCTAGGGAAAGGTGAGACGGAAATACAATCAGACAGCTACGGGTGTCATCGCATGCAGCTGAAGACGAGGCTAGTTTACAATTAGTGAACGCTAAGAAAAAGAGAGACTGTGTCAAGATTGTGTCAATTACCAATATTTGTTTTTGATATATCTGTTTAATTTCAGGTCAACTCAGACAAGATTCAGACTGTATCAAGTGCAAGGATTCTCCAGTGATCAGTCATGGGCTGTGCAGAGTTTGTACATTGGTTCTGCTTGTCCCAACAGATGCAGTGGCCATGGCAGATGTGTCGCCAGCCAGTGTGTGTGAGTCAACTTTGGATGTTCTTTCTTTTGTCGTTTCACTGTTACCAGGTTGTAGCCCAGTGTCGTGGTTTTCTATTTTTGTCTCGCTCTTCTCGTGCAGCTTCAATGATGGATTTGTTCATCTTTTTCAGGTGTCATCTCCACTATTTATCCATGGCCTACTTGGTCTTCCTCTCAGATGTTCTACTGTAAAAAGTCTCATTTGCAGTCTGGTCAGGCAACATTCTCACCAGATGGCTGAACCATTTCATTCTTTGTCTGTCAGTATAATCCAGACATGGTCTTATTCCAACTTTTTCTTTAATGCTGGTATTGGTAACCCTGTCTCTTATAGTGTTGTTTGTGACCTTGTGGAGACAATGCATTTCACATGTAGTTATTTTCTTTCCTAGTGAACTATTCATTGTCCATGTTTGGCACTGATAACATAAAGTAGGGATAAAGATGCCATTAATCATTTGCTGTTTTGCTGGAAGGGAGACATTTGGGTGTCTAAGCAGTGGAGCTAACTTGTAGGTGACAGCATTTGCCTTCTGTACTCTGGCTTCTATCTCTCTATCAAATCTGCCATCCTCTGTAAATATGCTTCCTAGATATTTGAATTCTTGTACTTGTTTGATTGTAGTATCATTAACATGAACATTCATGATATTATGTTTCCTACCTATCCTCATTACCTCGGTTTTCACAGTGTTTATTCTCATGTCATACTTTGTGCAGGCTTGATGTAAGGACTCAGTATAGTGTTGTAAATTCTGTTCTTGGTGGTGTATTAGACACTGAACATCTACAAAAAGAAATTCACTGATTTCTGCTGTGTCTGTATTTGCCTCCTGTGCTAATCTATCCATGTAAGTGATGAATAGCAATGGTGAGAGGACACATTCCTGTCTGACACCTGATGAGATGGGAAACCAGTCTGTCATTCCTTCCCCTGTTCACACTGTGCACTGACTATCTTGATAAAGAGCCATGATGTTACCTAACAGCTGATCTTAAATACCATAATCTTCTAGAACTTTCCATAGTTTGCATCTGTTGACTTGCCTTCTCTTGATCTATAAATATAGGATGTTGACTTCTATTTTACTCAATAGACTGCTCGCATATCTGTCTTAAAGAAAATATTGCATCTGTACAGCTCTTTCCCTTCCTTTAACCCAGATGTCTCTTACTTAACTGGGGCTCTAGTACTGGTCCAGCTCTAGTACTGGTCGAACTCTAGTACTGGTTGAGCTCTAGTACTGGTCGAGCTCAAGTACTGGTCGAGCTTTAGTACTGGTCGAGCTCTAGTACTGGTCTAGCTCTAGTACTGGTCGAGCTCAAATACTGGTCTAGCTCTAGTACTGGTCTAGCTCTAGTACTGGTCTAGCTCTAGTACTGGTCTAGCTCTAGTACTGGTTCAGCTCTAGTACTGGTTCAGCTCTAGTACTGGTTCAGCTCTAGTACTGGTTCAGCTCTAGTACTGGTTCAGCTCTAGTACTAGTCGAGCTCTAGTACTGGTCCAGCTCTAGTACTAGTCGAGCTCTAGTACTGGTCGAGCTCTAGTACTAGTCTAGCTCTAGTACTGGTCCAGCCCTAGTACTGGTCGAGCTCTAGTACTGGTCGAGCCCTAGTACTGGTCGAGCTCTAGTACTGGTCGAGCTCTAGTACTGGTCCAGCTCTAGTACTGGTCGAGCTCTAGTACTGGTCGAGCTCTAGTACTGGTCCAGCTCTAGTACTGGTCTAGCTCTAGTACTGGTCCAGCTCTAGTACTGGTCGAGCCCTAGTACTGGTCCAGCTCTAGTACTGGTCCAGCTCTAGTACTGGTCCAGCTCTAGTACTGGTCGAGCTCTAGTACTGGTCCAGCTCTATACTGGTCCAGCTCTAGTACTGGTCGAGCTCTAGTACTGGTCCAGCTCTATACTGGTCCAGCTCTAGTACTGGTCGAGCTCTAGTACTGGTCCAGCTCTATACTGGTCGAGCTCTAGTACTGGTCCAGCTCTAGTACTAGTCTAGCTCTATACTGGTCCAGCTCTAGCACTGGTCGAGCTCTAGTACTGGTCCAGCTCTAGTACTGGTCCAGCTCTAGTACTGGTCCAGCTCTAGTACTGGTCGAGCTCTAGTACTGGTCGAGCTCTAGTACTGGTCCAGCTCTAGTACTGGTCCAGCTCTATACTGGTCTAGCTCTAGTACTGGTTCAGCTCTAGTACTGGTCTAGCTCTAGTACTGGTCCAGCTCTAGTACTGGTCGAGCTCTAGTACTGGTCGAGCTCTGGTACTGGTCGAGCTCTAGTACTGGTCGAGCTCTAGTAGTGGTCGAGCTCTCGTACTGGTCAAGCTCTAAGTTCCAATATTTTTGCAGTATGGCTCAGGATGGAGATGCCCCTATATGTTTCAACCAGTTTAATTTCAATATTTATTTACTATCTTTGTAGAAAAATAAATATTAAATCAAATTTGCAAGTGTATAAGGTGGTGGAGTGGTTGGATTTCAGTTCTCTTGTTTCAAGGACCTTGGCTCTTACCCTGGAAATGCAAGGGATTCTAATTTATTGAAGTAACTAATCTAAGCACTAAACCTGTACAACAAGCAATTATCCCACCAGTCCTTTTTTATTTTTAATGCTTATTTCTTTTTATGTTTTTTTTTTAGAATATGATATTAGTTATAAACTCCTGTCTTGATCTTCAAGATATCACTGCCTGGCTCTGCTTGCAGGTCACGCAGTTGGGTTAGTTTAATGAGGGGGATTCCCAGGAAGGTTTGAAGAGTTTCCTGAGAAACGGGTAAAGCAAAGGAAGTGATATTCATGTGTGACACTGAACAGTCACGGGGGCTGTGTGGTCTCAAGGCATAGTGTCTGCCTCGAGTGCTAGAGGTTCCGGGTTCAATCCCCTAAGGGCTGGGATTTGTTCACGTGGTCTTGGACTTCTAGTAATTTCCCTTGGTCTCTGGGTAGTGAAATCAGACGCACATGTGCATTGTCGCTCACGTAAAAAATCCCTTGGCAGTTGGAAATCGAAAAGAGTAACGACACTGTCCGGGCAAAATTTGGAGATAAAAATCTACCCAAAGTATTTCAGGATCCTCGTCGGTGCTACAGAGCCTGTGCACTGTGCTGAGCTTTTTCGGGTTCAGACTTGAGTTAGATGAAAAACGGAGCACTTATGGGTTACGCCACCATGTTGATCTGTTGTTCAAACATCAAACAAACCTCAAACTGAACAGTCACAAGACTAGATCCCATGGGAAGGATGCAGAGGTTTTGAAGGATGAATGAGATGCGAAGTAGTTGCGCCCGTGTGTGAGGCATTAGTTTTGTATGTGAAAGAAGTAAACAGTGATGTTGAGTTTAGTTGAAAGCCTGCCAACGCCAGCAATGTCAAGATGAGCTGAGTCTGTAATCACAGTGACTGCGAACTGTGTGGTGTTGTGATTTAGATGTGAAATACACGCGCCCATGCCGTAGTGAAAGGTCTTGTCAAGTTGAGCAAGTTATAATCCTGCCGTGGCCGTCGGTCAAGTTGAGCAAGTTATAAACCGACCGTGGCTGTAGGGGTTAGGACAAGCAAGTTGACTCTTTAATAGCCGTCAATAAATGTTGTTAAAGTTATAGAGCAAACCTGTTGTAGTCCGCATAAGTTGAGCAAGTTTGTAAACGACCAGGACTTATATTAGTGCCTCATGTGCCCGTTGGTCCATTCGATCATTACGTTCATTTGACTCTAGCATGCATGTCCATGTGTGCATGCAAGAATAATTGTTATGTCTTTGATTATAAAATCATTTAACAAATTATCTTTATCCTTTTTTACTTTGGTCATTTTATAAAGACTTCTCCTGAGTGTGTATTGTTCATTGCTGTTATGTTGTCATCTCCAACAGCAAGTGTTAGTTTGTGTGCCGATACTTTTCTGTTGTGACAAAAGTTTGTCAAGAATCTTCTCTCTCTGTCATCCTCTGTCTCTCTTTTGATAAATCTTTCCACTGTTTTAACATGTTTAATTGTTTCTCTACGCTTGTTAAAAAGTAAAGTATTTGGCATAACTTTATTTCTAATGTTATACAGTGGACGTCTAACAAAGATATTTAGATCCACAATCATTTTTATTAGTCAAAATCTTTGTTAGACAGAAACATGATTTCCTGCAGATTTGTAGAGAACATCATTTAATTCTAGATGCTGGCCTCAGTTTCAATCTTTTCCTTGGCAGCATTAAGTGTCCTAACTAACACATTGTCCCATGCCATAGGAATGACTTCAGTAGGCTGAAAGATGTGAATAATGATCTTTTAGTATTCCCTTAGAGTCAGAGTGGTAAATGAAGTTTCTTCAAACCATCTTTGGAACATGTGTTTTCTATGCAACTTCTGAAAGTTTTATATGACCTCTTGATTCATTTCATAGATTACACAAAAGATGTTTTTGCAGGAAGAAACTTCATCTCAATGAAGTCAATTTCTTGCTCCAATGGTCGCGTTGTTTGGCCATGTATCCATGTAAACATTTATTAGTTGAATGAATCCAGATTTGATAGTTAAAGCTAAAACAGCAAAAACATCTTTGTTAGCAGAAGAATTAGTTAGCTGGATCATTTATTAGCCAAAGTATCACTGTTAGCTGGATCATTTATTAGTCAAAGTATCACTGTTAGCTGGATCATTTATTAGCCAAAGTATCACTGTTAGCTGGATCATTTGTTAGCCAAAGTATCACTGTTAGCTGGATCATTTGTTAGCCAAAGTATCACTGTTAGCTGGGTCATTTGTTAGCCAAAGTATCACTGTTAGCTGGGTCATTTGTTAGTCAAAGTATCACTGTTAGCTGGGTCATTTGTTAGTCAAAGTATCACTGTTAGCTGGGTCATTTGTTAGCCAAAGTATCACTGTTAGCTGGGTCATTTGTTAGTCAAAGTATCACTGTTAGCTGGGTCATTTGTTAGCCAAAGTATCACTGTTAGCTGGATCATTTGTTAGTCAATGTATCACTGTTAGCTGGGTCATTTGTTAGTCAAAGTATCACTGTTAGCTGGGTCATTTGTTAGCCAAAGTATCACTGTTAGCTGGGTCATTTGTTAGTCAAAGTATCACTGTTAGCTGGGTCATTTGTTAGCCAATGTATCACTGTTAGCTGGGTCATTTGTTAGTCAAAGTATCACTGTTAGCTGGGTCATTTGTTAGCCAAAGTATCACTGTTAGCTGGGTCATTTGTTAGTCAAAGTATCACTGTTAGCTGGGTCATTTGTTAGTCAAAGTATCACTGTTAGCTGGGTCATTTGTTAGTCAAAGTATCACTGTTAGCTGGGTCATTTGTTAGTCAAAGTATCACTGTTAGCTGGATCATTTGTTAGTCAAAGTATCACTGTTAGCTGGGTCATTTGTTAGTCAATGTATCACTGTTAGCTGGGTCATTTGTTAGTCAAAGTATCACTGTTAGCTGGATCATTTGTTAGTCAAAGTATCACTGTTAGCTGGATCATTTGTTAGTCAATGTATCACTGTTAGCTGGGTCATTTGTTAGCCAAAGTATCACTGTTAGCTGGGTCATTTGTTAGTCAAAGTATCACTGTTAGCTGGGTCATTTGTTAGTCAAAGTATCACTGTTAGCTGGGTCATTTATTAGCCAAAGTATCACTGTTAGCTGGATCATTTGTTAGTCAAAGTATCACTGTTAGCTGGATCATTTGTTAGTCAATGTATCACTGTTAGCTGGGTCATTTGTTAGCCAAAGTATCACTGTTAGCTGGGTCATTTATTAGCCAAAGTATCACTGTTAGCTGGGTCATTTATTAGCCAAAGTATCACTGTTAGCTGGGTCATTTATTAGCCAAAGTATCACTGTTAGCTGGATCATTTGTTAGTCAAAGTATCACTGTTAGCTGGATCATTTGTTAGTCAATGTATCACTGTTAGCTGGGTCATTTGTTAGCCAAAGTATCACTGTTAGCTGGGTCATTTATTAGCCAAAGTATCACTGTTAGCTGGGTCATTTGTTAGTCAATGTATCACTGTTAGCTGGGTCATTTGTTAGTCAATGTATCACTGTTAGCTGGGTCATTTGTTAGTCAATGTATCACTGTTAGCTGGGTCATTTATTAGCCAAAGTATCACTGTTAGCTGGGTCATTTATTAGCCAAAGTATCACTGTTAGCTGGGTCATTTATTAGCCAAAGTATCACTGTTAGCTGGGTCATTTGTTAGTCAATGTATCACGTGTAGCTGGTCATTTGTTAGTCAATGTATCACTGTTAGTGGGTCATTTGTTAGTCAATGTATCACTGTTAGCTGGGTCATTTATTAGCCAAAGTATCACTGTTAGCTGGATCATTTGTTAGTCAAAGTATCACTGTTAGCTGGATCATTTGTTAGTCAAAGTATCACTGTTAGCTGGGTCATTTGTTAGTCAAAGTATCACTGTTAGCTGGATCATTTGTTAGTCAAAGTATCACTGTTAGCTGGATCATTTGTTAGTCAAAGTATCACTGTTAGCTGGGTCATTTGTTAGTCAATGTATCACTGTTAGCTGGGTCATTTGTTAGTCAATGTATCACTGTTAGCTGGATCATTTGTTAGTCAATGTATCACTGTTAGCTGGGTCATTTATTAGCCAAAGTATCACTGTTAGCTGGATCATTTGTTAGTCAAAGTATCACTGTTAGCTGGATCATTTGTTAGTCAATGTATCACTGTTAGCTGGGTCATTTATTAGCCAAAGTATCACTGTTAGCTGGATCATTTGTTAGTCAATGTATCACTGTTAGCTGGGTCATTTGTTAGCCAAAGTATCACTGTTAGCTGGGTCATTTGTTAGCCAAAGTATCACTGTTAGCTGGATCATTTGTTAGCCAAAGTATCACTGTTAGCTGGGTCATTTGTTAGTCAAAGTATCACTGTTAGCTGGGTCATTTGTTAGCCAAAGTATCACTGTTAGCTGGGTCATTTGTTAGTCAATGTATCACTGTTAGCTGGGTCATTTGTTAGCCAAAGTATCACTGTTAGCTGGATCATTTGTTAGTCAATGTATCACTGTTAGCTGGATCATTTGTTAGTCAATGTATCACTGTTAGCTGGATCATTTGTTAGTTAATGTATCACTGTTAGCTGGGTCATTTGTTAGTCAAAGTATCACTGTTAGCTGGGTCATTTGTTAGTCAAAGTATCACTGTTAGCTGGGTCATTTGTTAGTCAAAGTATCACTGTTAGCTGGATCATTTGTTAGTCAATGTATCACTGTTAGCTGGGTCATTTGTTAGCCAAAGTATCACTGTTAGCTGGGTCATTTGTTAGTCAATGTATCACTGTTAGCTGGATCATTTGTTAGTCAAAGTATCACTGTTAGCTGGATCATTTGTTAGTCAATGTATCACTGTTAGCTGGGTCATTTGTTAGCCAAAGTATCACTGTTAGCTGGGTCATTTGTTAGCCAAAGTATCACTGTTAGCTGGATCATTTGTTAGCCAAAGTATCACTGTTAGCTGGGTCATTTGTTAGTCAATGTATCACTGTTAGCTGGATCATTTGTTAGTCAAAGTATCACTGTTAGCTGGGTCATTTGTTAGTCAATGTATCACTGTTAGCTGGGTCATTTATTAGCCAAAGTATCACTGTTAGCTGGGTCATTTGTTAGTCAAAGTATCACTGTTAGCTGGGTCATTTGTTAGCCAAAGTATCACTGTTAGCTGGGTCATTTGTTAGTCAAAGTATCACTGTTAGCTGGGTCATTTGTTAGCCAAAGTATCACTGTTAGCTGGATCATTTGTTAGTCAAAGTATCACTGTTAGCTGGGTCATTTGTTAGTCAATGTATCACTGTTAGCTGGGTCATTTGTTAGTCAATGTATCACTGTTAGCTGGGTCATTTGTTAGTCAATGTATCACTGTTAGCTGGGTCATTTATTAGCCAAAGTATCACTGTTAGCTGGGTCATTTGTTAGTCAAAGTATCACTGTTAGCTGGGTCATTTGTTAGTCAAAGTATCACTGTTAGCTGGGTCATTTGTTAGTCAAAGTATCACTGTTAGCTGGGTCATTTGTTAGCCAAAGTATCACTGTTAGCTGGGTCATTTGTTAGCCAAAGTATCACTGTTCTTGCCCACTGTATACAGTTGTTGTCTTGTGGCTGTACTACTACAGATGTGATGAGCACTGGAATGGCACAGACTGCAGTGTCACAGAGGAGCATCTGCCAACTATCCTTGTTGAAGACTTCTTGGAGAGTTATAACAAAAACAATTGGGATCAAGTTGTTGGGGGATCAGTCTCTCAGCCTTGTCGTCTGGTGTCTGCTGGTGATGTTCTCCATTTCAAAGGAGTAAGTAACTACATTAAGAACAAAACCTCTTTAGCATCATAATTCTGAAAGTGTAAAGTTTCATCTTGTCAGCTCTCACGTGGAAGCAGCAGAGAGATGTGCATGTTCCACTGACCCCCACAGCAACAGTAGCAAAACTCTGGCATGGTTTATGAAGTCAGGCGGAGCACAAATTAAAGTCCAGACACAACAGTCAGCTGTCTGTTAGCTAGACTGAGGACAGTCAAAGACTCACAAAATCAGATGTGTCAAGCCAAAAGTTTGACCATTCTAAAATTTCATGATATTGTCACAAAATCAGATGTGTCAAGCCAAAAGTTTGACCATACTAAAATTTCATGATATTGTCACAAATCAGATGTGTCAAGCCAAAAGTTTGACCATTCTAAAATTTCATGATATTGTCACAAATCAGAAATAAAGTCAGTGATAAACTCTTTACAGTTGACTTTACAAAGCCAGAGGGTCTGAAAATAAAGGACATAGGAAAGACATGAACACCATCCTCATCTGGCAGGCATGTGCATTTTGATTATGAATTTTGTATGCCATGCAACAGTTACATAATGAGACTGGCATTATTTCGGGCAAGACAGACATTTTCATACGCTACCACTTCTCACTAACTATACAAAATGGCACTAGTGACTAGTTTCTGTAAAAAATTGATTTATACATTCATTGCATATTAAGTCATAGAACTTATTTTTCAGCCGTGTTCCAGGCTGTTACAGACCAAACCGCTTGACCTGCAGGCAGCCGTGCTAATCCAGTTCTACTTTCTGTACGGATGTGTCAAGAACCCAGCAAAACGGGACGAGGGTGTCATTCTGGAGTTTTCTACTGACCATGGCATCACCTGGCAGTTTGTGACAGAAATGCACTATAACCTGTACAGAACACCAACGTTAGTGTTGAGTCATTTGTCTGTAGACAGTTATCAGACTTAGAGACAAAGTGTTATTCCATATCTGACAAATAAGCCCGGCTCTCTAGCATAGTAGGCTAAACCAGACTGCGAGGTGACCGGGTGACGAACTCCTTGTGGTCCGGGTTCACGCCCAGGGGTAGGCAGAAAAGCCACATTTCTCCTAGATTTACGGTATTTATCATGGAATCAAGACTGAAGGGTTGCGATATCCATAATACCGAGCCTAGAGGTTAACAACTCATGGATCTGGATACTTAAAAAAAAAAAAATCTGACAAATAATGGTTCTCCCCCCACACCCCCCCCCCCCCTTTTTTTTTTTCTTAAATTCAGTTATGGAAATGTTTAGATATGTTTAGTTCACCATTACAGCTTTTAGATTTTAATCTTTGCTAGTTAGTCTTTGAGTATCCAACAATGCACCTTGTGTTGCTTGGTCTTTTCAAAAATGTCACAATGTTCTTGCAGTCTTCTATCACATACAACTGTTGCATTTAACTAAGTGTGTTTGTACAATTAGTTTTACTGCATCTGGCCCATGATGTCCCCATTGAACACCTTCAGATTTGTTTTTTATTGTTTTAAGCTCATCTCTTTGGGATAAAACAACAGCTGCTTGGCACTGATATACCGCTGATATAATCTCACTTATGTAACCTTGTTGGTGCTCAGTTATTTTCAGCAGGTATGGAATGTTATAAAGCTTTTTTTTTTTTAGTGCACTGTGTTCCCGCATCAAGTGGTCTAACAATAAACTCAGCTTTGATTCTAAGAAAAGAAGAGTAATTTCAAAACAAAGATGTCGGCTGAGCTCTTAACATGACTCCTACCCTAAAACTTTGAGTTACCATTTATTCCTGAAAGGAAGAGTGTGAATATGGTGTGGATTTATTTCTGTAATACCACATTTGATCCTTTAGATCTTGGTCTCTCTATGCTAAGTCACCTGTCAAAAGCATCACACAATGAATGAACTGTGTCAATCCAGCATTGGTTCCCCAGGAATCTGCGGGAAACATGCACACACAATGAATGAACTGTGTCAATCCAGCATTGGTCCCCAGGAATCTGCGGGGAAACATGCACACACAATGAATGAACTGTGTCAATCCAGCATTGGTCCCCAGCAATCTGGGGGAAACATGCACACACAATGAATGAACTGTGTCAATCCAGCATTGGTCCCCAGCAATCTGGGGGAAACATGCACACACAATGAATGAACTGTGTCAATCCAGCATTGGTCCCCAGCATGTGGGGGAACATGCACACACAATGAATATAACTGTGTCAATACAGCATTGGTCAGTCAGAAGTCTGGGGGAAACATGCACAAAAATCTGGAAAGGAACCATAATCCAGATTGGTCCAGCAATCTGGGGGAAACATGCACACACAATGAAACCAGGATTGGTCCCCATTCAACAATGAATGAACTGTGTCAATCCAGCATTGGTCCCCAGCAATCTGGGGGAAACATGCAACACAATGAATGAACTGTGTCACTCCAGCATTGGTCCCCAGCAATCTGGGGAAAAACACGCACACGACAATGAATGAACTGTGTCAATCCAGCATTGGTCCCCAAAGACGGGGAAAACATGCACACACAATAATGAACTGTGTCAATCCAGCATTGGTCCCAACACTCTGGGGGAAAGATGCACAAACAATGAATGAACTGTGTCAATCCAGCATTGGTCCCCAGGAATCTGGGGGAAACATGCACACACAATGAATGAACTGTGTCAATCCAGCATTGGTCCCCAGCAATCTGGGGGAAACATGCACACACAATGAATGAACTGTGTCAATTTAGCATTGGTCCAGCAATTGGTCCCCAGCACACACAATGAATGAATGTATCAATCATCATTGGTCCCCATGTCTGGGGGAATAATAAACACATTGAATGAAACGTGTTAATCCAGCATTGGTCCCCAGCAATCTGGGGAAACATGCACACACAATGAATGAACTGTGTCAATCAAGCATTGGTCCCCCAGAATCTGGGGGAAACATGCACACACAATGAATGAACTGTGTCAATCCAGCATTGGTCCCCAGCAGAGATGGGGGGAAACATGCACACACAATGAATGAACTGTGTAAATCCAGCATTGGTCCCCAGCAATCTGGGGAAAAAAATGCACACACAATGAATGAACTGTGTCAAATGAAGCATTAGGCATATCAGCAATCTGGGATTTAACATGCTTTGACCCAAGGAATGCATCACAAACTGTGTCAATCCAGCAGTGGTCCCCAGCTATCTGGGGAAACATGCAACACACAATGAATGAACTGTGTCAATCCAGCATTGTCCCCAGCAATCTTGGGGGAAACATGCACACACAATGAATCAAAGTGTCAAGGCCAGCATTGGTCCCCAGCAATCTGTCAGGAAACATGCAAAAATCACAATGAATGAACTGTGCCAATCCAGCATTGGTCCCCAGCAATCTGGGGGAAACATTTGTCTTCACAATGAATGAACTGTGTCAATCCAGCATTGGTCCCCATCGAATCTGTCGGGGGGAGATGTAATGTTCGCACATGAGCTCTGTCAAGAATGAACTGTGTCAATCCAGCATGTGGTCCCCAGCTGTCTGGGGGAAACATGCACACACAATGAATGCCTGTCACTCCATCTTTTCCCCAGGTCTGGGGGAAAAACATGCCACACAATGCTTGATACCCGTTGTAACGTTTTCATGTGTGGTCCCCTGTGGCAGATCTGGGGGAAACAGGCACATTCAATGAATGAGGTGTGTCAAACCATTTCATTGGTCCCCAGTTCTTTGATGAAACTGCAAGACAAGGGCTTTATTCCCCTAGCATTCGTCTGATTTCATGATTTTGTATTCTGTCTTTGTCCTTGAACCTCCTGCAGCTCTTCTAAGGCATTTCATCTGTGTTGTCACAATTTGTCACGTTCATTGGAGGATGTAAGTGTCCACGTTTGGCACTGAAGCATAGTATTGGCCAAAAAAACATAGTTCTGAAAAGATTCACTTTAGTACAACCCGAGGTATCTGCTTGTGTGTCAACAGAGGAGATAATTGACCCATTACTGTGATTAGCTTTGGCACATCTGGAGCTAATTTCTCTGTCCAGTTTTCCGTCCAAAGTAAAAATTGCTCCCAAATACTTAAATCCTCTGTTTGTCAATCAGAGTGTTGTTTTTAATTTAATTTCCTAAATTGTCTTTATGTCTTCCTATCATCATTGTATCTGTCTTCAGTAGTGTTTATATTTTCTTATATAAGTGATTCCATCACCTTTGTTACTAATTTGATTTAGGTGGTTTCTGTAGGCATTCCCTGGATTTTCTGCTATGAGTACCTGGTGTGTCGGCAAATAGTAATTCTGTTATATCTTCTCCCTGATTAAAGTCTGTTTCGCTACATATATGGCGTCCATGTATGTTTATGAAAAAGAAAATGCGGCGATAGTACACAGCCCTGACGCACACCAGAGTTCACTATAAAAGTTAGGACAAACCCTGCCTTTGATCTTATGCAGCATTCATTCTGTACGTGTGTACAGGCTTTTGCAAAATATTAATGAGATGATTGCTGATTCCTTTTTTCCCATACATTCCCACAACATATTCCTGTCGACTCTATCGAAGGCTTTTTCTTGGTCTATGAATGTCAAGAGAGGCAAACAAATGTCTGGATCATGTTCTGTTGCCCTCTAGGCTGATAGTTGTGTCAATGTATAAATGGCATTTGTGCAACTTCTGTTTATCGTCGAAAGCCAAAATCTGTGCTTCTGAAAGTTGATACTCTATCAATGGTCTTAGCCTTTTTTCGATGATCTTAGCATACATTTTCCCAGTGTGACTGAGTAGTGATATTCCTCTGTAATTAGTACATTTCCTCTTACTTCCTTTATTTTTCCACAGCGGAACAATGACAGCAGTTTGCCAATCTGATGAATTTGTCTATAGGTTTTTTTTACAGGGCAGAAGGCAATGACCTATATGTACCTGGGTGAGAATGTAGTATGTTGGACAGGTTGTCTGTTTGAACTGTGATATATACAATCATTGCTATGTAGAAAGTCTCTGCTTTCAAGGCCTTATCCAACTCACTCAGTTACGCTTTGCTGTTCTTTAGTACGTGCTTTAAAAAAAACTACATAGATTTCCAGTGCACAGAGAAGTTAGTTAATGAAATATCCTTTACAGGATGTTGGAAACCAATCTCAGCATGTGTTGCTTTCACAGGTTTAAGTAGGCAGTTTTATGCTCACTAGTTTGTCCTTTCACAGGTTTAAGTAGGCAGTTTTATGCTCACTAGTCTGTTCTTTCACAGGTTTAAGTAGGCAGTTTCATGCTCACTAGTTTGTCCTTTCACAGGTTTAAGTAGGCAGTTTCATGCTCACTAGTTTGTCCTTTCACAGGTTTAAGTAGGCAGTTTCATGCTCACTAGTCTGTCCTTTCACAGGTTTAAGTAGGCAGTTGCATGCTCACTAGTTTGTCCTTTCACAGGTTTAAGTAGGCAGTTTCATGCTCAGTAGTCTGTCCTTTCACAGGTTTAAGTAGGCAGTTTCATGCTCACTAGTTTGTCCTTTCACAGGTTTAAGTAGGCAGTTTCATGCTCACTAGTCTGTCCTTTCACAGGTTTAAGTAGGCAGTTTTATGCTCACTAGTCTGTCCTTTCACAGGTTTAAGTAGGCAGTTTAATGCTCACTAGTTTGTCCTTTCACAGGTTTAAGTAGGCAATTTTATGCTCACTAGTCTGTCCTTTCACAGGTTTAAGTAGGCAGTTTAATGCTCACTAGTTTGTCCTTTCACAGGTTTGAGTAGGCAGTTTTATGCTCACTAGTCTGTCCTTTCACAGGTTTAAGTAGGCAGTTTCATGCTCACTAGTCTGTCCTTTCACAGGTTTAAGTAGGCAGTTTTATGCTCACTAGTCTGTCCTTTCACAGGTTTAAGTAGGAAGTTTCATGCTCACTAGTCTGTCCTTTCACAGGTTTAAGTAGGCAGTTTCATGCTCACTAGTCTGTCCTTTCACAGGTTTAAGTAGGCAGTTTCATGCTCACTAGTCTGTCCTTTCACAGGTTTAAGTAGGCAGTTTCATGCTCACTAGTTTGTCCTTTCACAGGTTTAAGTAGGCAGTCTCATGCTCACTAGTTTGTCCTTTCACAGGTTTAAGTAGGCACTTTCATGCTCACTAATTTGTCCTTTTACAGGTTTAAGTAGGCAGTTTCATGCTCAGTAGTTTGTCCTTTTACAGGTTTAAGTAGGCAGTTTCATGCTCACTAGTTTGTCCTTTTACAGGTTTAAGTAGGCAGTTTCATGTCATTTAAAAAAAAAAAAAAACTGTTGCTTTCAAAAACTTAGTTTTGATACTGGACTCCAATTTGTTTATTAATAGGATCTGCCTTTTAACCTCTAATGGAACAAAGATTCACAACCAATTCTTGCCAGGTTGTCTACAAGGTCTCCTTCTGTTTGTGTTGTCCTGTGTTCCAGATGAACAACTCTAGTAATACTGTATTGTTTTCATTTTGTGAACATGTTACTGACCATTTCTTTTTCATCTTCACCTTTGTTTTACTTCTGCCATACTCTACCTGTACATTCCACAGTGAAAAAAAAAAATGTAAAATTCATCAAAATGCCTACTTTGATATCAAATTATATTCTGTTTAGTTACAATGTAACCTAACCTAAATGTTGTATATACTTCATGTTTATATGCTGACCAGTTACTTCAAATATCCTGAGCGAACCTACCGGGATGTATTCTAAATTATCTCTAATCCTAAATCTGGCAGGTGAACATTGACTATTCCACTGACCACGGGATGACCTGGACTGACCTAGTCACTCACTGTTTGAATGACATGTCCTGCCAGCCTCATTCTAAGACTGCAGCTGGACACTATCATGGCTTACACGACAGCTGGCGCAGAATTACAATACCCCTCTATGGCCTGCCTGTGTCCAAGTATGTTAACTGTCACCTCACATGTCACTATTATTTCACTCTATCATAAAAATAACAAGAACTGAAATATGATTTCACAGTGTGCTAATAGAAGACAGGAGAAGCTGTATATAGCACAGTGGCTAAATGCTTGCCTGCCAAAACAAATGTCTTGGGTTCAAACCCGCATTGAGGCAAGCTTTTATGATTGACGGGGGCTGTCAAGGTCAGCCAATCCTAAAATAAGTCTCGGGCTTTTTCCTGGGAAGTGAAAGTGGTTGACCACATCCATTGGGTGATTTATAAAAATATTGGTCCAAGTCCATGGTCTGAATGTGTTCATGGCATCAATCCATGGTCTGAATGTGTTCACGGCATCAGTCCATAGTCTGAATGTGTTTACAGCATCAATCCATGGTCTGAATGTGTTTACAGCATCAATCCATGGTCTGAATGTGTTTACAGCATCAATCCATGGTCTGAATGTGTTCACAGCATCAATCCATGGTCTGAATGTGTTCACGGCATCAATCCATGGTCTGAATGTATTCACAGCATCAATCCATGGTCTGAATGTATTTCACATCAATCCATGGTCATCAATCCATGGTCTGAATGTGTTCACGGCATCAATCCATGGTCTGAATGTGTTTACAGCATCAATCCATGGTCTGAATGTGTTCACGGCATCAATCCATGGTCTGAATGTATTCACAGCATCAATCCACGGTCTGAATGTGTTCACTGCATCAATCTATGGTCTGAATGTGTTTACGGCATCAATCCATGGTCTGAATGTATTCACAGCATCAATCCATGGTCTGAATGTGTTCACAGCATCAATCCATGGTCTGAATGTGTTCACAGCATCAATCCATGGTCTGAATGTGTTTACGGCATCAATCCATGGTCTGAATGTGTTTACGGCATCAATCCATGGTCTGAATGTGTTCACTGCATCAATCCATGGTCTGAATGTGTTCACAGCATCAATCCATGGTCTGAATGTGTTTACGGCATCAATCCATGGTCTGAATGTGTTCACGGCATCAATCCATGGTCTGAATGTGTTCACAGCATCAATCCATGGTCTGAATGTGTTCACTGCATCAATCCATGGTCTGAATGTGTTCACGGCATCAATAGGGTCTTTACTTTTACTGCAAGTACCTACTATTTATCTGGTAAGACTCAAACAAAAAATATGCTTGTCTGTATTAGCATAGAATAATTCTGAACACTCTTCAGATCTGGTGATAACGCTTTGAATGGGGAAGGTGATGGTGCACACAAAAGTGATGACATGTGGGATATGATTCTGTATTTAACTCTTTTGGTACCAGCAGATTTTTGTTGGGAGAAACATAAAGTAAATACAACAAAAACCATGATGGAAAATCATGAAATAATTGTATTCAGAATGACAATATACATGGCAGTTGTGACCATTTGGAGAGGCCAGGTTATTTTAGTATGTTCTGAACAAAAATAAAATGTAAATGAGCACATTAAGCTATGGAGTGAAATCAAGAGGTAGATCATTCACACATCAGGCACAGCTTGCGATTGAAAGAGTTGGAATTAAATCAACTTTAGGAAATTGTTTGGCTTCTCTTTTTTGTCACAATTTGTAAACATTCAGGGAAGTATTGAATGTTGTAGAACGCTTCATATAAATGTGGCTCTAATAACAACAAATGGAGACCTAATCGCGTGCGAATGTGCACCAGAACGCACCAGTACGGAGTGAGCAAATCAAGAACGTGGTTGATCAATACGTCAGATTGTGAATTCCATGTCATTTTCTTTGAGGAGATAAAGTCGGAAGTTTGACCAAGCAGTTAACTGTTTAAGTACCAAATATGGTGTGGATCCTGAATTGCAACTGCACAATGGGGAGGATCCTTGAGGACGTTTAAATATTAACTGAATTTTTGTTGGGAGCAAACATAAAACTGCAAGATTTCGGCAGTAAGTGCCAGCTATACTTCGCAGTTGATGTTTATTATTCCGGCTTTATGAGACGGAATGTTGTGTATCAGCTGTTTACCCCGGGATTTTGGAATCAAACGTGTATATAATTTGGATCCTTGGTACAGTTGTACCCCAGATAGGAATGTTGGACCTCAGCAGGATGCTGGTGATACACTACATTTTTCGGCAGTAAGCTGTATGAGATAGGAATCATTGCTTAATTCGGACTGTATGAGATTTGATAATCGTCTGGATCTCAAGGTCGGAGCTGACCTATCGTGAGATAAGTCAATACATGGATGTAAGCGAGCTTTTGGTTGAGATAGTGTGAGTTGTATCAGCTGTATGAGATATAAGAATTGTGGTATCAGCTGTATGAGATATGAGCTTAAGTATCATCTGTATGAGATATGAGTTTCTCGTATCAGCTGTTTGAGATATGAGCTTAAGTCATCAGTGTTACTCTTGAGAGTGGCATGTTAAGTGTTGATCAGCTGTATGAGATAAGAATGTTGGTATCAGCTGTATGAGATATGAGCTTAAGTATCATCTGTATGAGATATGAGCTTAAGTATCAGCTGTTTGAGATATGAGCTTAAGTATCAGCTGTATGAGATAAGAATGTTGGTATCAGCTGTATGAGATAAGAATGTTGGTATCAGCTGTATGAGATAAGAATGTTGGTATCAGCTGTATGAGATAAGAATGTTGGTATCAACTGTATGAGACAGGAGAAGCTCAAAGGTTAGCTTTCTGAGACAGAATTAGGTACCAAGCTTAAGAGCTGGAGAGGCTTTATTATGAACTGTCTAAGAAGAATATTTTACAATAGCAGCTTTGGCATAAATATGTCAACTAGTAACTAACTGCCTAGTACTGGAAGGGTGAGTTTATTCTAAGGGTGTCAGTTGTCTTTCTTTGTTTAGCGGAACCAGATTCAGGTGGCAGCAGCTGCCAGGAGGCATGCCAGGATCACAAGATTGGGCTCTGGGCGATATCTACATTGGACCAGCTTGTGAAGATAATTGCAACGGACATGGCTTCTGTCTGATGGAGGAATGCATCTGTGATGGTGGTTTTGGTGGAGATAATTGCAACCTCCTCACAACTAACATTCTTGTTGTAAGTGTTTGTGATTTGTGCATCTGTGTTTTCTAAGTGTTTGTGATTTGTGCATCTGTGTTTTCTAAGTGTTTGTGATTTGTGCATCTGTGTTTTCTAATGGAATAAAGCACATTTCAGTTGTTATTGTCTATAAAGTTTTTTTAACCTCTAAATTATGCTGGCAGTATTCAGAAGACGGTCAGTAGTCACGATCCTTGTGTGGGTTCTAAGGCACCATTGTGAGGAAAGCAAGAATAGACTCAATGTCTCCCCAACAACCATGTCATAAGAGTCGACTAACTGGGGAGCTTCCTTCAAAGTTGGAGTGCATCTGCCTAAGAGGCAAGAAACCAGCAATCTGCATACCAACAAGTCAGATCTGTAAAATGGATGTGCATACAGAACTCAGGTTTTGGAACAAGAGGGTGACCAACAACCAAAACTTTCCACTGGAGTTTACAGCCAGTGAACGCGAAAAATAAAAAGATTAGTTACAAGTATCCTGCTTAATATCAGTACATGAAAAAACTACCCTTTCAAATAAAAAAATTTTAAAAAATGGTGAATACCTTATCTAGACTAAAAAAAGTCAGTGAATTGGTGGCCAGTGTGAGGAGCAATGAAAAGTACTCAGTAAAACTCTTCACCGTCTAGGTAGTCTCAAGAGGGCTAATCTCCACCTCCCCAGGCAATGTACTAAAGCAGCAGGGCTTGTGAGGCAAAGAGCGTAAACAGGCGCTAACACAACTGGGTGAAGCTGTGGAAAGAGCTTCAAGCTGGCTGTGGACACAGTTGAACATTGTGGGGGATAGGCCTCGTTAGACTGGTCCAAGCCCCTAGTGGAAAATAACTTTTAAATCCCAAAAGCCAACATATCCAATTAAGTTTACTAGTGTCTCTCTGCCAGTTGCCAAAGTCTAAGGTCTGTCCGATAAACCAACTGTCTACTTGTCACTCTGGTCATGAAGGTAGTCATTTAATTTGCTACCGCAGCTACAAAATAAATAAAACACCAAACCTCAGTACCTGTTGTGATGTCACCATTTCGTCTTGTCTGATTGTCCGATAAGCATAGCAGAGGATTTCCGAGGCTAGGAGTCATGAACCAGGCTGGCCCAGCCTCTGAACTTTCCCAGGAGGACAATGAGTGGAAACAATTGTCGATGAGAGACCAACCTACTGATGATTGATAGACTCCTGCTTCCGTTGTGGAGTTCTTCTTATTATAATGCAAGACCAGCTTCGTTGAATTATAAACAACAGGGAGAACTGAAGAGTCATAACTGCGGAGTTGTGCTCTATAGTCCAGGCACCTGAAGAAGAAGTAAAATAAATTAGGGAATTTTCAGAATCTCCTAATCTAGATTTACAAAATATTTATATTTTACCATCAAAGTATTTATTCTGTTGTGGATAGAAAGGGTAACTACCTACAGGTACATCAGTGTGGTGCTTATTGGTTTCCTCTTATGGAAATACATAAATAAACAAAAATAAAACATGAAGTTAGAACTGGACTAAATCCTGTTAATCATTTATAATAATGTATGTCTGACTGCCACGTTGAATGATTTATTATTAAGTGTATCTTAAACTTTCATCTCTTTTTAGCATTATGTTGCTGAATTTTGCTCATGTAAATTAATTTCTTACATGTTCTACTACTTGTGTAAATGAATCATTGTCCTCAAACTACATTTGTTGTATATTGAATTGTATTTTTTTATATAAAGGTTAAAGGCAAGAGGATCAACTTTATTGCACTCGGTTTTATCCCATTTGGCTCAGTCTCTCTTCCCTGAATGGCTAGGCACCTGCTGAGATCATCACTAAGAGCATGAACTTCATAGCTCCAGTGACAATCCCTAGGGATCTCTAAAAACTGCACTTGTGAACCAGATGATGCAACCGAGAAACGAACCCATCACTTTCAGAGCGTGAGGCATACAGCTTGCCCACTTAGCCACAGAGATCCCTGTGATGTATTACATAGCGACTTTAAAAAATAATACTTTATACATTATTACAGAATCAACTCAAAGATACTTTTGACATTGTCAACAAGCTTAATGAGACGAAATGGCCATGGGTACAAAATGGAAATGTTCAGATTCCATGTCGAAACTTAGTTCAAGGACCAGCTTTGGTATTTTCTGGCGTGGGGACAAAAGAAGTTGTCACTGGTAATCTTGATCTAAGAGATGCAAGGTAATGTGTCCCTTCTAAAATTGTTTAAACTTTGGAGACTCTGCATATAAAATAATAACTGTTCCTTACACTCTTTCAGATAGCAAAAATATGTTTAAAACTTTATGTTTTCATGTACTACAGACAAGACAATTTCTTCGTTAAAACTCAGCATTGAATAACACTCACTAAAATGTCATATATTATCTTTTTTTTCCTGTTCAGTTGTTGCTGATAAAACTTCCAAGAAAAATTATGGTCATTTAGAGATAATGACGTTAGAGAATAGATTTTATTGATAAATATCTACAATGAGATGATTTGTTCCATTAATTTTTCTGATTGATGTATGGAATTTTTGCTTCCATCCATTGACTGAACAAGTTATAGTCTTCATATTAGTTTTATGCCGCCGTTTTTTGCAAACTAAGTTGTGTTAAAATCAGATATTGTAAATGAAATGTATGTTTTGTGATGTGGTATTTTTTTGCCATTTCTTACATTCTTCTATAAATCTTGATTTACTGATTGACTTTAAACCAAACCAGGACATCATACCGAGCGCTAACACCTGGTGACACAAAGTGCCACCATTCAAATAAGGATCACCAGGAACAAGTCACAGAAACCCCTTTCAACCCATAGGTTTAGTTATATTAGGGTCATTGGCAACAGCCAGGGTGGGGCTTTAAAACAACAAAACATTGCGTCAAACATGAAATTCTTCTGACCCAAGAAGTTACACCACCACTTAATCTTTGTGTTCAGAAACAATTTAAGCAATAGTTAGTTGACAGATCATCTTCCCTGCACATCAAAGCTATATAGTTCATAAGTGTTCAGATTCCCTGCTCAGTAAATGTTATATGTTGGGACTGATGGCATCACATCAGTGTCTGTTTTATAAACTATTCTTCATTGTTGCTGTGTGCCATACTCTTCTCTGGCTTCATCCTGCTATTTGATCTTGGATGTTGATTTGATTCAGGACCTTCGCTGCAGTAAGTATGTGATATAAAACAGCTATCAGATTAAGTAACTGTCAAATCATATTATCAGAATGGACTGTCATCAAAGCTCGGGTTCATAGCCGTAGGTGTTCAGGTCTCATAAGAATTTCTACAAGTGTTTCATGTCTGATCTCATCATTTTGGTGTTGCTTCATCATCATATCCTAGTGTGCAGCTTACAAAACCCATACATCTTACAAAATCAAGCTTCAAACTGATGTTCAACATATTTCCTTGTATGCAGCTTACAAAACCTGTACACCTTGCAGCTCCCTGCTTGAAACAGATGTCCTGCAGTGCCCTTGTCTCACCAGTGTCATTGGAGGAGCTGTCCATAGAACTTTCAGTGGTATTATAGATGTTTTTGTTCGGTCCATAGATGGGCCCTCCAAAATCAGCCACTATCATTGCACTTTTCTTTTCCTTGGACGCCAGCATGTCCTGGCATAAAAAGGACAGAAACAATCCTAATGATGTATTTCTGCATTGAATCAACCTGATGTTTACGCCTACATATACATTTCTATAACTGAAAAGCACATGTTATTCATGTGAGGTTATCATGTATAATTTATTGTTATCTCTTGCAGTAAAAGACAATCTGATTTTACCTGATTGAAATTCTCTACTAATGCCAGTTTGGTTTCACTCTTATTTTCAAGATTTGTGCAGTACACAGCCTTCATGTGGAGTAAAGAGGGACATCACAATTTGTGTAGTCTGCCCCCAGATCATAAATATCAGAATGTATTTCTCCAGTATTCAGCTGATGGTGGTGAGTGTTAACTTGTAACTGAATCTCATTTCCACAATCCTGGCAAGTGTTGTAACTGAATCTCATTCCCACAATCATGACAAGTGTTGTAACTGAATCTCATTCCCACAATCCTGGCAAGTGTTGTAACTGAATCTCATTCCCACAATCATGGCAAGTGTTGTAACTGTAACTTTTCTTATAGTCAGCCTTTAAAAAGAAAAGTGTCATGTGTTTTAAAGAACACAGCAAGCCAATCCCCACATTTATTGGCTGTTGTGTGGTTTTACTACCAGTTGTTTTATATTGTTTGGAAACCTAGAGCACATCTAAAAGAGATAAAACTGCGTTAAAAATTGTTTAAAACAGTCTAATGATGAAACTTTGGACACATCAAAGATGTAGACAGTGAAGAATGGAGAGTGAGAAGCTACAAGGAAATTCATATTCGGTTTAACTCATCATTAACACTGACATCATAAGGGTTACTAGACTGAGAGACTGTCAGATGACAGAGAGGTAAAAACTGTGTACACAAGGGAGTTGAAAGATGATAAACCACTAGGCAGACTAAGAAGATGGTGGAGAAATAATATCCAGACAGACATACAAACACTTAGTGTCACCTGCTGGAAAGAGAAGACCAACCAGACAGATGAATGAAGATGGGTGATATTTGCAGCAATGAATCTGAAGGGCTCAGAATGCTGAAGAGGTGGCTTTACTAGACAGTTTCATGTTAAGTAGTTTGCCATTGCTTTCTATATGGTATAATACCCATATTGTTGTCAAAGTCAGTATAAAGCAGACTGCTACCAAACAGCCTGCAGTTAACTGACAACCCACATTCCCTGATGCGTGACTGTAAATTCTGAACCTTATGTGTGAAACGATGTTTACCATTGCACAGTGGTGGGAAAGTAAGAGAAACATTGTGTGAAGTTAATGTTACTTGAAAGCTGTTTATGTACACTCAACTTTACAGTATGGTTCAGAAACCTGGACAGGAAACAAAAACAAAAACTAGGAAACTGAATTGAGTCCCTGGAGGTGTGAATGTAGAGAAAAGTAGGCTGTTTAAGGGGAACAAAAACAGTTAAATACACAAATTCTGGAGAGACTTGGGGTGGAAAAAAAAACCATAAGTGAAATATTTCAGCCACAGTAAAAAATATAACACTCAATATCCACACTGGAAGAAAAAAAAAATTAAGGCAAGAGAGCAGCATGTTGACAATGATACAAGTGGGGAAGGACAACATCAAGAGATGGACAAACAGCAGTCTGAGAGAGTGTACAACACAGCAGTCTGAGAGAGTGTACAACACAACAGTCTGAGAGAGTGTACAACACAACAGTCTGAGAGAGTGTACAACACAGCAGTATGAGAGAGTGTACAACACAGCAGTATGAGAGAGTGTACAACACAGCAGTCTGAGAGAGTATACAACAAAGACGATGGATAAAGAATGCTAGAAAATCATTGCAGCCAACCTTTATATTGGAGACAGCACCTGGTTGATTGTTTGATTAAAGCTGTAAGATCAACAACAGTTACAGTGTGAATTAGCATAACCCTCACTGCAAAAGTTATGACAGTGTCCGTCTGACAAGTTTTTTCTTACTCGTAATGTAAACTCTCTACACTGTTCCATTCTGTTGCTTTATGCTTAAAACATACAAGGACTCTTAAACAGATAGAAGTTACACAAACACAACACTTAACTTCTAAAATGACAAAAGAAAGCAAGAATGCATTACTAAAGTGAACATAGACATCAAGAGATACAAACAATATGTCAATGAAGTACAGTGAAGGACCCTTTTGAATACCTCAAAACTAGATCTATATTTTATAGACCAATCGGTGGGTGATGTGGTTAGCATCACGCTGGCAGCCTTTACTTCCCAGGACTGTACCTGGTGCTCATTTAAGGCTGCACTGACCTGGGAGCCGAGGTCATTTTTTTTTGTAAACTGCCCGACTCCATCAGGAACCGAACTCACGACCTTCTATTCGCAGGCAAGTGTCTTGCTGCTACAAAATGGTGGCTCCACAAACTGTGAACAAGTATAAATTCCTGCTACAGTCAGTGCTGCAGTCCCCTGTGTGGGTTCCAGGGCCCTATTATAGGGAAAACAAGAATAGACCCACTGCCTACTCAAAAGCATGTCATAAGAGTCGACTAATTGGAAGCTTCCTTTAAAGTAGGAGTGCATCTGCCTGAGAGGCAAGGAACCAACAGTCTGCATACAAATGAGTCAGATCTGTCAAACGGACGCACACGCAACACTCAGGTTCTGGAACAAGACTGCAGTCCAGAAGTGGACGAACAACCAGAACTTTACGCCAGAGTTTACAGCGAGTGAATGCGAAGAAGAAGAAGAAGAGTACTGCAGTGACAAACATGATCCAATAAACTGCAGATTTTAAACATAAAATAGACATTGAAATCTGGGCTGGAAACTATAAACCACACCATAGGAAGGAGACCTGTGGGTATTGAACCCATAGTAGTGGTAATTTGCATTGAGCAAATATCGAATATGTAGTTTCCATTACATTTCCAGTGTATACTTTTTGTTATTTTATGTATCATGTTTTTTATTTTATCATTTATGTTCAATTTTATTTGAACTGTTATCCTATTTGTGTGCTTGTTTGTGCTTACAGGAACACCCCCCCCCCCCCCCCAACCGCCCTCCTTTTTCCACCACAAAAGTTTGGAACTTCTAGGATGGTGAAAAGTAGCAATCTGCGGCTGTCAGATAAGCCAGCTGTAGCTGCTTGTGGTGCAGACTGGTAACAATATCCATGCGGAGAGATAGCCAGCTAGAGAGACTTGGGCTTCGAGAGGTTTGAATTACTGCCCAGAGTGCAGCCATTTGACTGAAATAGCCAGCTAGAGAGGCTCCGAGAGGTTTGAATTACTGCACAGAGTGCAGCCATTTGACTGAGAGATAGCCAGCTAGAGAGACTTGGGCTTCGGGAGGTTTGAATTACTGCCCAGAGTGTACCAATTTGACTGATAGATCAGCAACACACTGGCAGATGTGACTGTCTGTTAACAACAGTCAGTAGACTGAAAATGCAGTAGTACAGACATGTAGCAAGATCATCTCCAAACAATATTATAGGTCTCCAAGGGGGACAAGAGGCAGACCAAGAAAGACCCAGACACAGAATCTGACTGAATGGAAAGGCCTCAGTGATTCAAACATCAAGTCCATTGCATCTGATCAACAGAGAAGGAAGTGATTGATCCGACAGTCAACAGCAACTGGTGATTCAACAGAACATAGTGTGTTTAAACCATGATAATAATGTATAACTATTCACTTGTTTTACAACATTAAGAAAGCTCAGTTAACCCAATGGTCCAGTAAACGTTTTTTTTTTTTTTGTAATGTCAGTTTTCTTAAAATTTTTTGAAGAAGAAATGCATGACTATAATATTTTACCCTGAGAAACCAGTGGAAGATAAGAAGAATCTTAGTAAATTTCTGTAAAAATCCAGGGGTTGAAACCTATGATCACCAAGCAGAGAGGCAAGTCTTTTAGTTATTGTGTCACCACAAGTGAGCATAAAGATGGATTGTTCTTAGAGTCCTTATTTTGTGCAAAGGTGATATTTTTGTGTGTGTGTTTTTTTTAAATGCTGATGGAAGTAATCACTAAATACAAATGGAGCAAAGAAATAACTGCTTTCTGTCCATTTGACCAAGAAAATGGAGGTTTTGTTGACAAGGCCACAGAGAGAAAAGTGGCATTGGCATAGGTTTGTTATGAGATGACAGTGACAAGAAAACAAATGGAATTTATCACCTCAAATAATATTTCCCCCAAAAATATAATTTTGTTTGCAAAAGTAAACATACACCATGTCTACAAACTGTTCAACTGCAACCAGTGCTAAATCATTGGCATGTTGGCCTCTGCCCAAAGATGTCATGTCATCAAAATACCCGTAAATAAATAGGAAAACTTTCTTTCTCATTGCGCCAGCAAAAACAACATTTCATTTTTTTATTGTTCATGATTTCATTCTTAAAGAATTACCTGACTTGTTTAATGATTATTAAGTATAGGCTTTCTGTCGTCAGGAATCAGCTGGCACACCCTACATACTCTATCACCCCAGAGATACTGGCCCCAGATGCATGACTATATCTCACTGCCCATAGCAGCAAGAACAAACAGCACTATCATTCGCTGGATACAAGCTGAGGCCCCACCAATGACATTGCAGCGCATCAACTGGGCTCTTGATGATGTTTATATTGGAGGCTGGGAGATTAACCCGAGTGTTTATCATCAGTCATTTGATGAAGATGCTCCAGGAGACGATCCAGCTGCCTGGGAGTTCAGCCCCAATGGTGTGGTGGAGGGAGAAGGAGGTCACTGCTTCTCTGAAGGCCTCAGTGGATCAGCCATGGTGTGGCCAGATACAAGGAATAAAGATGCCAGTGAGCAAATTCAAAAGTTTACAACTAATCAGATGATAGTGCAGCCTGGCTACATGCTGCAGTTTAAGGTAACATTGATTTATAAAAAAGCCAAACTTTAATTATATTAATCATTTAAACTTTTTATGTATGCCTTCTTATGTATTGTATGTACACCAAGAAAATGTATAGCGTACATGTACTATATACTTTAGTACAGGCACATTATATTTAATTTGTCCCTTCAGGTAAAATAAATAACTTGTCAGCTACTTTTTAAATTTTAAGATCATGCATCTTTCTCGTGGCAACTTACGGATTTGAGTCATGGACTCTCACTCAGTGTTTGGTGAAAAAAATCTGAGCTTTTGAACTTGACTCTTTGAGTCCCAGAGGGTTTAGCATCACAGGCCCAAGGGGTAGTCAAGAGAGAAGTAAAAACAGCGCATCTTGCGTTTATTGGGCTTCTAGGTAGGAATCTATGAACGTATGATGCGTTCCTTGGGACTCAAAGAGTTAAATGCTACAGAAAGATTCTTAGAATACCGTGGGGAAAAAAAATTTTTTTAAGCGTCGACGTCCTGCAGGACTTGAACATCAAAAACTGGCTTGTAATAATTTGGAGGTCAAGCCTCATGGTGGTCTGGAGAGAACGATGATAGAGGGTTAAGTTTCTGAAAGAACGAGGCAGAAACCGACCCCTGTGAAGGTGAATACAGGACATTGAAAATACATTAGCTATGAGAGACACACACAAGGCTGGAGAGAGACTTTCAGACATTCTGTGACGATGAGCAACGTTATGCAAAGAATATGCTGACTGACTGATTGATTGAACTAATCTTTCATGTTAAAATGTAAATCAGATTTTGGCATCTTCATGTGTATGTTTTTTGTTGTTGGAAAGGGGGGGGGGAAGCTTTGAATTGAAAATAAATGTAGCCAATTCGCCACACCTTCAGGCATATTGGGTATAAGGGGGTAGATAAGTATTTTATAAACTATCAGCACTATGTGGGTGTTATGGTCAGCGACACACTGGCCGCCTTTACTCTCTAGGACTCCGCCTGATACCCATTTAAGGCTGGGATGACCTTGGAGCCAAGTTCATTTTTTAATTAAATGTTAGACTCCGTCAGGATCAGAACCCACAACCTTCCGATTCACAGGCAAGTGGCTAAATATACTTCTGTTGTTTTGCTCATAGTAATGAATACATAGAACCATTTAGAAAGATGCAGAGGAAGACAGAGAGAACAGATGCTGGACAGTTTGACATCATGGCATAGTGTGAGAGTTGACTGAAAGTACACAAGACAGAAAGTTGTTGATAGACATGACTACAAGCGCCACACAGCATGGAATTTAAGAAGATTTGATAATTCCAGTCGTATAAATATTGTGATACTGATACATGAAGTCATTTATGCAATGATATACGGATACAAAAGATGAGTATATGATTGCTGACTAGTGTATTGATATAGCAGATTTACACATCATTGTTGATTCTTGTATCAGGACCACCTCCCCCCCCCCCCCCCCCCCACCCAAATACTTAATGAGCTGACTACAGTTCAACACAATAAATGAATACTTAACTGCTATTGTATCAGTATAATACAGGCAGACAAGTTGCTGTTATATTGATACAATAAGTGTATCTTAATTATAGTCTACTGTAGGCTAATGTACGTTATATCAGGGATAAAGAAGTTAAAGAAAAAATTTCAGTTATAGTCTCTAGTAAATACCAGGTGTTGCAGCAGTTAGCTGATGATGTAAGCACTGAAGACCCCTGGGATCAGGTCAAGTAAATCTGGAATCATCTTGTGTTGAAGTTCTTGGTAAGAAAGAACGGAAACATAAAGCGTGGATAATGCCTGAAACCACTTAAATGATAAGAATTAAAAGCAAAAAGGCAAATTTAAACAACAGTAAAACTATCGTGGCTAAAGCTAGAGCTCAAGAAAGATAACGCAGAATCTTATAAGGAAGTTTGGAGGCCTATTACGGCAAATAAAGGAAATATTTAGATGACCTAGCAGAAGAAGCGGAGACAGCTGCAGCAAAAGGAAACCCCAGGGACCTTTACAGTAACACAAGGACATTGGTAGGTAAATATAGTCAGCAAAATGCATCAATCAAAAATAGTCAAGGAAAGGCACTCCCCAACACTAAAGATCAAATGAACAGATGGGCTGAATATTTTGAAATACTTCTAAATAAACCTGCCCCAGAGGTTCCTCAAGATAGCCAGCCTTTAGAAATGGAACTGGATATCAACTGTGAGACACCATCTAAAGTGAAAATTAGAAAAGCTCTAAATCTTCTGAAGGAAGGAAAGGCAGAAGGTCAAGATGGTATAACAGAAGCTATTAAGGCTAACAAGAATACATCAACTTGCCACATAGATTATTCAGTCAAGTCTGGGAGACTGAAGAAATACCACCAGACTGGAGAGAAGGATATCTTGTGAAACTGCCCAAAAAAGGAGATCTACAGGAGTGTGAGAAACTATAGAGGAATTATGTCGCTTTCAGTTCCTGGAAAAGTATTAAGTAGGATTATTTTTGAAAGATGAAAAGATGCTACTGATAAAAATCCAAGAGATGAACAGGCAGGTTTTCGGTCAAACAGATCCTGTACTGACCAGATAGCCACATTACGTATTATAATAGAGCAAAGCATTGAACTGAACTCACCACTTTACATTGGATTCATAGACTGAGAAAAAGCTTTTGACAGCATTGATAGGGAATCTCTCTGGAAATTAATGGGGCACTATAAAATCCAACAGAAAATAATTATCTTAAAAATACAGCTTATAAAGATATAAAATGTTGAATTCTTTGTGAGGAAAGTATAACAGATACTTAAAAAAAAAAAAAACAGGTGTGCGACAGGGGTGTCTTTTGTCACCTCTCCCATTTTTACTGGCTATAGACTGGATTATGACAACAGTAACTGCTAACACCAAGAATGGAATTCACTACAAAACAGCTTGATGATCTGGACTACGCTGATGATATTAATCTTTTGTCCCACTCACGGAATCAGATGCAAGATAAATTAAATATACTTAATGCAAGATCACAACAGCTAGATCTAAAAATTCATAAGGGAAGGACGAAGACAATGAGAATAAATCAGGCAAATAGTAATGTGGTTTCTCTTAATGGTATCCCACTACAGGATGTAGATTTGTACACTTTTTTTGGGCAGCAATATAAAGATGGGGGAACTGATAGAGATATTAAAATACGATTACAAAAGGCAAGAGGAATTTTCATTGCACTAGGGAATTTGTGGAGGACAAAAGAAATTAAAACTAATACTAAACTCAAATATTTTAGTTTTTATGTCTGGTCAGTACGGTTGTATGGGGCGGAAACATGGAGAACAACTAAGGCAATTACTAATAAACTACAAACATTAACTGGTGCCTTAGCAGAATAGAGGGAATTAAATGGTATGATAGAATCACTAATGTAGAGCTTTGGGAGATAACAGTGGACCAAGAGGTGAAGAAAAAATGCTGGTGTTGGATAGGACACATGTTGAGAAAACCTGAGAACAATATTACTAGAATATCTTTACTCTGGAACCTACAGGGGCACAGAAATAAAGAAAGGCAACCAAAAAAAAAAAAAAACATGGAGAAGGGAGCTAAAAATTGAAGTTAAAAAGATGGGGAGAGTTTTATGCGATAGAACGACTTGGCGTGAGTTAGTTGAGGGCCTGTGCTCCACTGGGGGCTAGAAAGGCAGAAGTGTCAGTTAGACTGTTTTGGTTCAATGGATGTCCCTCAATCCCCAGATGATCATTGGCTGCGGCAAATATGGAGAAATATGCTCTGCCCCAGACAGTGTTATCAAGCTTGAATACCGCCGTAACCCCAGCTCTGAGGTGTGGGATGCTGTGCTACCTTCTTGCCTCCCCAGTAGCCAGAATGGGGGCTTGTGTAATCCCCATCAGCATCATCATGCAAGCCATTATGTCCTGTCACAGTTCCTCACTTGGACCAGGGTGACCATACCACTGTCAAAGGTGACATTTTCAAGGTACAGACCTGTCATGTATTGCTTCTTTTTCATGGATGACAATGCCAAATCAGATGCTTTTTATATATTTATTTAGTCATGTAATCACAAGAGATAAAATTAGTAAAGAGGTCATATGAGATTAAATAGGCACAGAACAAATTATAAATTACATAAAAGACAGCAAATCAAATGGTTTGCCCACATGGAGAGAATGGACTTCATATGCTATACAAGGCATATACCAAAAGAGGAGAGGGATGTAGAGTAAGAGGTAAACCAAGAACAAGATGGTAAGATAACATCAGAGACACTTCAGCACCACGATGTGTCTGTGGGTGAAGCAGCCAGAAGAGCACGAAGCAGGACGTTACATCTTCTTCGACACCTTGAGCAGTAACAGAGGACATAAAGAAGAAGGAGAATCATCTAATTTGGGAACATTTTATATCCATTAACTCATCAAAGCAAAGATTTCAAATAACTTATCATTTAGTACTTGTCACTGTATCATAGATACAGAGTTTTCAGACTGAGAGACAGCATTTTTTAAAGCTGTGTCCATTTTACTTATATATTGCCTTTGCCATACTAATTTCTTTCCTCAGAGCTTTTTCTTAAATGTAACATTTTTTTTTCCAACCTCAAACAGCATGCAGACATGTTTAATTAGTGTTGTATTCTACGCTAGGAGAGAAGATTCTTGACAGCCTAGAGCATGTGATGATGGAAATATTCATGGAAGAGATAGACGAAGATAATGAGAGAAGAATTTTGATGAAGAGGGCACTGACTGATACATTATGTTTAGGATCACACGATATGGAGAAACATGATCACCAAAGCCAGTTGGCAAATCATTTGATGATGATTTCACAGTTTAAAGTAAGCGCGATAAAGGCAACAGATTTCACCCTGATTTATACAATTTCTTTACATGCCCCTCATATGATAAGTGCAGTCCAAAATAAATACTCAGAAATGATTCTTCTTGAAACATTTCATTGTTTAAGGGCTACGCAAATTGCACTGACCAATATTCGGAGTGTAATTATTTTTTTTTCTTGTGACAGTTCAACACAGTTTAGATGGCTGCAGACTGGACATAATGGCTCTATATCCTGGGCACTTGATGACATTTATATTGGTGAGAAGTGTGAAGAGATGTGCAGTGGTCGAGGTGACTGCATTCACGGAGTGTGTCACTGTGATACTGGCTATTCAGGTGAGGACAAATTAATGTTGAATATTTCATGACACTGTAACGGTCACTAGTGAAACTAATGAAGACATCGCTGATAATACTAACTTTTAGCATACACACTGGCAGTTACTAGCCAAAGGAGCTGCCTGGTTTCGAGGCATGGCATCAGTCTGGAGTGCTGGAGGTCCCGAGTTCAAGCACTGGTGAAGGCTGGGATTTTTTCACGTGGACTGCGAGTAATTTCCTCTGATCTCTAGGTAGTCAGACCAGACACCCATGTGCATTGTTGCATAAGTGAAAAATTCCTTGGCAGTTGGAAATCAAAAAGAGTAGCCTAAGGGTGCTGCCCGGGCAAAAGTTGGAGTTATAAATCTACCCAAAATGTATTTTAGGATCCTCACGGATGCAACAGAGTTTGTTACACTCACTGCGCTGAGATTCTTCAGACTCAGGCTTAAGTTAGAAGTAGAACAGAGCACTTATGGGTTTACTCACACCCGTGTACATCAACTATACTAAACTAAACTAATAAACTTAACTAGCTACTGATATTCTGAAATATGTACTCATGGAGAAGTAAGCCTGTTCTTGGCTGGTGAGCTGGCTAGTAGCTGTTCTGCAGTCATATAATGTCGTCCTCGACCTGGGTACATGGCCCTCAGAATCATGCAGTATCACCCTGGACTACCCCAGGGTTCTGCAGTTTCACCAGTGCTCTTCTATGTTTCTGTGCTGATTTTTTCTTATGACTTAGGATTTTACCTTTTCTGGTTACTCCTGCAGCCCATCTTAGACATCTCATGTCCATGATTAATAATTTTATTTCTAGTTTTGTCAGGACTAACCATGTCTGGCACTGGTAGCACGGGGTTGGAATGAATATGCTTTGTATGAGATGTTGTGCTGGTTTAGATTGTCTTATGTTGTAAAAGACAGCCCCATTCAGCGTGAAGAAACATCTTTAGTATACTCAAACACAATGTAAACAGAAGAGCTTACTGTACACAGGCTGGATAGTCAAGGAGAATAGCCAATCCCACTTTGGTGTTGAAAGAGTAGAGAATTAACCTTTACATGTTGATTGCCTTAACCTCTATCTGACAGGTTCTTTTGAAGTAGCTGTTATTTTTCTATTGTCACTAATGTTCACAGGTCCTTCATGCTTGCCAAACAGCAATGATCTTCTATCGAGGCTGTTTGATTCGTTTGAAGGTGGCATTTTCACAACTCACTGGTACACCATATCTGGTGGAGGTATTGGGTTTGGGTGTGGAGCCCTGCTTCCATATGCTCATGGAAAAACTCTGTACTTCAATGAATGTGGTGAAAGACAGGCAGTCACAGTCGAACTGGATACTCTGCATGCTATGTAAGTATTTACTTGGAGGTAGCAGTAAATTAAGCCCATCAAGTGTCACTACTGACGTTTTGCCTGATATCATGTTTCAACAGTCATTCTTGCAGCTGAGATTACAAACTAATAGATCAGAGAGAAGGTCGGGAAGGCTGGTAGATTGAAAACAAACTGATCATGATTAAACAGACATGAGTTGAGTTGAGTCAAGAATTGATATCACAGCACTCAGGACATTCCCATACATACCCCGTCCTCATCTTCAGCAGCCAGCACAGAGTTCCAATACTGATGGTACCTGTCACAATCTGGTTAAAAGTTTGTCTTGCCTTTCCTCTGAGTGTAGCGAGCCGGCCAGACCCTCTGGTTACACCAAGGTGATTAAACAGACATATAAGCACACTACTACTCATTGAAACGATTACAAAACACAGAGAGGTATGTGTTGGTGGTTTACGTATATGTGTTGGTGGTTTACGTATGTGTGTTGGTGGTTTACGTGTGTGTGTTGGTGGTTTACGTGTATGTGTTGGTGGTTTACGTATATGTGTTGGTGGTTTACATGTATGTGTTGGTGGTTCACGTGTGTGTGTTCGTGGTTTACGTGTATGTGTTGGTGGTTTACATGTATGTGTTGGTGGTTTACATGTGTGTGTTGGTGGTTTACATTTATGTGTTGGTGGTTCACGTGTATGTGTTGGTGGTTTACGTGTATGTGTTGGTGGTTTACATGTATGTGTTGGTGGTTTACATGTATGTGTTGGTGGTTCACGTGTATGTGTTGGTGGTTTACGTATATGTGTTGGTGGTTTACATGTATGTGTTGGTGGTTTACATGTATGTGTTGGTGGTTCACGTGTATGTGTTGGTGGTTTACATGTATGTGTTGGTGGTTTACGTGTATGTGTTGGTGGTTTACATGTATGTGTTGGTGGTTTACATGTATGTGTTGGTGGTTCACGTGTATGTGTTGGTGGTTTACGCATATGTGTTGGTGGTTTACATGTATGTGTTGGTGGTTCACGTGTATGTGTTGGTGGTTTACATGTATGTGTTGGTGGTTCACGTGTATGTGTTGGTGGTTTACGTATATGTGTTGGTGGTTTACATGTATGTGTTGGTGGTTTACGTATATGTGTTGGTGGTTTACATGTATGTGTTGGTGGTTTACATGTATGTGTTGGTGGTTTACATGTGTGTGTTGGTGGTTTACATGTGTGTGTTGGTGGTTTACAGATGTAGGTGTTGGTGTTTACATGTGGTGGTGTTGGTGGTTTTACATGTATGTTATTTGGTGGTTTACATGTGTGTGTTGGTGGTTTACATGTGTGTGTTGGTGGTTTACATGTGTGTGTTGGTGGTTTACATGTGTGTGTTGGTGGTTTACATGTATGTGTCGGTGGTTTACATGTGTGTGTTGGTGGTTTACATGTATGTGTTGGTGGTTTACATGTATGTGTTGGTGGTTTACATGTATGTGTTGGTGGTTTACATGTGTGTGTTGGTGGTTTACGTATATGTGTTGGTGGTTTACATGTATGTGTTGGTGGTTTACGTATATGTGTTGGTGGTTTACATGTATGTGTTGGTGGTTCACGTGTATGTGTTGGTGGTTTACATGTATGTGTTGGTGGTTCATGTGTATGTGTTGGTGGTTTACGTATATGTGTTGGTGGTTTACATGTGTGTGTTGGTGGTTTACATGTGTGTGTTGGTGGTTTACATGTATGTGTTGGTGGTTTACATGTGTGTGTTTGTGGTTTACATGTATTAGTTGGTGGTTTACATGTGTGTGTTGGTGGTTTACATGTATGTGTTGGTGGTTCACGTGTATGTGTTGGTGGTTTACGTGTATGTGTTTGTGGTTTACATGTATGTGTTGGTGGTTTACCTGTATGTGTTGGTGGTTTACGTGTATGTGTTGGTGGTTTACGTGTATGTGTTGGTGGTTTACATGTATGTGTTGGTGGTTTACATTTATGTGTTGGTGGTTTATGTGTATGTGTTGGTGGTTTACATTTATGTGTTGGTGGTTTACATGTATGTGTTGGTGGTTTACATTTATGTGTTGGTGGTTTACATGTGTGTGTTGGTGGTTTACATGTATGTGTTGGTGGTTTACATTTATGTGTTGGTGGTTTACATGTATGTGTTGGTGGTTTACATTTATGTGTTGGTGGTTTATGTGTATGTGTTGGTGGTTTACATGTATGTGTTGGTGGTTTACGTGTATGTGTTAGTGGTTTACATGTATGTGTTGGTGGTTTACATTTATGTGTTGGTGGTTTACATTTATGTGTTGGTGGTTTACATTTGTTTGTGTTGGTGGTTTATGTGTATGTGTTGGTGGTTTACATGTATGTGTTGGTGGTTTACATGTATGTGTTGGTGGTTTACATGTATGTGTTGGTGGTTTACATGTGTGTGTTGGTGGTTTATGTGTATGTGTTGGTGGTTTATGTGTATGTGTTGGTGGTTTATGTGTATGTGTGAGAGGAATAGAGTAAGGGAGTGTATACAAGAATCCTTGCTTGTTAAAAGAACCAATTTTAAACAAATGGCTGTGAATTCTGGACAATTAGTAAACCAGGAATAAGCTCAGGAGAGCTCATAAATGAGGTTTTAGAAAGGAAAGAGAACATTTGAGAGAAGATTCTGAACAACACTCTGTCAAGGTATGAAAAGGTACACGATTATACATGTTATTGGAGGTTACAAGATGGGGAGTAGCATATTTTGATGCACTAGACCAAGACCAGTGCTAGATTACACCACATGGCCCCAAAAAAATGGTGTGGCCATGTGTCAATACTGCCGCAAGATAGTGCACAGTGAAGAGCACTTAAACACAACACAAGCAGAGGTAGAGTCACCCACACATGATGAATACCTGACACTGAAAGACAAGAACAGGGTCTAAAGAAACAAAAGAACGAGGAAGAGCTAGACCAACAGTGATAAAAATACATAAATTAAAATTCAACACTTATCCAAGAACATTAGGTTCAGTCAAAAGAATGTTCTAAAAAGTAAAAGTAGTAGTTAGAATTTAGTATTACGACATGTCAGCTGACTCTTCTGTTTTATCTACTTGCAGCAAAATCATCTTTGTCATTCAGATAGGCTGCTACGCTCAGACAGACAACTGTAATGTCAACTTGGCTGAAGGACCAAACTACAGGGGCGTTCTACTACAGTACAGTAAAAACAAGGTGCTGTCTCAAAATATGTTTTGTCATGCTTTTGATGAAGATAAACAATGTAATACAAGTTAAATGGGGTCTGATAAAAAAAAATACCTGACCCATGACCAGGAACAATTATTTATCCACCTGGAGGTTTGAGACTCTAATTCTTGTGAAAGTAGTCATTCTAGGACTGCAGTCACTTCTTCTGTAGTTGGAATCAAACTTGAATGAATGAAAGAATCAAGAACTGACATCACTGCTCTAGGGACACTCCCACATGTGCTCCATCTCCCTCTTCAGTAACCATCGAAGAGTTGACATGCTAATGGTACCAACTGCAACCTGACTAAAAGTCCACAACTGTTTCCTCTTCAATGTTGAATATCTTCTAGAACTTCTACTTATCTATCCCCCCCCCCCCCCCCGCCCCGCCTTGTTGAATTAGTCTGTCAGTGTATGCATTCCCTATCTGTTCTTTTGCCCCCACCATTTGATCTCATAGAGCCTTAACCACATCCATTTTATCATATAGTAAAACACCGCCCAGAGGAACAGCAGCAGCTAATATATCCGCCCGCTCGTTACCTTGCACACCTGAATATCCTGGGCAGAAGATCCATCATATGCTCTTTGTTAGGGTCCTATCAAGGGATGCAAGCCACTGGAAAGCTGCAGTTACTGCCTCCATCTCCATTCTCATACTGGATGTAGTGACGTTGTGCGTGAGGCTCTTCGTTTCCAAGCAATGTCCATTTGCCATTGCAATAAAACCTCACCCACTTTTCTCATTTCTCACCACTGACCCATTCGTATATATTATGATGTCCCCTGGGCATGAATTTTGTGATCAGCTCTTGCAGGGCTGACTCTGTTTCACCAGCTATACATTCCCGGTACCCTCGGTCTAAGGTCACTATCACTCTCTCCGTCTGTTTTGCTAAATAACACTGTAACCCTTCTTCGCCACGTGCTATCTTGTCAGTAACACAAACAGTTCTGATCGTGGCTTCTGTCTGGGCCATCAAAGAGCCACTTCTTTTCAGCCGCTGTCCGCTAAAGCCTCATGCAGAAGGTGTTCACTGTCCACTGTGACTTTGAGGTACATTTTCGCCTGTAAAACCTTGTATCTCTCAAATAAAGATGGTAAAACAAGTATGTGCCACATGCACACAATTGGCATGTCTCACGTACACCCCAAGTCTCGTGTACACCCCAAGTCACGTGTACACCCCAAAATGACTCGCTTGGCTTCATTATGTATGCAGTCCAACTTCTCTTGTTGGGTATAAGATAATGTTAGCAGTCCCAAACCAGACTCCATCAGCTAAATAATCAGTTGCTGGTAGAGGGTATAGAGCATTTTCTATTCCATGTCCACTGATGCCATCACTTTCAAAGCATTGAGACCTTCCCCTGTCTTTAAAACTACCTCTTCCACATGGTAATTCAAAGACAGAAAGTAATTCCCAGATATTTTAGTGAATTATCTCTCTTTGTATTACTGCCGTCTATTGTGAAGTCCAGCAACACATTTCTAAAAATTATGTTGTATAAATCACACCACCTTACCTGAGTTGATGACCAAGCCTGTTTTCTCACACCACTCACCGACCTTATCTACCGCAAACTGCAGTTCTAGATATGGCTATTTAATTTCTTCCCTGTGTGTAGACTAAGCATCACCGGCAAAAGTTAAGATTCTCCCTATACTATCTCGGCTGCCACTATCCTGCTTGTTTGTTCATGTTGAAAAGCACCAGGTAAATGGCAGAACCCTGTGGGAGGTCAGGTGCGATGCTACATGGTTCAGAGCTCCACAAACCTAGGCAAAAGGCAGTATGAGGTTCATACAGGGCTGCAGCAATTTAATTGACAGTCCAGGGACTGACCTACACATCCATAAGTGTGTACAGTAAAACGTCATATCTAACACTGTTATATTCTTATTCTTCAGCATTCCGAGCCTTTGAGGTTCATTGCTGCCCCACCTCCACTCATCTCTCTTGTTGGGCTTCTCTTTCCAGGTGGTTATCTCCCCATAGTCTTTATGGTCTGCCTGTGGTCTATGACCGTTCAGCTCCCTGGTGTATACAGTTTTTACCTCTCTGTCATCTGACATTCTCTAAACATGTCTCAACCATTTTAGTGTATTAGATCTCATGGCCGGCCGACACGAAGATGGGCACAGGATGTGACTTCTTGAGTGTGAAAGTGCATGAGGTGGGAGAGCTGGCGAGAGACTGAGTTTCTTTCAGGCAGACCTTGATGAGAGCGACGTTCTGCAAAGGACCTGCTACATGATGATGAAATCTCACGATGCCAGTGATAAATGGTGATTTAAACAGATTATGAATTTCGTTGTAACCTTGTTTACATGCATCTTATAAATCCAGTGCCGCCACTATTGTTTCATGTTTATGTTGAAAACCCCTCATGTACATTGATGGCATGGACTCACAGGAAAATAAAATAGAGGAAGCTGTATGAGATGCGGTAGCTGCTGCTCGTGAGTCCCAGCTATCTAGTTTAGCCCCGCTCCGCACGTAGCGGCGTGTGAGATACTCTCGGCAGTGACTTTAACCCAGCGGAAGCTTTTTCGCAGTATGCTGTGTAGTCGCCGGAAGACGTCCGCAACTTACATGTGACTGAGGCCCTGTTAGGGTATATTTTCAGCCTCCAAAATTTTGGATCTTTATTCAGAGGATAGCCTACCTAACTCCATCTGGTCCGGGTGCATTATCTTTTGTTTTCTTCAAAATATGCTTTATATCATTTATTTGTACAATGTTCTGATATGTCTTGTCTCTGATTGTTCTAATGAGACCATTAACAACAGCACTTCTGATGGTTCAGTCATTCTTATCTGCCTGCTCTAAAAATCTCTTTAAAAAAAGCCTTTCCCTTGTAACCGTCATTTGGTAATCTTAGTTTCAGCTTTATAGCTAACGGTCAGCCCATAGTTGCTCCGCTCCTGTGCCAACGAAAAGCACACAGAATGTTTATCACAGTCCGTTGAGGAAAGATTGACAGACTGCTGTCTCAGCATACACACGCATTGAAAGCATACGGTAGCCATCCAAAGTGCTAACACAAACAGTCCGACATTAGAAATGCAGTTGATCATGGATGGTAGCAGAAGTCACCAACAGATCAGCATTTGCACACGCGATCAATTTTAATCACATAATGGCACCACCAAAACTGCGACGACCGGCATCACTCCATTTCCTAAATCTACAATTCACACCACTACTTTGGTCACAGTAGAAAAACATTCCAAGTGAAATCCTCAGCTCACAGTGTCACACCATGCACTCAGCTCAGAAGCTAGGCGACAAAACTATACCCTTTCAGTCTACAAATGGAGCAAAAATGCAACGGCCACCATCTGGCAGAAGCAAAAAATTAGCTGCGGCTCAAAACAGTGCCCGTGCCTAACGTCCATTTTGACTGAAACTGTATAACTCCCCACTAAAGTTTGTCAGGGACTCGTCAGCAGCTTATGCTCGACAGCACATCAAGGGACCTTTATCATCATCTCAAGTCACGATAGTTTTTTTTTTTTTTAAAAGATTAGTGTCATTTCTTCAAAATAGGGCTTTAGGTCGTCGGGAACAAAAATGTCACATTCAACAAGATCGAAGAAAGATCCGTCAAGAACATGTCAGGATCTGGTCTTTTTCACAGTAAATCGAACCAGCTGAGGTGGGCCACTCCTTTTGGCTCATCTGCTTATGCAGTTTCCAGAACTTACCCATTGTTCTGTCTCCCAGAATCTTGTTCATGAAGTGCTCCCATTTCACATTTGTAGCATGTGTGGCACACAACAGTTCTGGCTCTTGTTTCATCTTCTGCTACTCTCATCTCCTCTTTTGAAAAAGTTGATACTGTTTGTGATGCACTGTCCCCATTCACTCTCAAAGGGCCCTAGCTCGTCATGCACAAATTTTTATCACCAGCTGGTCCAAAACCAGCCGGACTCAGCAAAACTAGTTAAGCCCGCAGGACTAACATGCTAACAATGTACAATTGTGTTTACATAACATGTATAAACTTCCGTCCAACAGGGAGCAGAATGGTTTCTAATTGCCCAGCATGACCCAGTTGACTTCTTGCGGCCAAAGAGGGTTGCTTATGAAAATCCCCAAGCAGCGAAAGGAATTGGGACGCAGTTCAGATGTGTGGCAACCAGTTCATGACGGGCCATGGTCTTATTTTTCATTGGGCCATTGATCATGTAGAGATTATATCGTAAGTTACACACATAAATCTTCAACAGTTGTTTTTTTAAATCAAACAAGCACAATGTTATTGGCCAAGGATCAGATTCCAGACACGTAGTCCGAATATTTGAGGAAAAACTGAGTATTCCTAACAGTAATGGACATCAGTTTTGATGACTGAGTTCAGATTGAATTTAACTCTTTCTGCACGCTCTCTAAGGAAAAATGCATACATAGGAAAATGGGTTTGACAGTTTTTCCAGAAACAGTTGAGAGTTAAGAAAAATAAGATGCAGACAACCATGAATTGTTGAGTGTATGAGAAGTAAACTTGGTGACAGCTTGTTAGAAAGAAATAAAAAGAGCAAAATGTAGACAAAGATTCAATCCTGGAACATTAAAGAAAATTACATGATTGAAACAAGAACACAGACCTGATCTGAGACTAGTGGTCATGTGAGATGGTCAGACATAATTGTCTAAGTTTATCACTATGGCACATGGTGGGATTCAAGTCGTGTCAGTTTGAACAGATTTAACTCTTTCAGTCCCAATCAGTGCACCATGTGTGATGGACTAGTACCCATGTGTACCAAGCAACCACCAATGTGATCTGATGTTTATCCTAAGCATGCGACAGAAATCTGGCTAGTTATTTTAATGGGCCAATATAAGTATATATGTATACAAGTATGACAGATATATTGCTACGTCAGTGACAGGTTATTACATGTTATTTTCACGATGACTATTGCTACCATTGGGAATTCACTCGAGACAGATGAATGAAATGCCCTTCAATATAAGAGTGATCTGCACCTATGTTTTTTGGATCTAGAAAAAAGCATTTAATAAGGTACCCTGGAGCGAGCTTTGGGACTGCTTGGCAGGAACAAATACCCCAGCACCCCTGATCAGTGCACTACAGTTTCTACGAAAGCTGCAGAAATTATGAAAGAAAAAAAGACCAAAAGTCGGAAGAATTTAAGACCACAAGCGACGTTAGACAAGGTGATATTCTCTCACCTTACCTCTTCATTCTTATGCTGGATGATGTCATCAAGACCTGTAAGGAGAAGACAAAGAAGTACTCAGTAGGGTACTGGAAGATGAGACCAGTCTGTATATCAGAACTGACATTTGCAGACAATGTGGCCCTGATAGCTAAATCAGAGGCACACCTTCAGTCCAACTTACTTGTCTGGAAGGAAGAACTTGGGAAGAAAGGGATGACCATCAGTATCTCCAAAACTAAAACCATGGTGATCTCAAGAGAGGAGAAGAAACACCAGATCATGATGGGACAGTATGTATTGGATCAGGTCAGTCAGTTCAGATACATTAGAGTTGTATTAGACCAAAATGGAGGTATTAGGACCGAACTGGCTACGCTAAAAGCAGCTGCTGGGAGACTCTTCCAGACCATAAAGCGATGGTTTCTTAGCAAAAGAGAAATTGGCAAGAGGATGAAAATGGCTGTTTACCACTTTACCTGTGTACCAGTCCTCACCTAAAGGTGTGAGTCATGGGCAATGACAACAGCTCACAGAAGTCAGCTTCAGGCCTCAGAAATGAGAATGTATCTGTAAAAGGTGGTCCAAGTAACAAGAAGCAATAAAGTGAGCAATCAGACAATACATCAAGATCTTGATACCCAGGCGGTACAAACCTGAGTGGATCAGTCACAGTTGCAATGGTTTGGTCATGTCTGCAGAATGAGAAACAATTGACCACCATGGCAGGCTAAAAACCAGACCTCCAAGGCTACCCAGGGAAGACAACATTCAACAGTGCTTAACTAGTAGAGGACGAATGGAACAAAGCCAGAAAGAAAACTGCTGATAGACAAGTCTGGCGATCTCTCTGGCAAACCTCTACACCCCAAGGTAGAAGAAGAGCGACTAAGTAAGGGAAAATCTTATGAAATCTTCTGGTACTTAAAAGAGTTAAGGGCAATGAAGATCATTGTACCAAGTTTTCTCCTATGGGTCTTGGTCTCTCTATGTAGAGTGGCCATTCACTTGCATAGAATGGCACCAAGCATGCTAACTCCAGTGACAGTCTCTGAAACAATAGCCATTCACTTGCATAGAATGGCACCAAGCATGCTAACTCCAGTGACAGTCTCTGAAACATAGCCATTCACTTGCATAGAATGGCACCAAGCATGCTAACTCCAGTGACAGTCTCTGAAACAATAGCCATTCACTTGCATAGAATGGCACCAAGCATGCTAACTCCAGTGACAGTCTCTGAAACAATAGCCATTCACTTGCATAGAATGGCACCAAGCATGCTAACCCCAACAGTCTCTGAAACAATAGCCATTCACTTGCATAGACCAGCATGCTAACTCCAGTCTCTCTGAAACAATGGCCATTCACTTGCATAGAATGGCACCAAGCATGCTAACTCCAGTGACAGTCTCTGAAACAATGGCCATTCACTTGCATAGAATGGCACCAAGCATGCTAACTCCAGTGACAGTCTCTGAAACAATGGCCATTCACTTGCATAGAATGGCACCAAGCATGCTAACTCCAGTGACAGTCTCTGAAACAATAGCCATTCACTTTGCATAGAATGGCACCAAGCATTGCTAACTCCAGTGACAGTCTCTGAAACAATGGCCATTCACTTGCATAGAATGGCACCAAGCATGCTAACTCCAGTGACAGTCTCTGAAACAATAGCCATTCACTTGCATAGAATGGCACCAAGCATGCTAACTCCAGTGACAGTCTCTGAAACAATGGCCATTCACTTGCATAGAATGGCACCAAGCATGCTAACTCCAGTGACAGTCTCTGAAACAATGGCCATTCACTTGCATAGAATGGCACCAAGCATGCTAACTCCAGTGACAGTCTCTGAAACAATGGCCATTCACTTGCATAGAATGGCACCAAGCATGCTAACTCCAGTGACAGTCTCTGAAACAATAGCCATTCACTTGCATAGAATGGCACCAAGCATGCTAACTCCAGTGACAGTCTCTGAAAGTCTCTGAAACAAATGGCCATTCACTTGCATAGAATGGCACCAAGCATGCTAACTCCAGTGACAGTCTCTGAAACAATAGCCATTCACTTGCATAGAATGGCACCAAGCATGCTAACTCCAGTGACAGTCTCTGAAACAATGGCCATTCACTTGCATAGAATGGCACCAAGCATGCTAACTCCAGTGACAGTCTCTGAAACAAATTGCCAGAGAGGGTTCTGATACACTTAATTAGTTCTCTTGATATGTGTGACCTTCATCTTTGTGCCAGGGCATGCCTGTGTTGCTGTTAATCAAAAAATGATAGACAGCTAGCTGTGCCACGGTTGAAAATGGCCAGCCGATGGATGGTGCCAGTTTTGTTAATGCTCTTAGAGAAAGAGAACAAACAGAGGAATTTAGAGAAGAGGGCAAGTAGTGCAGCTTAGAATACAAAAACTTGGAGTAGAGATTTGCACAGCCAAGCCAACTTTTCCTCCAGTGTGGTGTGCGTGAGAGAGCAATGTTCTCAAACTGTGTCACATGTCTGCTTTGATATTTCATGTATTTTATTGTAAGTATGTACCACAGATTGATAGTTTATGCTGAAATCTCATTTCCTTGACTTTTTTCAGAGGTCGCAAACCGCATAGACGAGGGAAATGGAAAAGTTAAGTCTCCGACTGAGTTAGTATTATTACCACTAAATGTAACAACCTTTCTTTTTTAAACTTCTAACCTGTATTTCATTCCATAATGGAGAAAACATTGTTAACAACTCTGCAGTTAAGTTAAATATCACCACAGTGACTGGAAATTCAGGACAATATTTCTTTCAGGCCATGTGTCACTGTGTTTTGCCGATTCATTGAACAAAATAAATCATTGATATATAATACTTTAGGACTAGCTTGTATATTACAAAACAGTTCAGCTGGTAACTAATCAGTGTGTCACATATATTTTATTAACGTTTCGGCCCACGATTCCTAAACGTATTCGGAGGTGGGCCCACCTGAGTTCATGAAGCTCAGGGCTGCTTCCCCGCCGCACAGAATTACCGGATGGTGTTATACTTTCGGCCAGAGACAAGACGACTTGGTGGTTTCGAAGGAGGTACTGTGAGATAAGAAGCCGCCACGGCAGCGTAATTAGAGCAGTCCGCATGCCTGGACGACCGAGCGACAAGCTTACTTTGGTTTACCGGACACATCTTGGACTTTTATTAGCAGTTGGCAGAGAGACACTGGCAGACAATTCGTACACGATGGACTTTTCAAAGGGATAAGAAACTCTTTTCCACTAGATACCCGGACCAACTCACCGAGGCCCGTCCCCTACGTTGTTGCGTTGCGTCCACAACCAGCTAGAGGCCCTTTCGGCCACCTCTCCCAGTTTTTTGAGTGCCCGTTTCCGTTCATTACCGCGCAATCCTAACTCTTTAACCACATTGTAGAGCGAAGTGGAAACGAGGCCTCTCGCTCCCACTTCGACGGCAAATACCCGCACTGTGTAAGCCTCGTTTCTCCTCAAACCGGCTGCTAAATCACTGTATTTCTCGAGCTTATACAAATGATTCTCCTCCATCCGCGACTCAAACGGGACCGTCAACTCAATCAGGATGAGTTGCCGTTTTTGCGCAGAATGGAGAACGATGTCCGGTCGCAGGCCGGTTTTACGGATCAACTCGGGATACCGTTCATGTCCTGGCAGATCAACCGCCAGTAACCAGTCCCTCGCAGAGTCTAGTACAGATGGAGCGAATGCGTTTTTTGTTGACCTTACCGATTGGAACCTGCCCAGCCTTGAGGAAACGAATGGGGGCGATACTAGAACTGGCTCTGGCGTTAGCCCTCATTCTAGCCTGGTCGACAACGGCTGCTAACTCCTTTAGCACCTTGTTGTGGCGCCAGGTATAGCGGCCTTGACCTAGAGCTTTCCTGCACGCGGACAGGACGTGCTCAAGAGTTTGCTTTGATTTGCACAACGGGCAAGTCGGATCGTTGGTCGCAGACCATTTAACCATGTTAACACCGGACGGTAATACATCGTACGCCGAACGAACGATAAAGCTCAGTCGCAGCGGGGTCATCCGCCAGATCTCACCCCATGTGAGTATTCTCGGCAATGCGCTCTCCAGGCTGACCCAATGGCCCTGCTGCGACTGTTGGGCTGCTTTCTGGACCCGAACCTCGTTTTCGTTGTCCCTCACCGTTTGTATCACCATGTCTCGGCGCTCTTTGGCTGAGGCCTTTGACCACCAATTGACTTTCCCGTGCCCTAGGCCTCGACGGTCGGTTTGTGTGTAACCCATCACCTCCTTCAATTTTAGTGCGTTCTGAGCAGATTCAATTGCATCGAGGACTCTCCACTTCTGACCAGTCTTTAGAGCGGGCTGGACAGCGATGACATTTGGGTCTGAGGACTCGCGCAAAAGCATGGCGAGCCTAACTTTGCCGACTTTAAACTCTTCGGTTATTGACTTGAACGGAAGTACCAGCTTAGCCTGTTTACAATACAGAGCCACGTCGGTCAGACAAGGCGGTGCTCCAATCCACTTTCTTAAGGCTGTATTGATTTTCTTTTCCATGGTTTCCACTGCAGTCATCGTCACCTCGTAGACTAGCAGTGGCCATAGAAGCTTCGGAATCAACATGAATTGGAGACACCATACCTTGAATTTTCCGATCAGCCTGCATCGCTCGATCGCGAGCAGGCCTGTAGCCAGTGACTCGTGTATTCGCCGGACTTCCGCTCTGTCAGATAACTTCGAATCGTAGACGCGACCGAGGACTCTTCACCGGTTCCTCCAGAACCGTAGGGATCTTGTTCCTTGCCACCGTAAAACTGGTCGCCGACACCTTGCCCTTATGGATTGACAGACTCCTCGATTTCTGCGGTTTGAACTGCATACCGCTCCATTGGACCACCGCGTCCAATCTTTTCAGGATCGTGCGGGCAGACTCCTCGCTGCCCGTTATAATAGTCGTGTCATCCATAAATGCGCGCAGTGGCGGTAACCAGTGATCCCCTATTTGAAGGCCCAGTCCGTAGCCGGCCGCCCCGTCTAATAAGATCTGCATTGCCATGACAAACAGTATGGGTGAGATCGTACACCCCATAGCTATCCCAATCTGCAACTCAGTCCACCTCGTGGTAAACGTCGAGGTAGAGAAGCGCAAAGCGAACTTAGAGAAATATTGCTCGACCATTTGACTGATCTGTGTCGGTACGTGAAACATGCGAAGGGCTCGCCACAGTAGCCTATGGGGGACTGCCCCGTAGGCGTTGGCTAAGTCCAACCATATAACGTGCAAATTGGTTCTCTCATGCTTGGCTCTCTGGATAGCCTCCCAGATCATGGTCGCGTGTTCAAGGCACCCAGGAACGCCTGGAATACCACCCTTCTGAACACTCGTATCTATGTACTTGTTAGTCATCAGATACTGTGTGAGCCGGCGAGCCATGACTGAGAAGAATATCTTACCCTCAACATTCAACAGCGAGATGGGCCTGAATTGGGAAAGACTCTTCGAGTCCTGCTCTTTGGGAATGTAGACCCCATTTGCCTTTGACCACTCTGGACATATGTGATTGCGGATCCACGCTTGTCTCAACAAGACGTGAAGCATTTTTAGGATTTTCGGGCAACGCTTGTAAAGAACGTACGGAACACCGTTCGGACCTGGGGCAGACTTGCCGCTGGCTTTTTTCACAACGTCCTCAACCTCAGACCAAAGGGGAGGTACCAGTTTAAATGGTACCTTCGGCACCGAAGGCTGTTTGAGTCCGCTAAGGATCTCTGGATTGTCATCAAGAGGCTCTCTCCTCTTCTTATCAGAGTACATCTTGCTTAGATGTAGCTCAAGTTCTTTCTGACTGACAACCAGAGTCCCAGACTTCGGTTGCTCGAATAGACCTCGGGCAAACTGATACGGGTCCCTAAAGAATTTCTCTCGCTCCCTTTTAGTTCTTCGTCTGTTGTTACAGAAACGCTCGGCGCGACAGAGGGCACTGTGTTTGTTCTTTAAATGCACCCACACTTCGTACAGCCCCTCCCGTTCGCTGCCCGTAGCGGCTTTGAACTGTTTTCTGAGGGCATTCTTGTCTGCCCGACACTTCAGAATGTCCCTCTGCCTCCTGCTAGTATTCTGCTTGGCACCCGGCTGTGCCTTAACTACTGTCCCGAACTCGCGGGAGCAGTGTTCATATATTACATCACCAAATTTAGTAAGCTTGTCGCCTAGCGACTTCTTGTTTAGAGTTTGTTTAAGTACCTCACATAATGTAGCCTCCAACTTACACCACACCACCTTCTCGCTCGCAGGTGGAAACCTGATTCTGGAGCGCACTTCTTCAGAAATCATCAAAGGTGCTCCTCCGCAGTCGACGTCATGGGCCTCTCCGGGCGAGTGGGGTTCCCCCTGCCCGTCGTTCCCTAACGACTCAGAAACTACCACAGGAGTAGTAGTTTTGCGACGGCGTTTACTGCGTGGAGCACCCTCGCATTTCATTCTTCCGGCATGCGTTCTCAGACCATGCAACCCCGTGAAGCTTTTCCCACATGTACAGAGCCAGCCCGGACGTTGGGCGAGTGTCTCAGTCCGGGGGCTAGCAAGGTCGTCAACGAGGGTATCAATCAGATTGGGCCCTTCATTCTCCCCCCCTTTCGGAGGGCCCTGGGGGCATATTTCATTGTGGTTGTTCGAAATCGGAGGTATTATACTGTGTTAGGGGTGATCAACCCGGTCCACAGTCGACATCTGTCTCCAGATGTCAGTTTATCCCCCGGCGATACCGGGGGGCCAGTCTTTCCATAGGTGTCAAAAGGACTTTCCCGATAGTCACCAGTCTTTCCTGGTAGTCTTGTGGGCTAGCCACGTACAATAAGAATAAACTCACAGGGAGCAAGTACAGCGGGGATCTACAGTCATCAGTAGAAATTATCCTCTTTCGACACACGTTTCGGCCCACGATTCCTAAACGTATTCGGAGGTGGGCCCACCTGAGTTCATGAAGCTCAGGGCTGCTTCCCCGCCGCACAGAATTACCGGATGGTGTTATACTTTCGGCCAGAGACAAGACGACTTGGTGGTTTCGAAGGAGGTACTGTGAGATAAGAAGCCGCCACGGCAGCGTAATTAGAGCAGTCCGCATGCCTGGACGACCGAGCGACAAGCTTACTTTGGTTTACCGGACACATCTTGGACTTTTATTAGCAGTTGGCAGAGAGACACTGGCAGACAATTCGTACACGATGGACTTTTCAAAGGGATAAGAAACTCTTTTCCACTAGATACCCGGACCAACTCACCGAGGCCCGTCCCC